AGAAGAGGAGCAGCTCGATGGCACCTGGTTCTGCTCTCAGTGAGTTCTGCCCCCATTTGGATGGGTGATCTCTGCTCAGCATTGCACATGGGAGTCAGAGCCAGAGGAAGAATAGCCGCCTGTTCACTTTACCTGATGTCAGCAGCATGTGGTGTCTGATACTCCTGGCTCTTGGCAATGTTGCTAACGCAAACGTTGCCAATCAGTCTGGATCTTCTGGCTGGGGGAAATGAAAGCATCTGACGCCTTTAGGTTTGTTGCATATCTTTCTGTATTCCTCCCTGGAGCTAACACTTCTCTTTATTTTAGTTCCCTCTTAGCTTTTCAGTGCAAGCTGAAATTTTAAAATGATACTTGAATTGGTGCTGTTTTTCTTTATTCAGCATCTTTTAAACAAGACAGCTTGCAGCATTTTAAATTTGGGGCCTTTCCAGGCAACCAATAAAAACCCCTCCATACTTGTTTACAGTCACACCAGTGATTGCTTTGGGTTGAGTGCTAGTGGTGGAAGATCTTGCAGTGGGTTAAGTCGGGTTGCAGTCTGGAAGGAGATTATAGCCCCCCCTGTAGGGCTGATATTTGCATTTATTATTATTATTAAACAGCAGAAGTAAGTGCTGAAACATCGGAGTGGGGAACTACAAAATTCATTCAAAGCGTTGGAAGGATGGTAGGGAGGCCAAAGGAAATTCACAAAACAGTGAACCAATGCAAAAGGGGAGGGAGGTAGCATGAAGAACTTAATTCAAGCCCTCCTGGATCAGTCTAAAGACCTTCCTAATCCCCCAATCTGTTTTCATAATGGCCAACCAGATGCCTATGAAAAGCCTACAAGCAGGACATAAGCACAAGGGCACTTTACTGCATTGCAGACCGTAGACAATAGGGGCCCATGGCACACATGTCCCTGTGTCATTCACAACCGTGATTGAAGTGCTGGAGGCAGTGGGAGAATGCCACATTCTCAACAGCCAAAAATATGCAGGTTTTGGGTGATGAGAAAATGGGGCTTTCCTGCAGTGCCAACATTGTCGTGGGGAGGTTGCCTGGATCCCCTGAAAACAGCTGAGCACCAGCTGTGCCTTTATTGCTCAAGACAATATTCTGGGAAGGCCCCTAGAAGAGGCAGTAGGGCCTGCCCATGCCATGCTTTTCTGATTTATGGATGAGGGTGGGGTTTTTTGCTAATTATTAAAATGCTAGCTTAGCTCTGTAGCTGTCATGAATAACACATTAATTGCATGGCTGCCATTTCCCCTCCCCTCTGCCCCTGTAATAAACTCTGAATCCGTATTGCAGAAGCAACATCGATGCATCTTATGCCTTTTGAACTATATTTGTAAGGTACACAGCAAAATTGTGCCTAATGAGCAGTAGTTACCATGCTCTGAGCTCTGCATATTTTGTATATGTACTCACTGATCCATATGACATGGAACCTGGAACATGAGACAAAGTAAAGGGCGCCTGTTAGCATGTAGGACAGGGATGTCCAACAGGTCGATCGCAATCTACTAGTAGATCCCCGGGAGGTTTTGGTAGATCGTGGTCGATCGCTGGGTCCCTTTCCTTAGCGTTGGTAAAATAGAATTCGCCCCCACCCCCTCACCCAGCTCTCCATTGTTGCACGATCTGCAGAACGGAAGACAGGGGTTTACTTGGCGAGGTTGTTTGTTTCCCCAGCAATTTGTTGGTGAGTGGTTGTTCCCCTTTCTCCCTTGATCTTAGGCTTGAATTCTCAAAAACTGGGGCTTTCCTTCTCCCTAAGAAACGTTCAACAACTTTCCCCTGCACCCCTAAAAATGGGGTTCCCTTCTTTAAAAAAAGCTCAGGAAAGGGGGTAGATCACTGCCAGTTTTTAATTCTGTGAGTAGATCACAGTCTCTTGGGAGTTGGCCACCCCTGATGTTGGATGTAGTTTTGAGACGCATTAGCCCAGGGATGGAGGACCTCAGGCCTGGGAGCCAAATGCGGCCCTTCAGGCATCTCTATCTGGCCCTCTGGATACTCCCCAGGCCACACCACTTACTGGTCCTGATTTGCACCCTCCTGGAGTTCTTTTTTAACCTGACTGGAAAATGTCGTCCTGGTCACCTGGATGGAGGATACAGAGTGGGGCATGTGAGTGTGAGTAGAAACAAGCCTACTGTGCAAAGGTAACGCTTTCCTTCTTTGCTCTGCCCATGTTGTCTCTGGCCCTGCCTACAACTGACGTGCGCCCAGAAGGAAATGTGGTGGAATTAAGTTCTCCATCCCGGGCTGGGATGTAGGCACCAATGGAGCTCTGAATCTAACAGGTGCAGCACACCCTGCAAATAGGTACAGATTTTTAACACCCTAATTCCAATGTCAAGGATCGCTTTCTGAACTCCTACATACTCGTTGCTGCGCAGTGGCTGGCGAAAGCTGTGCTGTATCTCCTGTATTCATTTCCTCTACAATCACCCGATTGAATAGTTTGCTCTTTTGGTTAAACAATAATAACTTATAAAACATTGTTGGAAGGCAATATGTCGTCGACAAAACGGTTCAAAACATAGCTGCAGTGTGGCGAAATGCCAGGCTGTGGGCACTGCATGGTGCCTGAGGTTTCTTACTTGTGTGTTTACATGGATATGTGCCCTAACGATAGGAGTCGCTCAGGTGAGGTTTAACTCTTATAACCCATGAAGGGAAGCAGCTGGATCCTGAGGAAGGGCAATGCTAGCAGCTCTCACTGCAAACATTTTCACAAAGCATCAGGGGGGGGGGTGTACCAAAAACAGGGACCGGCTGTCCTTGATGAACAAAGTCTGTATATACCAGCATTTTATCAGAATGGAAAGGAAATAGGCATGGTGATGTGGGAGTGAAAAGCCTTGCTCTGACTCATCAAGAAGCAAAGAAGGGACTGCAGGATTTCCTTGAATGGATTCCATCAGCTTTTCCTTTGAAGTGACAGAACAGGTTAATATAGCACTTGCTGGCCTCTGTGTATCTGAGGTGCTCTGAACTTCCTGATTGCAGGCTATGTGGTGATTCATTCATTTTTTATCTTTTTAATGAATACTACTGCTTTGTGATGAGTTTCTCCTGCCTTGAGGGGAAGAGGTTTTATGTTTCTAGGCTGATAGGTATTTCCTGTCTTGGGGGTGTTCCTTTATCTGCCCCCTAACTACCTTCATGTTTTAAAAAAAGCAATTTCCTGTATTATTGAAAGGTGTTGGATACTGATGTGCGCCAAGTCATCTGTCCTTTGATTTCTAAACATGCACTTATTGAATAAGTTCCCACCTAAGGTGGTAAAAGGTTGGCAATGACATACAGTTTCAAGCACATAAATTGAACAGTAATAATTTTGCAGAAGAAGGGGATCGCAGTTTCATTTTTTCTGCTCACAATAGGTTTTTTCTTTTAGATTTGCAAATGTGCCCCTTGGCCCAAAGAGGCTGGAGCTTTCTTGAATTCTGAAAGTTTTCCTTTCCTATCTGTGGTCTTATGGAATAGAGTTAATTGCCAAAGAGCTGAGTTGCACTTACTAGGTCAAAGCAACAATCACTTTCTGCAAACTTTGAAGCTCCTTTGCATGCCAGTGTAAGCTAACTTTACTAAATTTGAGCAGCTGGAAAGCTCAGATCTAAAGTCTTGCAGAGCTTAGTCTGATGCTATCTTTCTAGCTGTTCGGCTTTAGCTTAAGTAATACTTAATTAGATCATTTGAAACCAATCTAAACAGGAAATGCCAAGATTACAATTTACAAAGAGAAGAGAATTATGTTTGTATATACAGCTTCAGTCTCAATACTTAATCTCATAATGTGGGGCTTTAAAAATATGTTTTCCTATAGCCTTCATTTAGGAATGTGATCTGAATGAATATTAGATGTTCTTGTTTCTACTTGCATAATAGGTGAAGTAGTGAAATAGAGAAATAAAGAACTATAGGAAAACTTGGAGCTAAGAGACAGAAAAACATAGAAACAAAGTGACACAAGGCTTTGGGGGGCCATGAAGTGATGGGGGGGAGAGACTGACATCACACATTGACGTGGGGATGTGAGAAAGCACCTGACTTGACCTTGTACTTCGTCCCCCATGCAAAGCTGTTTGGACACCCTAGTGGATGTTATATCTGGCTCCCAGTACATATCTAGATATAGCAACATGGAAGAAATGCTGTTGGGAAATCCCTGTAGCCTTGGTGAACCTGCAGTCCAGTCTATGGACAAGCAGTCCAGACTACTGAGCAGGAGCTGATGCTCCTGAGGAACAATCCCACCAACTCTCGAGGGTGCCATGTTCACCTCAGTCCTTCTTGCCTGAGATGTCAAGAAGCCACAGGTTGCCAAAGAAATACTGGATTCCAGGCTAGAGCATGATTCCCAAAACCCCGCATGTCTTTTCTTTTGAAAAAAATTAAAAGAAGCAAAAATTCTACCAAGGAGGGGCAAGACTTGGTTCAGACTTCTGAGCAGTACACCAGAATAATAAAGGCTCAGTTTAACTCTAGCAGTTGATCTGTCCTGGAGCTATCCATGGTCCTAGCATCTGGCTAATCCCTTGGCCCTGAACCCTGCTTGCTCCAGCTGCTCTACAGCAGCTCCCCTGCAGTTTGTTCAGCTGCTGGTTTCTGCTCCCTGTTACCTTAAGCTTCTCTGCACTGCTCCATCCATTCTCAGCAGACATTGTCTTTTCACTGTTGACCTCAAGCCGTCAGGAAAGGACGATGGCAAAGACGGAGGGGTGGGGGGGGACACTGCAAGCACATTTGCCATATCGTGTGAAACAGCACCGGAGGTACCCCTTCCTTTTGAATTTTCAAGGGTGGCATAGATGTGTAAAGGTTTGGCAACAGAAACTTCTGAATAAAGTTGGGGAGATTGATGTGCCCTGAGTGTCCATATGTGTTTGAGCAGAGCATGAACAGAACAGCACGCACTTTGTAGCATGGCCAGTGTCCTCGTTGGGACGACTTGAGCAGAAGCAACTTTAAATGTGTGGTTTTTTTGTTTTGTTTTATAGATACAGTAGCCAATGCTTCAGGTCCTTTGCTAGTGGAAATTGCAAAGACTCCCGGCTCTGCACTAGGAATCACACTAGCAACAAACACCCATCGGAATAAGCAGGTCATAGTCATTGACAAGATCAAGCCAGCCAGTGTGGTAGACAGGTATGAAGCCAAACTCTGTGGGGTCTTCTCCCATGTCTACTTTGTTTCCCCTTTCCTCATACTTTAAATCTTTCCATCTCTTGAAACTAATGGGGCAGCAGAGTGGGGGGGGGGGTAGGGTGGTATTTGAAAAATGCATCAATATAAGGAATATGTGCCATGAATAAGGAATATCCAGTATATTCAATGGAACTGGGGTGCTCAACAGCATAGGGGCAGGGTTTTCAAACTGTGTCCTGGGGAACTGTGGCTTTCTGGGGGGGGATGAATAATGGTAGGCAGGTTTCTCTGAAAGACCAGAGTACCAATTTTCTAATGCTATGTGCAGACACAGGGGTGTGTTTCAGGGCACTAGTTTTCAACCCTTTCAGTTCTGGGACTCACCTTTCAGCCTAAACAAGTCCTTGGGGACCCACCTCATGTTTTTTAAAAGCCATATATTTATGTGGTGGACAGTGCACCTGAGGTTAGGCTGCAACTTGGTAGTGGCTCCCAACCCATCAGTTGAAGACCAGCGGTCTAGAATGCTTACTCAGGTAACATAGGACAATGGCAAGGCCTAGCAGACTCAGGTGAATATCCTGTGTATATGCCCCTAGTGTATATTGCATTTCTTAGCAGGCAAGTTAATGTGGAAAATTGTCATTTCAAGACCAAGTATTTGCAAACCACTGACAGAAGTCAAAAAGAATAAAGAGTCTTTCGGTACCTTAAAGGCAAACACCCCCTGCATTTCATTTTCCTCTGACCTCAGTGCTTTTTTTCTAAAAAAAAGTTTAGACGTACTCTCATTTTCCTACTCATATTGAAATACTGCCCCTCAATGAGGCCAAACTTAGATTCACAAAATGTTTAGGGGTATGCGTACCCCTGCATATCCCCCCCCAAAAGGTACCATCTGACCTCATTGTTGACACTCCCACTTGCTCAAAGAAAACCCAAAGCCCATGATTGTATACACACTTTAACTCAGGATAGCCCTTAATCAGATGCATGAAGTTGACTGCACTCCATGGAAGCTTATGCCAAAGGACTCTTTCATCTTTCCCCCTTCTATAGCAGTGGTTTTCAGCAGTTCCACCTTGAAAGAGCACTCTTTCTTTTTTGCTGCAACTGACTGACACAGCTACTGCTCTATAAATTGAGATAAGGCCAGCACTGTAAGACACAAGGGCCAACAGAAGCATGTGACAATGCTGTTGCAAGTGAATTCACCATACCATCTTGTTAAAGATAACCAAATTCAGTTTCTTGGAGATTGAATAGGCCCTGGTGAATGTGTCTCTACGAGCGTAACTTAAAAAAATTAATTTGGGAGTTTTTATTTGACACCCCAGTTGATGCCTGGAACAGTGGCTTTCCAGCAAAGACTGAGCTTCCATTAAGCATGTCTTCTTGTACACTTTATTTGGCCTTTTACAGGTGTGTTTTTGTTGTGTGTGGCATAAATAAACACATCATTTGTTCATGTTTCAGAGGTCTTGTATCAAAGTATTTTAGTGGGGGAATAATTTGTTTCCCCAGTGCTTTACACTTCTTTACCTTTCCCCCAACTTTTGGGTGAGAAATACCATTTCCTCCAGCCACCCAGCTATCACCCCTTTTGCTCTTTTGAATGCTAATTGAAATGTGGTTGTGTGAGTATACAACCCCCACAGCCTGGGAGTGCTCCTCTATAGCCCTTTTAGGCAACAAAATGTTAAACACTATCTACTACCAGCGTGTGTCATTTCACAAACATTTTGTTTTCCAAAAGGTTCCTTCTGAAAGGTGGTAACCTATCTCCAGTGCTGGAATTTGTCTGCCCTGATCACTCAAACTCTTTTTTAAAGTGCCAAATGGCAAAGAATAAAAGCAAATAAGGAGAAAGTTTAGGTTATTTATTGCCTGGAAAAGACCCTTGGATACTTAAAGATAATTCTCAGACTCTGTTTGACACATGAATGTTTTCGCTTCAGTTCATAGTGAAGGGTAACTTCATTTCGCAGCCAAGCCATCTTGATAGCCTTTTGGATGAAATCTCTGTGCTTTCATGTGTGTCCAACCAGATGGATCCAAGGCTGGACCTCTGGCATTCTAAATTTTGACTTCAGCTAAATCCCAACAGAGAACATTGCAGGAAGCAGGTTCCACGCAATGGTAAACAGGGCTTGGGTGAGGCGTGTGTGTTTTGCGTGAATCAGTTAGGTTGTGAATTGTTGTAGTGGCGACCACAGGTGACTCCTCTGTTTTGCTCTGTGTCTTCTCCTGCAGGTGTGGGGCCTTGCATGTTGGCGATCACATTCTTTCCATTGATGGCACCAGCACTGAACATTGCTCCTTGCTGGAGGCTACCCAACTGCTAGCTGCAACGTCAGAAAACGTCAAGTTGGAGATACTACCTGCACACCAGAGTAGACTCCCCCTCAAGCCTCCAGACACGGGTGTGTGCCCAGATTGATTGTAAGATATGACACAACACTGCTCCCTCTGGGAACTGGCGTGTAATAGCCAAACTGTGTCCGTCTGGCCTTTGCAGAATATCTGTTAGGTTGTGAGAGTTCCTTGGTTGGCATTGTGATCCCATAGAAACAGAATAGACTATATTGTGCATTTTTATGGATTTAACTGTTTTATATGCAGTTTTATTTGTACACTACCTAGGGATTTTCATTCTTAAGCACTTTATAAATCTTCTAAATAAAAAAATTGGGTAAGGATGCTAAAAGCAGGTGAGAGGTGATTGAAACCTGACCTTTCATTGGATCGTAGATCTTCCAAAAAATATTCATACCCAATCAGCTGGATCCAGATTTAATCTGTCTACAAGCATGAATGACTCTGGATCCAACGCAATAGTTGTTATTTAAAGACAGTTTTCACGAACTCATATTCATTTAGTCAAACAGGCAGGTAAATATATATCTGGCAGATGTAAAATGAGAGATGTGCTAATATTGACCTTTCAGTAGAGAAACACTCTTCTAACCAAGGCTGATGGCTAAACCAAAGACAGGTTTATGTCCTGTGTGTTCTTATACAGTGAAATATTTATTTATATAACACACTGTATCATAAAGATAAATCACAGTGGTTTAAAAACATGAAGCCAAACAATAAAGTCATAAAAATTTAAAAAAAACAAGTTAAAAGCTAAAAGAAATTAAAAACAATTTTTAATAAACCATTGTAGGGGCTGCACTCTTAATTGCCTGATTCTTTTCAGCAAACATTTAAAAGATGGTACAGAAGGTACCTGTTGAATGTCATTACCATCATGGGTGAAGCTGCATTATGAATTAAACCAGGGCTACAACTTTAAATGATAAATCACTTAATTCATATATCTTTAAAAAAAAGTTTCCCTGAAAAGATGCTTAGATTAATTCAACAGGCAACTTTTTGAAAATTACTTAAAGAAAGTGCGGGTGGCAACCATCATTTTAGAAGGAAGATTCCCCTCCCCCCCCACCCCATTTCATGCTTTTTCTAAGATGCTCCTACCCCATGTTTCCTGTGCAACATCTAAAAACAAATAATTTATGCCTTTTGCTTCAGAACTATTGTGTGTAATCACATGCAAATTTAATTAACTAAAATGTATGTAAATCTAGATTTGTATTTATTTAAGTGAGAGCTAGGCCCTTGGTCAAAGTGTGTGCCCCCTGCATTCTAAAAAGGACTTTGGAATCAGGACCAAAAATTCCTTGACAGGACTAACACTAATAAAAACAACACCCAAAAGCATAAGGCACCAAAAATAGAGTGATACCTAATTGTTTAGGTATTATTATTATTAAACAAATGCTTTTCTAGATGAGAGGGCGTGTCTCAATTCAGTTCTATGTGCATAAAAACAATTTGCGGGAAAAATAACAAAATGCCAACAAGTTAGCAAGTGTCCAAAATTGAACCCCCTTTGAGCTGGAGGCCCTGGGCTAAATGGCCCCTCCTGCCTGCCCCACCCTCTCTGATTGGCCCTATCCACTGGCTTCTGGTTGGCCACTGTAAGAACAGGATGCCATTGGCTCTTCTTATGTTCTTAACTTTCATCATCCCACACCATTGGCCATTATGGTTGGGTCTGATGGAAGTTGGAAGGCCAGAAACATCTGGAAGGCCACAGGTTCCCCACCCCTGACCTATGGAAATCCTGGCATTTGGGTATTGTGTCCAAGGTGAAAGTTCACACTTTCCCATTCCTCTTGACAGTACCACTTCTTTGTGTGCTAGTGGCATACTTCAGAAGTATTGGTTTGACAGTTTATATGTGCAGGTGCTTGCAGACAGCTGGGAACATTATTACAGAAGTTATTTAGAAGTGTGGCTTAGTAAAAATGACTATAGTTTCTCTGGCAAAATTCTCAGCGATTTAGGAATAAATTTCCACAAGTCCTGCTTTTCAGCTGCTATTGCAGTGAGCAATCTCTCTTAGCTATGGTTAAACTCCAGTTCTTATAACCTTGCACAGTCTGATAACCATCCTTCACGGATGAGATACTCGGCTCTACAAATTGAACTTTCAGAGGCAGCTTAAATGCTGGCAGCGCATGGAGGGCATGGAGTATTTTGGAGGAATAGCACCCCCACGACAAGTGACTCCGCTACATGCCTCTGACCTAAAAAGCCATTTCCCTGCGTGACTTTAAACATCAGCAGTCTATTTTCCCTTCGTCCACTCTCCAGTGGATGCTAAGCTTCTGTGGCCAATTTATAGAAATATAATTGCCTTGAGTCAGGTGTTTGCAAATGTCTCTGCGCTCTTGTTTCTGGTTACACCAAGACACGCAGGCAGCTGCATTCACTATGACATCAGCAAAAAGAGAATAACCTCAAGCATTTTTATTTTTCAATGAAATGATGTTGAAGAACGCTCCATTCCATGTGTGTATTGAGAGAGCATCCACATGCTCTTCTTTGCTAGTTTTAAAAGTAATGGGGGGGGAGAGAGAATCTTTAACATGGGCAAATAATGTCTGTTGCCATGAACGATATCTTTTAAATTCAGGCATGGTAAAGATTTCTTCAATGGCCAATGAGCCAGAGTTGCTGTTTCAGGCCTCAGCTGATAAGCAAGAGAACGGTATTCAGCATGTTGTGTGACTCAGGGGTGGAGCACATGTCCTAAATGCAGAAGATCTTATTCCTAGCTCCCTCATTTAAAAGGAACATAGGAACGTACCCTACACGTAGTCAGGTCATTGGTCTGTTTTGTCCCCACTGACTGGTAGCATCTCTCCAAGGTTTCAGAAAGGAGTGCTTCCCAGCTGTACCGAGAGATGCCAGGAGCTGAACCTGGGCCTTCCGGTCAGGTAGCAGAATTAGAAAGGGCCCCTCCCATGAAATATATTGATGAGTTGGGCTACAACTCCCATCATCCCTAGCTAGCAGGACCTGTGGTCAAGGATGATGGGAATTGTAGTCCAAAAACAGCTGGAGACCCAAGTTTGGAAAACTCTGGGTTAGATGATACTGATAGTACAGTAGATACTATGAGAGCCAAGGGTCTAATGTAGTATAAGGCAGCATCATGAGTCATACATGCATGCGACCTTGTGATTTCCATTTTGAGTTAGCAGTGACTTCTTGCTTCTTGGTTTGCCGAGGATCTCTTAACTGTATAACCTCCTGATAATTAAAGCAATGATTCTCCCACAAATGCTATCCCCAGTGACAAGTTCACATGCCCACAGACGAGCAGCAGAAATATAGCAGAGGGGATGGTTAAGTCTTTCCCTGAGGAAAGGAAGTCATGTGGACTGGTCAATCTATGCTGAATCTGGTTAGCCCTGCAAGGGACCCTGTGCTCTAGGATGAAAGTCACAAACAGAACTTCTGCAGTCTGTAAACTGCTGTAACCTCTACCAGGATCATTGAAGCTGTGTGGCTGGGGTGGGGGGAAGGCTTTTAATAGCATATACTTTGTCCCCCAAACAGACAAAGACTCTGTCCTGATAGAACCACCTGTCCATAGTCTTCTTGACTTTTTTTTTCCCAATAGTGGGATAACCACAAATTCGCTTTGCATGCCATGTATAATTATGCTGTCCTTTTTTTCTTTTTTGTCATATTTCCTGCATCATGCTGGACAAAGTCAAAGTGCAGAAGAGTGACCACCACCATTGCTGGGATCCCTGTGTCAGCTATTGCCACACTCACCATCCAGGGCATTGCAAGACACCCACCTGGAACCAGACATCCAGCCAGGATTACTGCAAATGTAACACTCTCTTGATTTTCTCTTCTCTGTTGACCTGCCCAGCCACAATTTTGCATTCTCTGCAAGCAGCACTGAATCTGCCACATTTCTTGCTCCTGTGGACAAGCCTTGCCCCCTCTCCATTTGTCAAGACATCTCATACTTCTCCTGTTCCATCCAGTAGACCCATGTCTTCAAACAAAGCCATTATGGAAGTTGCCTAGTCTTCCGTCAACTTCTCCTGACTCTACCCTAGCACACCCTTGGTATTCATGGTCATCTGCCTACTTTTACCTGTCTTGTCCACTGAAAGGAGATTAGGTCTTCAGCCAGGACCCCTTCTGTGCTCCGTATGAAAGCACAATGAACCACATGGTGTAGTGATGCAATCTTCCACTTAATTCTTTTCTAAAAGAATGTGAGTGAGGAGTGGGGGAGTCCCTACGATGAAAGCTCCGGAGAAACTCCTTCAGCAATGTGGAATTTGGCAGGTTTAGCAGTTTTGTAGGCCAGCAAAATACGCTGGCATCCTGCAGACGGGTGGGGTGAAGTTTTAACATAACTATTTTTTTAATGTGCTTTGGGGAGGGGAAAATAATTACTAGTAAGCTACTCATTTTTGGTATATGTTCAGGCATGTGCATTGTACACAAATAGGCACGTGTGGGATAAAGGTTGGGGCCAACAATGATGGCAAGAAAGGCTGATTTCTGACACTAAGCCTGTGTTTCTATCCAGCTCTTGTAGCTGCCAGCTTTGCATCTCCCACGATGAACACGTCAGCGTTTGCCTGCCAGAATTCTAATACTCTACCTCGAAGCAACCATCCCATGAGCCCACGGGCCACCATGTTGAGGAGAAGACAAAGGAAGAAGGAGCACAAAAGCTCATGTAAGGGTCACAGGCAGTTGACTAATGGGGGGTGGGTAGGTAGGTAGGCCTGCTCTGTTCGGGGTTACTTGGAATTAAAGTATTCATTACTTAAACTACTGTTGCAGTTCTCTGCGCTCTCTTTTTTAAAAAATAAATAACAAAAGGCGAATGTATATCCTTTCAATTCTTCCTCCAATTTTTCTATTGGGGTCCCTTGAGTTCTCTGTGGAGCTTTCAAATCCCCCTCAGAAATTGCTAGAAACTTGAAGTTCTTGCCTCAGTGGTTCCCAGAAGCCATGTGTGGGAGAGTAAGAGACATATTTTTTAATGACTGGAAGGTGCTCAGAGTTAGTATTGGGATCTTTTTCGTCCTTTCACCTTTTAAAGAGGGTGTATCTGGATGTTGGTGTTTCCAAATTGCTGAGCACTATTTCCTTCTCCATCATGGGGCATGCATATCAAAGCCCAGGCCTACTGACAGCGTTACTTAGTTCACACACTCCATTATGTGCGCAGTAGAGCTGAACATGTGTTTCTGTCGGCCCCCCTCAACCACAGTCTTCAGCCTACTGAATGTGCAGTTGGGAACGATCCCAAAGCCATTCATCAGTTCATCTGTATGGTAAACAGTTTTATCTGATGATAGTTTTCCTCTCTTCAGGTTTCCCTTCCCTCTTTGAGCTGATCTTTCCTACTGCAGCTAGTCGAGGAGGATGTTGTAACCACAGCACTTCTTATATGTTCTGTGTGCATCTCTCTTTGAGCTCAAAACCTGCCTTAGCTGCATATTTCGTCTCTCTGGGCCACATGGTAATATGATGTTGCCCTCTATAGACTTTCTCTGCACCCCAGACTAGGATTGAAAGGGGTTTGACCAAACAGTTAAGAAACTGGGTTCCGGTGGCAAATTTCCAATGGGTGCAAGCTTCTGGGTTGTTCAGTGAGGAATAGTTCTGGTCATGATAGATATAAAACTCATTTGGGGACTGCAAAAGCCTAGTGCTCCGGTAGCAAATAATGTACAGTGGTACCTCTGGTTACGTACTTAATTCATTCTGGAGGTCCGTTCTTAACCTGAAACTGTTCTTAACCTGAAGCACCACTTTAGCTAATGGGGCCTCCCGCTGCCGCCGCGCCACTGCTGCGAGATTTCTATTCTCATCCTGAAGCAAAGTTCTTAACCCGAGGTACTATTCCTGGGTTAGCAGAGTCTGTAACCTGAAGCGTATGTAACCCGAGGTACCACTGTACTTCAAAATGGAGGAGGGGAGGTGCTGTTTGTAGTAAAAACAAAGCACAAATTGCAGATGTTCCGAAAAGAGTGTGTTGCTACCTTGAACCTGTCTCTCTTCTTTCAGTGTCATTGGCCTCTAGCACTGTGGGACCTGGAGGGCAGATTGTTCATACGGAAACAACAGAGGTGATTCTAAGAGGAGACCCCTTGAACGGCTTTGGACTGCAGCTGCAGGGAGGGATCTTTGCTACTGAAACTCTCTCTTCTCCACCTCTCATCCGATTTATTGAGCCTGACAGCCCAGCAGAGAGGTTAGAGACCTTGCTCTTGGATTTCAAATGATAATGATAGCATTCCCTTTTGTTAATAGAGGTGTCTCCCCACACGCAGAGGTCACATCTTTATTACCTTCCTCGGAATTCTAATTGTTTGTGACTTTGGGCTGGCACATCCGTCAAGGGAGTAGTAATAGGAAGCCCGTGCCTGCCACAAATTATCTATCAGAGAGACTACCTATTTGTGCTCCGTTTCGACACAGCTTGCTCTATTTCCTCCTCAAGACGAAACATCATCATTCTAGAGGTTTGATGATTTCTTGCTGTGTTATTCAACCTTCTAACAATCAAAAGCATCCTACCATGAAATGGTTACAATCCATTAAAATTGCACTGTAATCATCTTGGTGAGCCTGCAGCTTGATTAACCCAAAGGGCGCACTCTGCTTTATGGTCTAAATTTGACCACCCCTCATATAGTGCCAGAAGGAATAGATTCCGTTGATGTTGCATCTGCCGTCTGAGGAGCAGCAAAGAGCTTGCATCTTCTCTGGAATAACAATTCATTTCATTCTTCTCAGAAAAGGCACCTGTCCTCATATTGGGTGCAGTTCCAAGAGGCATTAACCTTCAGGTGGGGAACCTCAGGCCTAGGGTGGAGGGGGAAATGTGGCCCTCCACATCTCTGCCTGGCCCCCGGAGCCACATTCCTCACCAGCCCTGCTTGTGCCCTCCGAGAGTGATTTTTGCCTGGCTGGAATGTGTCCTTGGACTCTGGTAATACTTCTTGATTGCTTCTTGGGTGGAGGGTAGAGAAAGGTGTGTAGAGGAAGCAGCCTACTGCTCAAAGGTACCAATTCTCATTCATTGTTCCACCTGCCTTTGCCTCTAGCCTTGCTCACCACTGGCATGTGGCCTCCAAAAGGTTGCCTGAAAGCAAATGCTGCCCTAGGGCTGGAAAAAGTTCCTCCTCCCTGCATTATCTGAACCATGCACAAATATATTTTTGCTTTGTATTAGATTGATATGGGTACATGAACAAATAGAGACATGCTGAATAAACGTGGGCTGGAAATGAGAAAGGTAGCAACATACAGGCAGCGACTGGTTTAGGCGCATTTGGTATGTGTGTGACCATGCATGCGTGCATCATGTCAAACCCAGAAGTGACCTGAAAAGTCACAAAAAGGGGAAAAACAGGGTGTTTGCAGGCTTTCTCAATGGGTGTTCTGATTATATGCGATTTCACATAAGTGTGCAGTGCCTCAGAACACAAGCCCCACACGAATCGGTCGCTGCCTGTATCTAAGTAGTAACCAACATGATGCTCCCCTCCAGACGTTGTTGGATTAGAACTCTGATCAGCCCCAACTTTGATCAGCCCCTGCCACCCTTGTCAGTGGTGAAGGCTGTTGAGAGTCAAAGTTCAACAACATATAGAGAGCCACAGATTTCCCCAGCCTTGCTTTAGGAAATCAGTTTGTATGTGTGTTCCTTTTGTTATCCATAGCTCCCATTTTGCCCAAGTAGCCATTTTGGCACAGGATATCGTTATCAAAGTCACCCGGCCACAGTGCTAGCGAAAGTGTAGTGTAGACTGTAATTGTGGTGTAGAATGTGGTTGCATTGTGTCACCTGTAGTTGTTGGGTGAAAGGAATGAAATCTGAGCTGGTTGGTTTTTGCTTGTGAGTTGATTTACGCCGAAGTCAGCCATTGAACCCCAACTGCATTTTTATCACACCTTTCCTTGAAGGAGCTAAGACCCAGCAATAAGATCTGAAAGAAAAGAATGGATCCAGGTATTGCTGCTTTTACTCCCGGCAGTTTGGGTGGACTTCGTGGTTATGAAATCACCAGTTTGTTTGCTTTAAAACAACACACAAATAAATAAACAGATCAGGCTTCAACAAAGCTTGCAGTTCCAGGGGGCTTGGAATCAGCCCAGGTTTTTTTATGCTATTGCGAAAGCTCCAAGCAAAAAAAAGCAATGTGTTGCTGTATGGACTTGCCTGAATTGAATGAGTCATGCATTTAGCTTTTTCCTTCCATGCCTGCCCGGCAGGATTCCCTTTGTTAGTTGTTTGTTCCCTCCACTCATGTGGAGATTGACAATATCTGCCCAGCTAAGCTGGGTACAGTTTTACCTGGGGTCTGGAACATCACTGGTAACCCCAAAGGGTAGCTTCTGTAAGTTACACTGCACCACCTGTTCAATCAATACAACATCATCCTTTGGAATTGTTCATTTGGGACATATTGTGTAAGACTCCTGGTTTTTTAATTGAGGTTATGCCTTGTGGCCAGCTATATTTGGCATCGCGCAGAAGGCCCAATCAATTTCTAGGTTTTGTTACTTGTCCAATAGATTGTTAAGCACAAAACCCATAAATGGAGGGCCATGCTCTGCGTTGTGAGTCACACATTTGCACAGGCATGGTTAATATTCATGCCAGATGACTTCAGACCCCAGACTCATCAGCAGGAATCAGACTGGAGGTTGGGATGATTAGATTCATTGCAGAGGGCCAAGGAAACGTTGCCACAGAAGTGTGAGGTGGGCGGATTTTGCTTTATGCTTTTGGGTCTGGCTGCCATGTTTGTTTGTTTGTTTGTTTGTTTGTTTGTTTCATCTCACTTTTTCTCCAAGGAACGCAAGGTGGCAAACATTGTTCTCCCCCTCCTTATTTAATCCCTGTGAGGTATAGGTTAGGCTGAGAGGCTGTAACTGGCCCAAAGTCACCCATTGAGTTTCATGGCTGAGTGGGGATTTGAACTCCAGTCTCCCAGTTCCTAGTCTGGCACTAACCACTACACCCCATAGTGACCAGGTTTCTAGTGACCCTGGATGGCTTTGCTCATTTTCTTGCTCTACCCACACTCCCATTTCTTCTACCTTCTGGATAGTTTAGTTGAACAATACAAAACAAAAAACAAAAAGACCCCTAACCATTAGTGTTATTTGCAGTTTGGTAAACCTTTCCTTCATTCCTCCCCTAGGTTAGCCCGTATAAAATCCTTTAAAATCCAGATTGCAGCAGACACCTTGAATATTCTTTTTTTATAGGAAGGCAGGATAGAAATATTGAAAATCAATTAATAAATACTTTTATCTCTAAAAGACACATTCTGCAAATACTGACCTTTCACATCCTGCGAATGATTTTTTTTCCCCCTTGAGAAGGATTCAAACAAGATAGAGAAGGCAGTTTGCATCAACAAATGCTGGTTAAACACAGAGATAAAAACAGGGCAGTATCAGAGATGAAAGAGATTTACTCACAATTTCCCCATCTCCCAATTCCCCTTTGCAACTTTTGATATTAGCACTCTCCAGAGAAGTTACTAGGTAACTTTTTTTTTTTTTGGCTGTTGAACAGTTAATATATCTTTTGCAGACACTGTGTTTAGTATTTTGGTAGTCCAAACTGGTTTACTCTGGGGTTTCCCCGATTGTGTCTTCTTCCCTGCCCCTTTTGAGGGTGGAGGGTGTTGTAATTTTGTCATAAAAATCAGTGCATTTAACAGTAACTCATTCTGGCTTTCCCCTCATGCTCCCTGATGCATAAGCAAGGGAAGGAGCTCCATATTAAAAGTCACATGTGTGCATGCTATTTAAAACCCTATTTTGATGCCTCCAGCTTTGCTGCTGAACTCATCCCACCTCCAGGAGGTCAGTTTTCTTCTTCACCTTCAATGCTAGCATCCCTTGACTGTGGCCTCCAATTCAGTACGGATGCCATTATGTGTAGGAGCATTGCGCACATTTCTGCCTATGGAAACAAATCTGTTGACCCAATTTTATGCACAGTGCAGAGAGCTTGTTCTGGCAGTCACTATTCATGCGTGGTGGTCAGTGTGAAGACAGCAAATGTTTGAATTTAAAAGGCTGTCATTTTGAGAGGGGGGAGGTAAACAGGCCCATTTCTCAGCTTATGCTTGCTGAATGAGAAAACTGAATATTTCCTTTCAAGATACTTCAATGAGTCTCCACTTCAAATTCTCCCCTCCTAGTCAGAATATGAACGCTTATTCTACCTCCTCTTTTTCTTTTTAATAATTTTAATAATGTCATATTGTTTATAATTTGTAGCCAAAAAGCAGTAGCAGGCTGCGAGCATTGTCAAATCATACAGGGGAAAAATAGACTCAAAGTGTAATAGAATCAAAGGGGTTCTGAGAATTTAACCGAGGCTTCCCTGAGTCTTTGTGCACCTGGGGAGTCAACAATCATCCATTCTATAGCAAGATACTAACCCTTATTTCTCTCCCAGAGTCAGATGCAGTTTCTGCTTACCAGTTTTGATGGGGACTTATGAAGCTGCCATTCGGCTTGCTTGATCTATCAGTTCATCCAGATGTTTTCCAGTTTTGGTTGTCCAATATAGGGGAGGGGGTATTGTTTTACACGATGCCTCATTGAGCTTCAGAGGTGATCATATCACTTCCAACTTGCAGCAAGAGGCTTGCGGTGGCTCAGGAGGAAGACTGGAACTCATCTGTTTCACATGGTGCTCCTGAGGTGCTTGGAGTCTCTCCAAAGCAGAGCGCAAGGCAGATGAGTCCTACTGCCCTTTCCTGAGCATGGAGTCATCTCCACAGTCATGTGGTCCCACTAAAGCATTTGGATCACCTCCAAAGCAGTGTAGGCAACCCCTCGGCTCCTTCCCAAGCTCTGAGCATTAATCACGCTCACTACAACAAGGATGAAAGCTTGCCATGGCAAGTCAATGGAGCTCTTGCTCCATGTAACCTAGTGCTATCTATTTAACTGGAAGTGACTTCAAAGCATGTATTTTGCTGCCGAGCGACAGCCTCTCACCAAAACCATGTAGAGCCTCTGATAACACAGGGTGTGCTTTCAAAACACAGTTTACGTTACGTGGAACTATGCCCTAAGCTTTGTAAAGAGGCTAATGTGTTTTGACTGGAGGTGATTTTTTACCTCAGCCCACCACAAATATGGCTCCCATTTTGTTTCAGTTGTGCTATAGTAATAGGTCCTTAATTCTTTTGCCACCGCTTCCTCTCCCCTTGACTTCGCTTACATGTAACAGACCAGAATGTATATTATGTGAGGTAATTCAGAGATGACCACAGAGCGAGAAATGCTCCTGCCGCTGGGTAACCACTGAGAGCCCAAACAGAGGCCATTTGATTCCTTTCTCCTCAAGGGTACCTTTGTTTCAGGTCATTGCTTGCAATGATGAGGCTGTGGTTAGAACTAATTTAGTGTGCCTTCCAGTTAGTAAAGAGAGGAGGCTCGCCATCTTATTTTTCCTGCTATCTTTAGAAATTAATTTGTGTCCCATCTGTTGTCCAGTTGGAAGGACTGTGTGGCTGCCCTTTTTGACGAAGAAAAGGCCAACCCCCGGCCCCTTTCCCAGCAGCCAGAAGCACCTTAAAAGTGCAATTATTTCCTGCTGCAAACTTGCAAGCAGGGGCCAAACTAGATACCCTTTGCCCTAACAGCTTGTGTTTTTAAATAAAAACAAGAGCTTTCCCTGCCATTCCCCACTTGAAATCCCCTTTCCACCTTCTTTCCAATCCATGGTAGAAGAGAACCAGCATGACCAGTGGTCAGGGATGATGGGAGTTGTAGTCCAACAACATCTGGGGACCCACAGGTTGAGAACTGCTGCTCTATACCATTAGCCAGCAGAAATAAAAATTGCCTTTTGCTATTTATTTATTTTTAATGTACATGACTTGTAGAGCTTCAGGTGCCACTTGTGCAATTGGCTCATCAAGTAGCTCTTCATTAATAGAATCATAGAACTGTCGAGTTAGAAGGGACCCCAAGGATCATCTGGTCCAATCCCCTGCTATGCAGGAATCTCAGCTAAAGCACCAGTAAGTTTTTCCCGTCGCATCTCCACAGCAGGACCCTGACTTTGCATGAACTAGACAGAACCAGACAGAGGGCCTTCTCGGTAGTGGCGCCCACCCTGTGGAACACCCTCCCTTCAGATGTGAAGGAAATAAGTAGCTATCCTATCTTTAAAAAACATCTGAAGGCAGTCCTGTTCAGGGACGTTTCTAATATTTAATGTTTTTAACACTTGATTGGGAGCCGCCCAGAGTGGCTGGGGAAACTCAGCCAGATGGGCAGGGTATTAATAATATTAATAATAATAGTAGTAGTAGTAGTAGTAGACTATTATTTTAATTTTATTTTATTGAATGTTGCTTTTCTTTAATAAATAAAAAAGGCTGCAATTTATCCACCTACCACATAAGCACAACTTCCCACTGTTACATGTGGAATGCATGTTGAGCCACTGTCGCTAGCGTAAGGCTCCTATGAATATAGTCCTTTAAAGTCTCAGTTTGTGTGTGTTCTTTTAATTTTATGGATTCCACAAAAGCCTTGGTGAAAGAACTGGAAACAACAAAGGAAGAGGAAGCCAAATGCTTGATTAAAAAACTAACTAAAGCATTTTTTTTGCAAGAGCTGGTCACATTTTCAGACTGTCCCTGTAACAATGGCAAGTGCTTCATGCGCATTCGTTCCCATGAACTTTGCACTTGAGAACCTCTGGGTATACAAGCCATTATTATTATGAAATTGAAAGGGAGTGGTAGGTCTCAAATTCCCCGGGATCACAGAAAAGTAGGACTTGGTTGGGCTCATGTTTTCCATGAGTCTAGTACAGCAAAGGGAGGCCAAGCCAGGGGCAGAGGGGAATTCATTGCTTTGAATTCTGTATTTACTTTTGAAGAAGTTAGCTGTGGCATCTCATGCCAATGCCTTTGTTAGGCGATCGTGGTTTCATGTCACAAAATTTTATAAACCTGCAAGATTTGAGTGTGAAACATCCTGTTAACTCTGTTCAGTCTACTAATAAGAGAGATAAAAAGCTTTTGACTCGGCTTATTAAAACTATCTAATGTGTAGAGCAAAAGGATGTTAATATATATATATAACCGACTTTCTCCTACTTATCTGTACTCCACAAGATGGTTTGACGATAGTGCCTAGAAGCTCGGTGCAGTGGTTATAAAAAGAGCAGTTAAAGTAATGGATCCTTCGCAGTCCTGGATGGATACTTTAGAAACGTCTCAAATTGATAAAAAGAACAGCTTCTGCAAATCCTCAAATACTTCTCCAGCCATTCATAATAACTACTGGACAGAAGGGAGTTTACGAAAAGGGAGGAGTGTGACTGTTGTCTCTTTAACCAGAAAATAAGAACCTCTGGATTTAAGCCAACTAAGTGACTGCATGAGTGGAACAACCTTTGCTCACACAACTGAACTTCTTCTCCCTCACCTATACCCACACCATCCACAAATCTGCTCCAGAGAGTTGGGGAAAGCCTCTGAGCTCATTCATTAAATTTGTTGTATGCCACCATGGTGTCAGTACATAAATAACAAATAACAGATTGATGTCTTGTTTCATACCCAGATCCTTTTTGCTCAACAATTTTTATTTCTCTTCATTTCTTGCTGTGCTCTGCCTGTTACTTGACTCCTCCTTGCTCTCCTATAACACTGGAGTTAGTTGTTGCAAAACACCAGGCAGCAGTTGCCTTATGCCAAGTGCATGCCAAGGCAATCCTGGAATTGTGTCTTATAATAATATTGGCTTTTCAGCACTGTTAAGCAGCACCCATGTGTATTTGACTTCAAGGTAGGAAATTACAAGGGATAAATGATTACCCAATTTGTTGAGACATTGAGGTGAACCCACAGACTTGTAGCTTGTGCTATTACCCACATATTAATCAGAGCAGTGTGTAATGTTCAGTGCCATTAGTCTGGGCGTCAGTGGGCTCCGGCATGCTTAATGTGACTTTTGTAGCATTAGACATGGCTTCAGAGCAAGGGCACCTCTCGGTTTTTCTGTCTTCAATACAGCTTTGATCTTAGTTGTAGTGAGATACATAATATGTATACACACACACACACACACACACACACACACACACACAATATATATATATGGTGTCAGGAAGATGTTTAATCTAAGAATAGAAACAATTTCAGCAGGAGCTGGCATTAATTTGCAGAACACATCTTAAAATTCTCCAAAACATGTCAGGCTCCAGCATCCATGTGCAAAGGTGATTCTGTGTTCTGTTGGGGCATCTCAGAACTTCACACCAGGAGTGGAGGACCTCTTCAGCCAAAGGGGCACATCCCCTTATCAACATCCTTCGGGGGGGGGGCACCTGCTAGTAGTGGGTGTGGCCAGAAGCAACAGTGGGTGGAGTGATGAATGTGATTCATAGCTTTGTACAAGAAGCTGCATTCAAGCCACACAGAAGTCAGAGGTTTTGCATACACACAGACATGTCCCTCCCTCCAGGCGAGCAAGAGACATCATTATCCCTTTCCAGCCAGGCAAAAGTACTTCAAGGTGTGGAGCCAGCTTGCAAGTAGCATGGCCTGGGATGTGGCTTGGGGAGAGTCCCAGTGACCAAACATAGAGAGGCCTGGGGCGGCCAGGCCTCACACTCATACTCTGGTTGCCCATCTTTATTGCTGCTCTGACTGGCTTCTTTGAAAAAGGAACCTGAGGCTCTCTATGAGTCTCTTGCCTTTCCTGATCTCTCCCATGCTTTTCCTCCACTCTGGACTACAGGTGTGGCCTCCTGCAAGTTGGAGATAGGGTGCTTTCCATCAACAGCATTGCAACAGAAGATGGGACAATGGAAGAAGCCAACCAGCTCTTGCGGGATGCAGCACTTACTAACAAGGTTGTGCTGGAGATTGAATTTGATGTAGCAGGTATGGAAACAATTGTTTGATACAGCCCCAAACTCCCTTTTAATGGTGCTTCTTTGTCTTCAGACAATGTCTTAAAACTGTGGATTTAATGGATTTTGGAGGCAGCACCAAGTTGTTTTCAGCAGTTGAGAAATTAGATCAGGCTCATGGACTCAGTTGTTTCTTAGCAAGTACTCCTTCTTGAAGCTAGAAATAGAGGGTTTCCCTCAAGCTTCTAGCATTGCTTCAGTATACTTTTGGAACAGCCTTTGGGAAAGCTTCAAACATACCATCAGTGGTATTGCAACTTTAGTGGAACTTAACTAGGAGAGGGACTGTGGCCCAATGGCAGAGAACATACTTTACACACACACACACACACACAATCTGGTAGATGTTTTTAGATGTTTTAATTGTTTTACCATTTATGTGTTGGCTACCCAGGGCTCCTTTGGCAGGAAATCTGGGATGGAAATAAATGAATTAATTAATACTATGATCTCCACTTCAAATACCATCTTTGTGTTAGCTCTTAGCTGCGTGCTCCCACAATTTATCTTCACAAGTTGTAGTTGACGCAGCACATCTCAGCAAAGCAATGCGAAACTGCATTATCCTTTCTTGTCTAATCTTCTTGGTTCTACAGAATCGGTCATTCCCAGCAGTGGCACCTTTCACGTGAAGCTACCCAAGAAAAGAGGTGTGGAGCTTGGAATTACTATCAGCTGTAAGTATGGCTCATGTTACAGCTGCTTACTTAGAAGTTGTATTCATGTCAGGTTGTCTCCAGCTCCACCATATGTGTGGTGCTGCACCTTGAAAATAGTTTCAAGCTGCAACTGCTGCAAAATGCTGTGGGTTTCACTGGCTTTTATTTATAAACTCAGTATTCCAAAAGATATGGGACACGGGTGGCGCTCTGGGTTAAACCACAGAGCCTAGGACTTGCCAATCAGAAGGTCCCTTTACCTTTTGATTCCAAAAAATAGTAATTTCAATAAATCCTAATAGTTTCACATTTTGATATTTATCCAAAGTTCACACTTAAATCAGTCAAGGCATCTTAGTAGAATTACATCAGATTAGTTCCTGGCTGCATCTAGTGTTGTGACCATTATATTTAATATTCAAATTCCAGATGAGTGCATACTTAAAAATAAAACTAAATAGCCATAGCTACATCACCACCTCTTGACTATAAAATGGAACCAATAGTGGCTGGCATCATAGGGCTTTTGTGAATATGAACATAATTATGAAACAATTAAGAAACAATAATTTAACTGATGATGGTATGTCAAGTGCAGGTGATCAAAGCATGTGATACTTGCTGCAAAACAGATACTTGCTGAGTTTTGCAGTAAGTGGAGTAAACAACTGGTCCTTTTAAAATAACTTGTATAATATGTAATGTGCCTCTTCTGGCCTCAGCTGGAATACTTTAATTCAAATACTTTAATTAAAGTCTTAGTTAAAATAGCTTCCGAGGATTGCTTGAGAGGGTTACATCTTGCAAGACATCATTTTGTCTAATCATGATTAAAACTCTTCCTGTGCTGTATAAGTTTCACAAAATATTTTGAACTTGTAAGCAGGTCAAGATCAATTCATATTTTTCCTTTCAATGTGATGAAAACTTTTTTCATTTGGGTCTACGTTTTACCATGTGGTAGAGTCTACCTAAGGAGTTGGCACAAATTTGATAAGGATCTGTAATCTCGCCAAATGATTTGTGATTGACACCAAATAGTTTAGTAATAGCAATGTCAGAAAGTCCTTTTCCTCCTTTGTAAATTAAAGCGCAATCCTACGCATATCGACTCAGAAGTAAGCTCCATTGAGTTCAGTGGGATTTATTCCTAGGTCAGTGTGTTTAAGATTCCAGTCTGAGGCAGCTGAAACCAACAAAACTTGGAGGGGAGGAACACCAGGAGTAGATTTTTATGTGAAAAGACTGTGGTTTTAAGACTAGCACTGAAAACCATGTTAGAAGCCCTGATCTTACTACCGCAGACAGGGGAGACTTTCAACACATGTACATTGGTAGTACGTGAAGCGGAATTTAACCCTCCTCAGAAATACCTTTGTGAATCGTTCTGTTCTGTATTCAGGATTTGGAGGAGAGCTTGAAAGGAATACCCTGCTAGAACAATGTTTAATTTATAAACCCTGTCTTAAATTAATGGATTCTACAGAAGTATTCTAGTAGTAGTAGATTTTTATGCTGACTGCTCCTCTTTTGTAATTCAGACCTGAAATGTATTTTGTCCTGTGTATATTTGTGTTCCCCTTCGCTCAGCTATCCTTGAGTTCTCACGGCTTTTTTAAATCATCTCTCCCCCCCCCCAAACCCTTATGAACACTTTGTTTCTGAGATGTGGCTTTATAGCTGTATTAGACTTTGTTTAATTACACATTTCCCAAATGCTGCTTTGTCTCAATCAATAGTAGAAGGTGTTTTATAACTGGCAGAGTCACTGGTGCATGTGAGTTATGTGCTCAAGCTCCTCTGAGGGGAATAATTTCCCAGTCCAAGTCATTATGCATCCTATTAAAAACACAAAATGGACATGTGTTTTGAGACACTTCATCTATCATACCATAAAGCAGAAGTAGACAGGCTCCCTGCAGATATCATTCCTACGAATCAGGACAAGTAAATAAGAATGCTGAACATCCTTCCTCTTTTGTTGTGCTGAGACATGAGCTGGTACCCTCAAAATGTGGAATCACACTTAAATGCCCCTTAGTGTGAATACTGTGATCCATACAAAGGCAGCTAGCTGGCCGAGTTGTGGGCTCAGTTGGTGCAGTTACTAGCAAGCCTGAGATCTCTTTACTTGCCCGCTGCAACAATGAAGGCGAACAGGGTGCAGGAAGGGTAGCTTGTGAAATAGTATCAAGTTGGTTTGACAACAGCTTGCATTTCTGTTGTCCAAATGCCTGGTTATTGATCTGCAGAAATGTCACAAAGCTAAGCGTGTTTAATGTAGTAATACCTAAGAAAGAGAGTGTTTGATTGAGGTTTGATGTGTTCTCCAGATTTCTTCTGCAGAGAATATTTTAACTTCTAAGCCTCAGACTCAGACTACAGTGAAACTTTGGATCAAAAGCCATACATACGCAGACATATGTACACATGAGTTTTCTGGTGCAATGAAGCACTATATAAAGAAGTTTCTTTTTAAAAAGAAATTATAATTCCAAACAGGTGATTAGCCTGTAGTTAGCAATTGGTGGGATGGTGAGCCTCAGTCATATAGGCTGCATTCAGACATCACACTGAATTTTGGTTTAGCAAGATGTGCTAGAATTTTGGATTAGCAAGAAGCTAGCCTTCTTCCAGGCTGACTCCCTTCTCTTTCCTTCTGTGTGACCAAAAGTCTGCAAGCTTTAGCTTCTTCTCTTGGATAGCCGTAGTTTGTTATGTTGAATAACTTCAGTTTGTCAGTCTGGGCAACCTGACAAGCCATGGGGCGCTCAGTGGTACAGCTGATCCCTGCAGAAGACAGCTTTGCTAGTACTACGCTTTGCACTTGGGAAAGTCATAGAACCATAGAGTTGGAAGGGACCACAAGGGCCAATCTAGTCCAGCCCCCTGCAATGCAGGAACCTTTTCCCCCAATGTGGGGCTCAAACCCACGACTCTTGAGGTTAAGAGTCTCATTCTCTACTGACAGAGCTATGCCAAGTTCCAAGCAGAAAGCCTGCAAAGTCGCTTACACTGTGGTTCTCAAGCTTTGCGCAAGGGACTTTTACAAGAGGGCGAGACAACTCACCTGTCAATCATCTGGTGTCATAACAACACCTAGTGATTGACAGGCAGGTTGCCCCACCCACCTGTAAAAATTGACCTATGGGAGTGGGATCTGCCTACCAGGCCAAAATGGTTTCCCACCCCTGCTCTAGTACATAGCACCATAGGAAACAAGGACAATGTCATTTTCATTCACAACTCAAGAAGGCATGGTGGATTCTGGTAGAATAGAATGGAGATATACATGAAGCCTTTAATATGAATTGCCAGATAATAAACCTGAGCTACATATAATGGCCCCATGAATTAAAAACAAAGCAAACCCATCCTAATTTCAGCACTGGATTAAAAGGCCAGCTGAAAGAAAACCTGAGTGGTGAACAGGAAGAGGTGGCGCTTGCCCATGAGAATTTAATTTGGCTAATAAGATCTAGTAGGGTTAATTGAATACTAATTGACTGCTGATCAGTATTCCCCTAAATTAGTTTGTATAATTTGCATATTGGGAGGAGCATCGCAGAACAATCAGTACGATACTGAATTACTTTTAAGAGGAGAGTTTGCCTTGTTTAATATTATTAAGCTTTTTTTTTTTTTTGTAAAGTGTTCTAATTATATGTGACTATTTAAAGCAAATTGAATTGTTACCAGTTCTGCTGAATTCTGGGCTGGAAATTCTTTTAATTACTGGTATGCAGAACAGCTTCCTAGACCTATGTTGCTACATCCAAATTAAATATCATTAAGCCTGTTTTGAAAAGCGTAATTCAAATTTTGCCATTGACAAACCAGCTCCAGAGACCAAATAATTTCTTCTCTGATGGTATCTTCTTTTGTGCTTATTAGTGAGTGGGTTGCTGCATTCAGCAATAATGTGTGTTGTACCAGGATAAATGTAGGCTTAGCGTGCATGTCTAACTTTGATGAGAGAAGTGTTGTTTGGGGCAATTACAAGGCCAATTCATAGAGAGTTGGGTTATTTTATGCCTCTGCTATCTGTAAGAGCCCTTCAACAAGTTAACCTTAATAAATGCTGGGAAATGGCTGGGAGTAGGATCCATTGGACTTGGCCAGCTATACTTCTGAGTACATGTGTAGAGAATTGCAGTGCTAGACCTTTCTGCCTACTTCTACCATTGCTGATATGATCTAATAATGGTAAAGGTAAAGGGACCCCAAACCATTAGGTCCAGTCATGGCCGACTCTGGGGTTGCGGCGCTCATCTCGCTTTATTGGCCGAGGGAGCCGGCGTACAGCTTCCGGGTCATGCGGCCAGCATGACTAAGCTGCTTCTGGCAAACCAGAGCAGCATACGGAAACGCCGTTAACCTTCCCGCCGGAGCGGTACCTATTTATCTACTTGCACTTTGACGTGCTTTTAAACTGCTAGGTTGGCAGGAGCAGGGACCGAGCAACGGGAGCTCACCCCGTCACGGGGATTCGAACCGCCGACCTTCTGATTGGCAAGTCCTAGGCTCTGTGGTTTAACCCACAGCGCCACCCACGTCCCTCTAGGACTATGCATAGGTACTGACTAATTGCATTTTTATATTATTCAATAGAGGCGAATTTGTTCAACTAGTAAAGGGAAAAACAGGAGAAAGATCTGAACAGCTTTGGAACTGATTCTTGTTATCTCCCTCTATACTATTTCTGTGGTAAAAATGCCCTCAGTTTTAAACAGGTATCGGATGTCCTGGTCTGCCCACAGTCAGATGTGGCTGAGAAAAAGATAATGAAGTGAAATTCTTCCTGGCAAGAAGCCGTACTCTTGGATTCCCTCTGCAGTCCTATGTGACAGGGCTGGGGGAACTTCAGGCCAATGGATTGAATGTGGCCCTCAGGCCTGCTTGGGATCTGTCCGTGAGCTGTGATAGTGCCTGCTGCTTGCCTGGAGGGAGGACGCAATGGGTGGACATTTGTGTTGGAACCTCTGGATTTTATGTGACTGGAATGCAGCCTGCTGTGCAAAGATAATGGTCACATGTGTTGCTCCATCCACTTTTATCTCTGGTCTTCCCCACAACTAGCATGCAGCCTCTGAAAGGTTGCTCACAAGGGAACGTTGCGCTGGAAAATGTTCCCCATCCCTACTCTATGGGTACATCATCTTGTTGTATGTGGAATCTCTAGGACACCTGCTCCCTCCCCTTTTACTCTTGAGCTATCTTTGTGGATCTGTCCTCTGTGATACTCCTGCCACAGGAGAAGGAAAAGGTTGCACCATCAAAGATAGCTGAAGGGTGGTAGGTGTTCCACAGTATTTCCTCTTACCCCCATTCACCACCTCCCCAGCTTTTGGTCACTTGGATTTATGTATTGCTCTCCTAATAATGGTCCTTGCCACCCCTTTGCTTCCCAAGCCTAGTTTTTCTGGAGCCATCTGCGCTCACCCTTTGTTAGGGATGTTGGAGGATTCTGACGGGAATGGAAATTGCTTCTTTTTGCTTATTCATCCCACGTCTGGAGCAGAAATCAGTCCAGCAAATATGATCAATATTTGCTTCTCTTGTTCTTTTCAGTCCACAAATGATGCATAATCGATAACTTCCCCACCCCGCGTTGCATTGCATTTCCTTTGCATCGAAATGAATGGTATTTGTGTTTAAATAAATGGTGTGGAGTAACGTGATGATAAATTAACCATGTAATGAATTATGTAAGATTCCACTGTATCAGACAATTCATGAGAGGAATTGTATAGTTTATGTTGGCAGTCAAACTGCAGTGGAGCAGAAACAGTGCTGCATGAGACGGAACACGGGTCTGAACAGAAATCGATGCCTTCTTACTCTTCTCTTGTCCAGGTCATTGGTCTCTGTGAATACGACTCAGTTGTTTGATCATAAGATAAATCAAGTTGTGGTTGTTCTCCCCCCTCCTACTCCCCACAGCTGATTCAAGCCTGGGGGTCCTGCAGTCTAACCATTGCACCACATGGGCTTATATTGTTGCCATCATCATGATGCTATGAAAGGCCAGAAAGAAATCTCATGTTTGGGGATAAGTGTGTAGAAATGTGTTGTTCTTAAAGTGCCTGTCAATGCCAATGCTTAATAAATTTTAGGCCAAGTGTTAGGCTTTCTCAGCATGAATCTTCCATTCAATTTTGAATTCCAAAGACTTGTATAATTCCTACTTTGTGAAGTTAGTGTAATGCTAAAGATTATCCTAGAGGTACAGATTGAGTTTTGACTTTGTGGTATCTCTCTCATAACAGCAAGCAGAAAGTCTGGGGAGCCTTTAATTATCTCTGATATCAAGAAGGGAAGTGTAGCACACAGGTAAGTGAAGAATCTAATTTTCCACTTACAAGTTTCAGACACTAAATCAGCTGAACCCAGTTAAGACTTATGAAGCCCCCTTATATTGGTTCAGACTTCAAAGCCACCTGCACCCATATTGTCTACTTTGGCTATCTGCAGTTCTAAGAATATAAGAAGAATGAGGAGAGGAAAAATAGATGCCAGAGATAAAAAAAAATAAGCATAAGAAAAGCCCTGCTGGATCACCCTATCCAATCCAACATCCTGTTCATACAGTGGCCAACCAGATGTCTATAAGAAGCCAGCAAGCAGGGCCTGAAGGCAACAGCCAAGCTCTTTCTCAGACCAGCCTCCCAAGATCTTTTCAGCTTAAGATGTTGGGGGTTGAACTGGGACCTTCATTGTGCAAAGTATGCGCGCTCTGCCTCCAAGCGATGGCTCCTTCCCAAACATCAGGACCAATGAACTGTAACGCCAAACATTTCCCATGTCTTCCGAAGTTCACAGATGTTTGCATATTCTCCTCCTGTGCGTAATTAGACTTGCTGAAGTTATTCACAAGGTGTGCCGTGGCCTGACATTTCCTTTGGCCTCAGTATAGAAGTAGGTCTAATTAGAGTACAGTGCTGGCTTTAATAAATTAGTATTTTATAAGCATACTGACTCCTGGAATCTCACTTAAGCCTACTTGATTCCAGTACAAGCAGTGTTGCCAGTACTGCCTTGTTATATAAAAGTAGAACATGCATGCATTAAGAATTTGCTCTCTGAGTTATGTATATACTGGTCTATATTATTTGATGTAGCCAACATGGAGTTCTCCAGATGTTGTTGGACTACAACTCCCATCAGCCCCAGCCAGCAAAGCCACTGATCAGGGTTGATGGGAGTTGTGGTCAAACATCTGTAGGGCAACAAGTTGGCTACCTCTGCTCTTGATGACGCACCTTGAGAGAGGAGGACAGCCAGGAACAGCACCTTCCTATGTCCTTTCATGATGTATGGAGAAAACTGTAATTTACAAAATGGTTTCTTGACACCAGCTTCCTTCACATTTACCTGTGACTCATTTTTAATTTTCTCACTTATTTAAGGTACCCCAATTGAAATGTTGAAAGGCTGCCTAATTTTCTTTATATATAATTTTTTATTAATTTTCCAACATAAATAAAAAACAATACAATTAACAATACATAAACACACAAACATATAAACACGTATAATTTCACAACCTCTTTTTCATAAACCTTACTTCCCCGATTTCCCCATACCTCCCCCTTCTGCATCCCTATTTCAAAATTTCTTCAGCAACCCCTCGCTTCAATTGACTGATTACTCATTTTCTTTTTTTTCCCCTTTCTTCTATTACTTAATCAATTTACAGCTGTAATTCTATATTTTCTTAACCTTGACATTTTAGCACTCATCAATTTTACAACAATTCTTAAGGTAAACTTTAAATTTCTTCCAATCTTCACCCACCGTCTCTTTTCCTTGGTCTCGGATTCTGCCGGTCATCTCCGCCAGTCCCATATAGTCAATCACTTTCGTCTGCCTTTCTTCCAGCGTAGGTAGTTCTTGTGTCTTCCAATACTTTGCTAAGAGAATCCTTGCTGCTGTGGTAGCATACATAAAAAACGTCCTATCTTTTCTTGACACCAATTGGCCGACCATGCCCAGGAGAAATGCCTCTGGTTTCTTATAAAAGGTACACTTAAAAACCTTCTTAATTTCATTATAGATCATTTCCCAAAAGGCCTTAATCCTCGGGCAAGTCCACCAAAGGTGATAAAAGGTGCCTTCAGTTTCATTGCATTTCCAGCATTTATTATTGGGCAAGTGATAGATTTTTGCAAGCTTGACTGGGGTCATGTACCACCTATAAATCATTTTCATAATATTTTCTCTTAAGGCATTACATGCCGTAAACTTTATACTGGTGGTCCATAACTGTTCCCAGTCAGCAAACATAATGTCATGACCAATGTCTTGTGCCCACTTAATCATGGCTGACTTAACCATTTCATCTTGTGTATTCCACTTCAGCAGCAGGTTATACATTCTTGACAAATTCTTAGTATTGGGTTCTAACAATTCTGTTTCTAATTTTGACCTCTCCATCTGAAAGCCAACTTTCCTGTCTTGTTTAAACACCTCCATTATTTGATGATAATGAAGCCAATCTCGTACTTTAGACTTTAATTTCTCATAGCTCTGTAGTTTAACTTTTTCACCATCTTGCTCTAAAATTTCACAATATTTTGGCCATTTAGATTCCATATTACGTTTTTTCACCTCCTTAGCTTCCATTGGTGACAACCACCTAGGAGTTTTACTTTCCAATAAATCTTTATAGCGGATCCAAACATTGTATAGTGCTTTCCTGACAATATGGTTTTTAAACCCTTTATGAGTTTTTACCTTGTCATACCATAGATATGCATGCCAACCAAATCTATTGTTAAACCCTTCCAAATCCAAAATGTCCGTGTTCTCAAGAAGTAGCCAGACGAAAGGCTGCCTAATTTTCACCAGTTGAGGGAATTGCTAATAATGAGGTGTATTCTCAGGCTGGATTTTAGTTATTTGAACCTGTTTCTATGCAGAAATATCTTGTCTTTTTTTAATCATTAACCTGGGCAAATTCTCTTCTGCAGAAGAGTTGCCATACCACCCACAGTACTGCAACAGCTCTTGGAGAAGAACTAAGTATGCAGCTATTTGGAATGTGTTAAACACAGGCTTGTTTTTTTTCTGTTGCTCACAGGACTGGCACCTTAGAGCCTGGAGACAAGCTGTTAGCCATTGATAATATCCGACTCGACAATTGCTCAATGGAGGATGCGGTGCAGATCTTAAAGCAGTGTGAAGAACTTGTCAAATTGAAGATCAGGAAGGATGAGGATAATTCTGGTACGAAAGCACTGAATCAAGCTGTTTCTAAGCCATTTTAATAAAACACTCCAATACTTAAGAAAAGCCTGGCAGAGAAACTGGAAAACCATTATTCAAGTATTTAGTGTGTACATGTGCCTGTGCATTCATGTGTTGGTGCGCATGTTCACACAGCAAGTGCCTACAAACCTACTCTAAGGCTTAAAAGTTACTTACTGTTTTGCTAGGAAATACTTTGAGGCTTGATGCATACCTTGAAGATTCCTTATCATTATTAAATAAGTGTTTATGCATTGAACAGAGTACCAATATCTAAATGGCCTTATTAGAAACATAGGTATATTAATGGAAACAAAATTGCCTAGCTAATAAATGCAGTTATGTACGGTCCAATACTTTCAGATTCCAGTTTTTCTTTCCAGTTTTCCATCTGTTTTTCTTCCCTTATTGTTTTTCTTTGTGACATCGTTTTTATTCATTTTCATCATTAAACTGTTTTAACATGCTTGCATTGAGATATATATTTGTTTGGATTACAGCATGTGGCATGCAGCAATTCCTTAAAATTAAAATCTAAACGGCAATAAACACTCAGATAAATGTTTCTGGATATATTAATTAGCAAAGTTGCGTCAAAACATATATACCAAAATTAATTACAAATACGAATTGATGCATTACTTAGATCAGTTAAAGGTATTTTGTATCAATAACAATTAGAATTCATGGGAAATTGTAGGAAGCGTGGAGGGGAAAAATTAAAATATGCACTTCATTCCTTCCTGTATTATAATGAAATTAGTAATCACATGCTACTAGCTATTAAGCAATAAATCCTCTTTGGCGGTTACTGGGCTTTTTTGATAACTGGAAAGAACAAGCAGTAGGTCTAATGGAAGTTTATAATCATCCTGTATCTTCTAGATGATCTAGGACTAATCTCAGGAATTCCTTTAGTTTAGGGTGATTTCTATAATCAGAGCCCTCCTTTCCTCTTAACAGATGAGCAAGAAACAACTGGTGCTATCATCTACACAGTGGAGCTAAAGAGATATGGTGGACCCCTGGGAATCACTATTTCAGGGACCGAGGAGCCTTTTGACCCAATTGTCATTTCAGGACTGACAAAACGAGGGCTGGCGGAAAGGTGAGTTGCAATTTGCATCCTAATGGGCAGGCATCTATAATGATACGACGAGCGTAATCCACTGGGAAGCTCTTCTGCTCATTTGCACCACTGAATTAAATAGAGCCTGCATACGTGGGTGGTGTAGACCTTTCTGCACAGTTACGTGGCTGTGCGTGTAAGGAAAGAGAGGAGAGAGAACTTGGTTGCACATGAGAGAGGTTTGTGTGCTGAATGGCTGTCACAGTTTCTGAGCTCCCAATGGCCAGTTTTGTGTTCCTTGGGGAAACTGTGAAGCTTCTTCCAGGTAGTATATTCAGTGCTATTATGTTGATGCATTAGTGGATATGTTTATGCAAGGTGTGTGTGTGTGTGTGTGTGTGTGTGTTACAAGCAAGAAACCAATCAGGAGTGCTGCGTTCAAAATGTGCAGCCCCATAACCTTAGAATCATAGAGATGGAAGGGACCCTGAGGCTCATCTAATCCAGCCCCCCGCAATGCAGGAATACGTAGCTGTCGCATACAGGGATTGAACCTGCAACCTTAGCATTATCAGCACCATGCCCTAACCAACTGAGCTATCCAGCTTGTAATTTGTGGACTGTTTGTTTACATGCTTGTGAAATTGCTGGGGGTATGTGACATTTTCCCCCACCTCAGTTTTTCCTGCAGATCCTTCTTCTTTTCACCACCATCACCCCATTCACATGTAACCACTGTAAACTGGTAACGTCTGTCCTTGCAGGAGAACCCCTGCAACTATCATTCTGAAATTGGGCAGGCTTCATTTCCTCATAAGGGGCAGCCGTATTTGCAAACAGCACCCATTTTTTATATTTCCCAGCTGTAATGAATGGAGAACGCAGAACTTCACTGTATACAGAATGGCTCGGAACCTGGAGCACAGATCAAAGTGTAAAAAGCATAGTGCAATTCAGAAACTGATCAGAATGTTTAAAAACAAAATAGATACAAAGTGAATCTTTGGGCCCATGCACATTCCCTTCCCAGAATTTTTAAGCCAGAATTTAGACCAATCCATTCAGCTGCTAGAGAAAACAGAGGAATTTTATAATTTCAGTTCATTAATCCTCTGTTTGGAAATAAAGTTAACTTTGCTATTTAAACTGGCACCATAGTGACCTCTAGTGGAAAGGTGAGAAATCAATATCCTGACTCAAAGGAAAAAGCAGGGTGGGGGAGAGAGAGAGCATGAAATATAAAGAAGTTGAATTATATCCTTATAAGCTGCCAACAAACAAGATTTCCAAAACTGATTGCTGCTCTGTGTGCTAAGCTTTTGTTTTCTGTGACTGAAAATAGACAGTGTTCTTTTGTTTGGGAGATCTGCAAGCAAAAGTAATTTACTCTCGGAAGGGAGTGGAGTAGCTAAGACAGACTCTTCTGATGGGAAGATAAAATATGCTTAAATGACAATTCTTGGAGATTTTACCGCAGCTGATGGCTAGAACAGCAGAAGCACAAGGAAAAGGGATACGGGTACAGCAAGCATTCTGAAACTGGCTGGCCATTGGTCTCTATGTACTTAACCAACGTTTGAGTTGTAGTGCAATTTGGGGCATGCAAGGAAATGAATGTCTGTTGCAGCTGTAGCTTAATGGAATAACTGTGATCTAAATGGAGGATATGACACAACTGGCCTTTGCATCCATTGGAAAACAACCCACAGTTGAGCCGTACCTTGAATTCCACCTGTGAGCTGGATGGTTTACTTATGTCACGCAAAGGCAGCCTTTATTATTGTGGTCTCCATGTGCAGCTCCCCAAGGGCCAGGTGAAACTCACTGTGCCCTTTGTAGTTCACAATCTATTTAGATGAATTACTAAATTCAAGCAAGCCCGGATCAAACTAAATGGGTCACTTCCCTGAGGAATACTCTTTCTTTATAGAAGAAGAGTTTGGATTTGATATCCCGCTTTATCACTACCTGAAGGAGTCTCAAAGTGGCTAATATTCTCCTTTCCCTTCCTCCCCCACAACAAACACTCTGTGAGGTGAGTGGGGCTGAGAGACTTCAGAGAAGTGTGACTGGCCCAAGGTCACCCAGCAGCTGCATGTGGAGGAGCGGAGACGCGAACCCGGTTCCCCAGATTACGAGTCTATCGCTCTTAACCACTACACCACACTGGCTTTATACCACCTTCACTGTGTTTTGTAGTATTCATAGGTGAATCATATCTTTTATTATGGGCACCATACATTCTGTAATGCAACTCAAAATTAGTCTATTCACTATAGCCAGACAAATGACAAGGCAAAATATTGGCCTCACCAAACATTTGGATGACGTTCTGCTGCTTGGCACATTTTTGTTCCTCTGCCTGCTACTCTGGGGCAATGTTACCCCCCCCCCTTCTTATTTGACATCGCTGTCTTCTGCCTTCTTTGACTTCACTGCCATTTCATCTGATTGGCTATGGCAACCCATGTATTTTTTTTTCAGGTATTCTTGACATCATGATGTCAGACATTGGCTGTGGCTTCTTCCCATGGCAGTGAGGGCAAAGGGACTTCCCACTTGCTGCTCACATGGCATCATAATGACTGCAGGTGGTTGAAACCTGTCACAGTTCAAAGGAGGTCACTGATCAACAGATTGGTGGTTACAGCGAGCCACTCTGAATGCACCCTCTAGCACCAATCAGCTGACTATCGCTGAAAGGGCATCTTCAAAGGAGATTGCGGTAACCACCAAACAGCTGATTGGTAACCACTTTGATGTCTCTGCAGAAGTAAAAACACAGTATTAATAAATGGAGCAATTTCCCCTCTGCAGATGATGCAGCTTGGATTCAAAGCCCAATGGGGAGCTCCCTAGTGTAGCTCATCCCAGCATGGCTCCCAGTCAGCTGGCCAAGGGGCAATTGAGAGCTCCCTTAAATCCACATCCATATGACATATGATGTCAGGTGTGCAGATGGTTTGTGAGAAACCACTCCATGGGCCAATTTGGGATCTCTGCTGGGCCTAATGGGGCCCAAGAAGTGAAGGTTCCCAAACCCTGGCAGGTTGTCTATGCATATACAGGTCTGGGGGTTTTGTTTGTTTGTTTGTTTCAATTGGAATTCATGGATCAGCCTTTATAGATGATTGAGAAGCATTATGTGTAGAACGGGTGAAGACATGGGCTTCTCTTTCCATTATAAATCACTGAATTTGGAGAAGTGCCTGCTAATCTGGAAACAGTTGTGCATTTGTTTTCATGTTTTTCTTCTGATTACCACAGAACTTTAAATCTTGCCACACGTGCATCCATCAACTGAACATGGATATCTTTATTTATGGGCTGGTTTAATGAAATTACTGTCTTGCATAACAGTTGGAATCTTCATTTGCTTGTTCTTTAGGACTGGAGCGATCCATGTAGGAGACCGGATATTAGCTATTAATAATGTAAGCCTTAAGGGGAAGCCTCTGAGTGAAGCCATTCATCTACTCCAAATGGCTGGAGAAACTGTAACTCTGAAGATCAAGAAGCAAACCGAAAGTAAGTCCTCATTCTAAAAATCTGTGTGTATCATCCGGCACACCTGGAGCCAAAATCAGTACAGATCAATGTAGCAATCTCCACTTCTTGGACAAGGTTCTTGGGCAGTCACTGGCCAAATCCAGACTCTCTTGGATGACACTGGTTTTCCCAGATCTATTTTGATTTGGGTTTAGGCCTGCTTTTGGTGCACAAATTGCCTTTGTCGGAAGAGCCGCAGTGGAAATGTGTCCCTGTTTTATTATCCTTGATCCAGTGGCTTTTAATACCATTAACGATTGTCTTCTTCTGGAGTGGCTGTCCAAATTGAGAGTGGGCACCACCACTGCGATGATTCCAGTCCCACTTGGGTGGCTGTTTCACAGGGTGATCCTTGAGGGATATTGTTTGGCCTCATGGAGCCTTTCTGTGTCAGCTTCTGGAGAGTTCTGTATTATCTCCCATGCTATTCAGCCTCTACATGAAACTGCTTAATGGGGTCATCTCGAGTTTTGGAGTACATGGTTACCAATTCGCTTCTCCTATACATCTTCAGGTGAGGCAGTGGGTGTGCTAGATCAATGTCTTGCCTCGGTAATGGATTGGATGAGAGCCAATAAACTGAAGCTTAATCAGACAAGACTGAGGTCCTGTTAGTGCAGCGGTTCTCAACCTGTGGGTCCCCAGATGTTGTTGGACTACAACTCCCATCATCCCTGAGCCTTGCTAGCTAGGGGTGATGGGAGTTGTAGTTCAACATCTGGGGAAGCACAGATTGAGAAAGGCTGTGTTAGTGGGTGGTTCCCTAAACCAGATGGATGGGATGTAACCTGCTCTAGATGTTGTTGCACTCCCTCTGAAGGAGCAGGTAGATCCTATAGCTTAAGGATACTTCTGGATCCATTACTGTTGCTTGAGGCTCAAGTGAACTGGGCAGCCAAGTCTGCTTTCTATGCTCTGGTAACCTCAAGGCTGGATGCAGAATTCAGAGGCCAGACTGTTAACTGAGGCAGAGTGGTCCAAACATGTAACACCAGTTCTGTCATGACTGCACTGGCTACGATTAGTTTCCGGGCTGTATTCAAAGTGCTGGTTTTGACCCATAAAGCCTTAGGACCTAAACCTTCCCTGCCTTGCAAGCTATCTTTGGGAGAAGAAAAGGCTAAGAAGTAAACCCTACAAAATCCGGAGTGGAGTCCCTAAGAGATTGGATGGCACCTTGTATGCCTCCTTCTGGCAGCCAAGTTGGTGCCAAATGTATTGCTCTGCTCAGAGGCACCAGCTTCTGAAGAAGAATTGGGGGGAGGCGATGTCACATGGTGCATGATGTCGTATGCGTGACATCAGGATGTTGGGGGGACCTTTAAAAATATATGAGGTCAAGGCATACATGCATTGTATAATGATTGCATCCTCTGTCTACATTATTAAACTGCTGTTCCCTTTAATTCTATTCCTGTTAATACCCCTGTTGTGTTGGACTACTGAATTGTGGGGAAATGTGTTAGTTTCCTTGGGAGACTTCTTTAAAACAAGGAGAAGGAGGCGAAAGCACCGAGATCAATAGGTGACTCCATTGACAGGTATAATCTCAAGCACCCACTTGAGATTCTGTTTAAGAAGCTGACTAGATTTTGAGCTGTCTGCTTCCCTTTGAAAAACATCTTCAGACCTGCCAATGTGGAAAGTGATTTTTATTTCTCCTCTCCTTCCTTAACACTGTTCGAGCAGCCCCACTTTGACGCAGCATTAAGTTTCTGAAAGAATTGCTGAAAAGCCAATTGGGGGAAAACTTAATCGGCATCCTTCACTGCCAACCACCTGTCAGTCAAGCATCTCACATCAGACTCTGTGTCTCTGCAGAGTCCCTTACTTTTGACATTCTGATGCAGCAGCAACCTTGCCTGCCAAACTAAGGAGCTCCGCCAATGTCTTGAAAGGGCTGAAGTTCACTTTAAAGTCCTGACTGATGTTCATGTGTAAAATTGAGAAATAGGCCTCTGTCCTTCTGTTCTTTGCTTTTAATGAAGACAACTTGACAGTGTAACCATGCAATTTAATTTTCATGCTTGAAGGGACCATTAGATTTCAATCACATCCATTTTCCTCCCTCTCTGATTCAGTCTTTCAGCTCTTCATGAACACAGGATTTTCCGGGTGCAGTCCCTCCTACTTTCCTTCCTAGCCGACTGAATAAATTAGATCTCCTACTTGCTCAGAGTGTAGTTTTTTCCATACTTTGCTTTTCTTAGCACTTATTTTTACTCTGGCAGAGATTAAGGAACACCTCCCTCACCTGACGTCCATAAACAAAGACAACTAAACGTTTATCCTCGCAGTCTCACTCAAGTTTTTTCGTTTTTTCTTCTTCAACTTAGAGCCACTTTGACCGGAGAGGTTTCCCGTTCGGAGGACTTCTCCGCTGTCCGGGGCGATTTAAAAGCCCCTGGGAAGGCAGGCAGGGGGGACAAAGACTTTCGCCCCCTGCCCGCCTTCAGAAGGTGTTCCCGCCCCCCGCCCCGCTTCGGAACAGCGTTCCGAAGTGGGGCAGCTGGGGCAGTTGTTCCCGCCCCCCCTCCCCACTTCGGAACAGCTTTCCGAAGTGGGGCGGCTGGGGCAGGTGTCCCCGCCCCCCCTCCCCGCTTCGGAACAGCTTTCCGAAGTGGGGCGGCTGGGGCAGGTGTCCCCGCCCCGCTTCGGAACAGCTTTCCGAAGTGGGGCAGCTGGGGCAGGTGTCCCCGCCCCCCTCCCCGCTTCGGAACAGCTTTCCGAAGTGGGGCGGCTGGGGCAGTTGTTCCCGCCCCCCCTCCCCGCTTCGGAACAGCTTTCCGAAGTGGGGCGGCTGGGGCAGGTGTTCCCGCCCCCCCTCCCCGCTTCGGAACAGCTTTCCGAAGTAGGGCGGCTGGGGCAGGTGTCCCCGCCCCCCCTCCCCGCTTCGGAACAGCTTTCCGAAGTGGGGCGGCTGGGGCAGGTGTCCCCGCCCCCCCTCCCCGCTTCGGAACAGCTTTCCGAAGTGGGGCGGCTGGGGCAGGTGTCCCCGCCCCCCCTTCGGAACAGCGTTTTAAAATGCTGGGGGTCGGGAGCGAAGCGCTGCGGGTCGGCAGCGCTTCGCTCCCGACCCCCAGCATTTTAAAACCTTCCCGGGACACGGGGAGATTTTAAAATGCTGGGGGTCGGCAGCGCTTCGCTCCCGACCCCCAGCATTTTAAAACCTTCCCGGGACACGGGGAGATTTTAAAATGCTGGGGGTCGGCAGCTAACGCTTCGCTCCCGCCCGCCAGCATTTTAAGATCACCCGGGGCAGGCGGGGGGAAGGCAGGCGGGGGGGGCAAGACTTTTGCCCCCCGCCGGCCTTCAGAAGAGGTCCTCTTCTGAAGGCCAGCTGTGGGCGAAAGTCTTTGCTCCCGACCGCCAGCATTTCCCTATGGGCTTTCGTCTTGCGATGCAAGCCCATAGGGAAATTCGTCTTGCGAAGCGCCTCCAAAACAGCAACTTATTGTACTTCTCTCCAGTCTCACTCACTTTTCTCTTTTTTTCTTTTCTTCAAAAGACCTGTGACCTGCCTAGAGCCAACTGGGGAGGGGGGAATTGAAGTGTTTGAGGAGAGAGGTAGTTCCCAGTTTCTGCTGGGAAGCAGAAGCTACCACTAAAATCGTTGTGCTTTAAAAACACTCTTCTGCTGTGGAACTTCCTCAGGAGGTTGCAGAGGCAGCACTTTTCAGGTTTGACTTGCTTTTGGAGGAGACCAAACTTGAGACTTGTGGTGTTTCTAAAAATATATAATTTTACAACTATAAAAGTAAAGCCATGTGTGGAGTTGATCAACTCCTGACAGGTGGGTCACCTCAGAACCCCAGAGAGAAATACCTGCACCTAAGGATGATCAAATCTGTCAATTTCACTTTCTCATTATTTTAATCTTAATTTCAGTTTGCCATGTTTCTGCAGCAATTTGCCATTATTGTTTTTTTTAATCCCTATGAAAATTTGTCAGAATTTCTCCTAATAAATACATCTTTTTGTATGCAGTTTTGACTAATGTACACGTTTTTGAAAGCAATTTTCCCTAATATGATGCATTTTTGTATCTCTTTATTAATATATGCATTTTAATGCATTCTTTCCCCTAACATATATTCTACACATTGTTTGGGATGGAGAATTGCGTTTCAAAATTCGGAGAAGTGCAAATTTCAAAGGATAGGTGTGCTTTGATTTGCACATTTCATAGAATTGTAGGGTCGGAAGGGACCTCAAGGGCCATTTAGTCCAATTTCTCTTCTTAAGAGGTGCACATTAGGTAGTGACTTATTAAAATGCAAACTAAATTGAATTTCTCCTCCATCATGCTCTCCAACGTGCCTTCCAATCTCCATGTCAGTGCTCTCATTCCTGCTCACTCCATCATCCTAAAAAACTGCAGTTTCGTTCACACAGAGACCCAACCTTAGCTGAGTTTGGGAATCACCATCCCCCAACGGCTCTCACAGTCCAGAGATGATCTCTGTACCTCTCAACCATTAGCTATTATGGTGTGAAACACGTTAATAGTCTTTCGCAGAGCTTTCCCCAAGAGAGGATATAGCTGGCACAGCTCATCCAGCAGTCATAATGATATTTTTACTCACAGAAGCTCTTTGGAGCACTTTGTGCGTATGACACATGAGTCAAAATGAACGGAGGAGAGTGAATTCCTATCAATCATTCTAAGCCTGAGCTATTTGAAATTGGAATTCCACAGCCATCTCAAGTACTCCATCATAAGCAATTTAACCCATCCTAATTTGGGGAGACTATAGTGGGCTCCCCCCTTTCTTTAAAGTACAGTCTTTATCTCAGGAGATGTTCTAAGGTGAAAGAGAAAATTGTCAAGGTGATGGTGGTTTTAAGTGTTGAGTAAAGAACAAATCACTTTACAATCACTAAATCAGAAAAGCCACTTACTTGGAAATAAGTCTTTTTACTTGATTTCACTGAACTTACTTGCAAGCAGATGCACTTAAGATCACACGCTGGCAGTAGTCGTGATCTGTGTGATTTTTATGCCTGGAAAGCCGCTCCCCCACTCTTAATTTCACATTTGGTTGGTGCAACTTGAAGCTGCCATGGGTCAAAAAGGCTTACAGGATGAAGGGGAAAGAAGGGCAGCACCCCCTTGCTATAGGGCTAAGGCAGCATCAGTGTTCTCCACACCAGACCCTACATCTTCTGGAAAACACAACATTGGGCCTGCAACCTGATGTGAGACTTACCAACCATTAAGGTAAAAGTAAAGGTACCCCTGACCATTAGGTCCAGTCATGACCAACTCTGGGGTTGCGGCACTCATCTCGCTTTACTGGCCGAGGGAGCCGGCGTACAGCTTCTGGGTCATGTGGCCAGCATGACTAAGCCACTTCTGGTGAACCAGAGCAGCGCACGGAAATGCTGTTTACCTTCCCGCCAGAGCGGTACCTATTTATCTACTTGCACTTTGAAGTGCTTTCGTACTGCTAGGTTGGCAGGAGCAGGGACCGAGCCACCGGAGATCACTCCGTCGTGGAGATTCAAACTGCCAACCTTCTGATCGGCAAGCCCTAGGCCCTGTGGTTTAGACCACAGCGCCACCCATTAGCTGGTGATTATAACATGACAGAAAGAGAGCAGGCGAGCTTCACAGAAATGTGTCTAACATTTTGTGCATACCTGTGCATCTTTATTTTGACCCCAGGGACTTACCCGAAACAGTCTGGGAGTATAAATGAAGTGAGCGACCCAGAAGATGACCTGACTGATTCCCAGAAAACTAGCAAACTCTCTGAGATTTATTCCACCACAATCCCCAGTGTGGACAGTGCAATGGAATCCTGGGACGGTTCTGGCATTGATGCTGGTTATGGAAGTCAGGGTGAGTCGGCCTTTAATGTGCGAATGCATAAGTTTGTCTCCTCTCTCCCAACTCCATTTTGAATTGCTGAGGGCCAGTTCATACATTTATATCTGAGGGGACAAAGGTTCACACAAGCAAACATTGCCATGGGGTCAGTAGTTACAGCGAGCCCCTTCAACGTCCATTTACAGGTGTGGTTTGGATTCAGACCTCACCAGCAAATGGTGCTTTGTCCATCTGGTTGCACTATTAAAATCCCCCCCTAGACATATAGGATGTCTACTGCAGAACTAGAAATGGGAGACAGACTTCCCATCCAGCTAACTTAACCATAAGATTGTCTTTCCTCAATGTAGCCATGTAAAAATGACCTGATCCTTCCTGTTTGTCTCTCTGCTCCCCATCGGATCCCAGTAGGTACATACTTGCCTCAAGCTGTTGGCATTGCGCTTCACCCACATGAATGGAGATCCAGCAGACAGAAGAACAGTACCCCTCCTGGTGATCCCAGGAAGAGTTACCCCTTTATGGATGGCAGTTTCAGTGAAGATGACTGGGAGAAGCCCAGCAGGTATGTGAGGCTTGTAAGAAAACGAGGGGGAAGGATGGGTGTGTGTGTGCACATTCATATGGATCTCAAGGACGAGGCATGCCTACATGTCTTACCTGACTCCGTTCGATTTGTCTCCCATCCTTCCTCCCAAAGGAAGGGGTCAATGTCAGCTTCAACTATTCCTGAAGGAATTTGACATGAAAACATTCAGATCTATTTATTCGTCCACATTACAAAAGGGACATGTCGTACAGAGAGCTCAGGCCTCACCTGTGTTTTTAGAGAAGAAATGGAACTGCAAGTGGAATGCTGGGCTAGTCTGAGGAGTGGTCATTTTATTAAGTTGGATTTCTAATTGGAATGAAATAATGCTGGCATTTAGAAGTCGGCGTTTCACCTTTTCTGAACGCCCAGGCTTAAGTTTACAGCGGGGTGTCATCTTAACAATGGCGTTCAAGCGATGGAGAGAAATTAAAAAAACCTTTAATGTGTGGCCCACATTTGGTCTTTTGGGTGTTGACTCAATGGCAGTCCATAGCTGCTAGGTATGTGTAAGGCCATATATGAAAGCAATCTAGGGTGGATGCTTACACATGACGCTGATTTTTATCTCTATCCTATCTATTCTCTGTTTGTCTGATTACCAGTAGGTATACAAGATTACATGCAAAAGTGTGTCCTGGTGATGTTGTCACCAAAAAGTCATTTCTAAGTTCCTTTTTCACTGGTGCAATGTTTTTACGTGAGCAGGAATCCAGTATCGCAGATCTGGTATCTGATCTATGCACTAATGTTGTTAGAAGAGCTGTGTGTGTGTGTGTGTGTGTGTGTGTGTGTGTGTCTGTGTGTGTGTGTGCATGCGCATACGTACACACACACACACACACACACGTAAAATGGGGTTAAAATAATACTAAGGTGCAGCATGTTAGACATCTGTAAGAGTCTGTTTGGATGAAGCCCAGGGTTCAGCATTAAATTAGCAAGTATTACATGGGAATGGAGGGCGAGGGGAGAGGTACCAATTCCATAAGGTTTTGAGTGGCCTATGCAGCCTGAACTAATCCCACTAATTTTCCAGTTTGAACTAGAAGGGATTGGCATAGTCCTCATATGGCTCGTGGGTGCCAAGTGACCCGAATCAGTTTGCTGTGATAACTCAGGAATCTGCCACCTGCAAATGGCCTAACTGCTCATCACTCTGCTGTCTTCCACACCTCAGCAGTTCATCAAAGGCTGCCCAACCACAGACCTTGCAGGTTGCTTTGACCTTAGACTCCTTGCCATTCCATTGGGTTACCTGAGTTGCTGTGGTTTGTGATGGAATTCTGAAGTGCTGGCTACATCTGGGTTGGCAAGCAGCTGTGAAAACAAAGTCAGTCTTGGTCCAAACAAGACTCGGTCCAATGGATAAGGGAAAGTGGGCGAGGATGGAAGAAGGCAACTGCCTAAAATTAAAAACACGAACCTTCAACTCAACATTCCCTCTGTTTGTATCACAGTTCTTTGTAGTGTTGATTCATTAAAACAATAATCATTTCCTTGGCATGAATTTCCAAAACCATTTCATATGACTTTAGTTCATTTTTAATTGCTGCTCTCCCTTTAGCGATCTAAGAAGTGACATGGAAATGTCCATGCAAATGAGAAGCAGGCGTCGCAGTTGTGCACTTAGCCATTTTTTAAGTGCCGACGAATGATAATAACCTATCAAAATGCCCATCGCGAGAATAGCTTATTTGTGTGTGGAGAGAGGCATTGCACTGCTCTGTGGTCTTCCTGTCAGGCCATTCAGTGTCAGGGTTGGAGAACAGACTTCACCTTCCATACCGCAGTGGCACTAAGTGCAGCGGTTTGGTTTTCCCTCAAGGGAAGAAATGGCAACGAATCACAGAAAGTAAGGTGGCACACCAGTAGGCTCACCCACTTCTTGTCCCAAGTGAATGGAGCCATTTGAAACTCAAGCCTGCTTCCTCAGTGGAGCCACTGGCAGAGGAAGAGGAGTGCGGGAGGAGCGCACCGCCCCTGGCAGTGTGATCCCGGTGGGGTGCCATCGCAGCTGCCCTCCTGCCCCCAGGACGCGCGCCAGCCCCGCCCCTGCCTGCTCTCCACCACTGAGTGGAGCCCCAAACTGAGTTCAATATATCTGGGTTTCCCAGGAGTGTGGTTGAATGTTAAAAGCATGGGGCGGAACGTGGGGAACTGACTCTTATATACAGGGGGAAAGGACTGTTTTGCCCCCAATTTTACCCCAAAAAGAGAGGGTGGTGTGGATATCAGCAAGCACAAACCTCTCTACTTCTTCAAGGGAGAAGTATATAATGAGCAGGGGCAGCAGAATAGATTAGCATTTAGATTTATTGAAAGTATAACTACAGACCCGCGCAAATGAGAGATATAGGTCCTGTTGAACCCTCTGTATATTTCTGCATTTAGTGTTTAAATTGCTTGCCTAGTCTAGGGGAAGCCATTTTATATACATCATTTTTTACATTATATACTCCCACAGATACCTGATGTATTTCTCATTTTCTCACCACGTCTGTTACCCTCTGTGTTTTTCTCTCTCTTCTCAGGTGTTCTGTGTCTCAGATCTGAACTCTGTCCCATCCGCCTTTGTACTAACAGTCTCTGAGGCTCCTGGTTTACCCATAATGCATCCTTTTTTTCTTTTACTTCTCTATTTCACCAAAACGTCTTCCTAAACCTACAATCTTCCTACAGGCACTTTTTATTTTACCCTTTTGAACGTGGCATTACTACACCAGTGTAATTCTTCCTCTTGAAGGACTTTTGCCCTGTTAGTGAAAGTGCATGGAGGTTTTGTATTTGGACTCTCTCTTGCCTGAAAAGTTCATATTGTTTGCTTTTGTATATGAAGACTCTGCCAAGTCTCTGCTTTTACTGGCAAGCCACTTGCTGTAGCCTTGCGGCTTCCACCCTGCTCCAGAAGAGTGCTGACAATCTTTGGTTCCTACGTTACAACAGATATCCCAACCGCCAAAATGGCCTTGAGACCGCACATGAGGATAATTTTTGGCGTGTTTTTGGAGAAGCTTTGGAGGACTTGGAAACATGCGGCCAGTCTGAGCTTTTGAGGGAGATTGAGGTAAATTAACCTTTGAAAGCAGAAGGGGTGACTAGCTGTACCACTTCTAGTAAGTTCCCCTCTCTTGGTTCTTCTTGAGCTGCGTCTTTCTGGTTGTGACTGAGGGGAGCTGGAGCTAATGGCAGGGTGAACAGAGCGCTCTATATTCCCCCTTCCCTGCATAGTCAGAGTGTCACCCTTTATAAAGTGTGCTTCCTTTCAAGGTAATATCACTAGAAGCTTATAGTACTCATCTTGAGCAGGTTGAGCAGGTATTACAAGGGTACAGGCACACAGGAAGGTTAGACCTGTTTCCCCCAAAATCTATATTAGCCTTTGCCAGCCTAATCCAAACTAGCACTGCTCTCCCAAGCAGAAAATTGGGATTTTCATCCTTTTTCTGTTTGTCAGAAGCATGGCTCCTGCATTTCAAGTGCTTGAAGCGGTCAAATTATCATCCATGTGTAAGGCTAGGTACACATAGCAGTTTAAAGTGGATTAAATGTTTATTGCATTGAACACATAACATTGTCCCCATCTAAGTGGCACTTCCCTTGTTTAGTTCAGATTTTCCCAATAATGCAGTAAGGAAACAAAAATCCTAGGTAAAATTGCTTATTGCCCACCTGTGGACATACTGAAGCACATGATGGAGGTGGGTTGGATCTTTCATTTGCCTGGTGACTTTTCTGGGTGTCATCTATCACCTGACCCCCTACTTCTGTCGGTGAGGTGCTCCTCGGTGTGCTGTTGATAGATCTGTCATTACACACACTTCATTTGTTCTTAACTCGCTGTTTTGTGCAAGTCTGGTATATCAGAAAACTTGGATCTCAAAAACAAAATTTATAAAAGGGTGACAGGCACAAGTAAACAAATACCTGCCTGCATGTCCAATATGGACCTCAGGTTTTTCAAACTCAGAGAGGGTGAGTTGCTGGTGGGGCTCAAAATTCAACTTCTTTTTTTTAACCTACTCTTTTGTGCAAATCTGGTGTATGTGAAAACTTGTAACAATTTTTTTTAATGGCCACACATGCAGATAAACAAATAATTTTGTGCACGTCCACAATGGGCCTCATGTTTCCAGAACTCTGGGAGGGCGTGGAAGTATTAATGGAGGTGAGGGAACAACAACACACACTGCGAATTCATCCCACCAAGCACCACCCACTAGCATGGATGGGAAACACTGAGATAGCATTCAGTTGAGAATGCTTATGTATGGATGGACAAGTACAAAACTGCACATAGAAACAGCAAATCTGTTCAACCCAGCACGCACCTGACACTGGTGTGCATCTAGCATTGGCCAAAAGGAGAATCATAATAGGGAAGTAAGTCTTCCCATGATATTGTGGTGCAGTTCCCATAAATTGCAAGTGCACGGCCAAAATTTTGTTGTCCATGCGGGCTGGCATTTCTCATCTACGCCAATTCAAGTGAACTCATGACTGTTACATGGGGGGGGGGGATACGAGAGAGAGAGATTGCACACACTTTTGTAAATCAAGAAAATCTTGAATTAAAAAAAAAGTGAACTCATGGTGAATCCTGAGTAGGGTTCACAATTTGGCAGCATCCCCTAGTAAAGAGTCCTGAAGTGCCCTTGAGCGATGGCACCCTGTTCTCTCTCTGAACTTTGTCTTGCCAGCATTTGTTTGGGTGGGAGGTTCTGGAGCAGAGGGTGCAGGAGTTGGGACATTCATCTTGCCCTGAACCTTACTGTTCATGCTGCTTCTTGCACCGAGCTTACTGTGTTCTCTGTGTGTGGTTGTTTTTTTACTTACCCCTCCATAGGCATCCATCATGACAGGGAGTGTACACAATCTAGACCTTGACGGGGGCAAGTTGCTCATGAACTCTGTCAACCAATCAGGACTGAGCCCACCAAGGAAAGGGAACACCAAGAGCTCAGGTGAAGGGAAGGGCAATGCCAATGTCACTCCCACCAAGAAAAATGACAGGAATTTGGAGATTAAGATGATGAAGGAAGAGATCCAAGAAATCATGTCTCCCACCCCTCTTGAGCTGCACAAGGTTTGTGCTGAAGAATGGTCTGGTTATGGGTTTTAAGACTGTGGGGTAAAGATAAGATAGGGGTGGGTAAAGGACTGAAAAAAGAATAATCTCCAGAGGCGGATTTGCCCCATTACTAAGTTTCTGGATAAACGTCTTTGAGCACAGGATGGCAGGGCGTGGAATGTTCTACTGATGTTAGTAAGCAGCTGGTGTCCTCTGGTGGGGACAGCGCCCTCTTTCTGCCACTCCCTTGCAATGCACCCCACACACCTAGCAAAACTGGAACGGGCCATAGTTCAGGGCCAGAGCACATGCTTTGGATGCAAAAGGTCCCAGGTGCAACCTCCAGCATCTCCAGGCAGGGCTGTCTGAATCCATGGAGAACCTGCTGCTGCTAATCAGTGCTGGTGATACTGAGGTAGATAGACCTAATGAACTGGCTTAGTAGAAGACTGCCTCCTATAATAGGATGGTTTGCAGTAAAGCGGATGACACACACAGGTAAACAAGAGTCTCGGGGTGGGAGTAGCACAATGGCTTCTGCTCTCATTTTAGTGGCGGGGGAGAGGTGTAAGCACAGGACTCGTGGGGAGGGTACACCTTCCTGTTCTCATTTCCTATCACTTCTGAAAGGCCTATGGAAAACGTGAGGTTCAACATGCAAATACAGCATTGCTGTCAGGGATATCTAATCTTGCCTAATAGCAATGGCATGCAGTCCCGTGCAGAGGAATGCGTACCATTGCACCAGCTTCTCCAAAAAGGCTTTTGATGGTTCGGAAGTCTTTCAGGCATTTTGCTAGAAACCAAACATTCCTGTTTAAACAGCAGAGCTTCATTCTCAAGGCTGACGAGGTAGTCGATTTAAAGTTGGAATAGCGCCTACCTCCCCAAGCAACAGCATTGCTGGTTCGCACGGAGAGCCTGAATGTGTGCATTGTGTCTGACCAAATGACCTTTTCTGATAGCAGTGTTGATGCTCTCCCAGTAAAGATTAGTAATTAAGACTACAGTACTAACCCCACTTACTTGGGACTAAGCCCCATTGAATTCAGTGTGGCTTGTTTCTGAGTAGGCATGGTTAGGACTGCGCTGCAAATGTGTTCTGTTCCTGACCCCACATTCCAACTAGGGATCATTATTGGGAGGGGTGTTAGAGCAATGTTATCACCTTATCCTTGTTTGTCCTGTGCCCTAGTTCTGCTACTGATGCTTTCTTGGAAAACACTGGCCATTTTCCTACTTCTGTGCCACATGCCCACACGTTCACTCTTGTCGCATCAGCATTGCACTCGGTTCCTGTGGCTTACGGTGCCGCTTGAGGAGAACACAGACCTGAAGACCATTCACCCTCGCTACTTAGTGACCGAGTTTGACATTTTAGGCTGAAACAGCTGAAATTTGCAAAAACTTCAGAATGAGACCCTCATTTACCGTATTTTTCGCACCATAGGGCGCACTTTTTCCCTCCTAAAAAGCAAGGGAAAATGTGTGTGCGTCCTATGGAGCGAATGCAGGGGGGAGGCAGGCGGGAAAAGCCCTCAAGAGCCGCACACAAGCTTCGTGCGCTCTTGCGGGCTTTTCTCCAGGAGGGAGAAGGGACTGACTGGCTGCAGCAGTCCCTTCTCCCTCCTGGGGGAAAAGCCCCCAAGAGCGGCACCCTTTTTAAAGGCTGCGCGGCTCCTGCGGGCTTTTCTACGAGGTGGGGGAATCTGCCCACCTCCCAGAAAAGCCAGGAGAAGCCGCACAGCCCCTTTAAAGAGCGTTCGGCTTCTGCGGGAGGTGGGGGAAGCTGCAGCAGATTCCCTCCTCCCAGGCTCCCTTTGAAGCGGCAATGTGGGAGGGGAGCAGCTTACACTCATGTAAGCAGCTCCTCTCCCACTTTCCTCCTTCAAAGCAACTACGGAGGAGGGAAGGAAGAGGACCATGGATCCTCCGCTGCTGGAGGCTTCAGCAGATTCCCCCCTCCGTGATTGCTTTGAAGCAGGAAAGTGGGAGGGGAGCAGCTTACACTCGTGTAAGCAGCTCCTCTCCCACTTTCCTCCTTCAAAGCAACTACGGAGGAGGGAAGGAAGAGGACCATGGATCCTCCGCTGCTCGAGGCTTCAGCAGATTCCCCCTCCGTGATTGCTTTGAAGCAGGAAAGTGGGAGGGAGCGCTTACACTCGATGTAGCGTCGCTCTCCCACTTTCCTCCTGCAAAGCAACTACGGAGGGGGAAGGAGAGGGACCATGGAATCCTTCCGCTTGGCTGGAGGCCTTCAGCAGAATGCCCCCCTCCGTGGATGGCTTTGAAGCAGGAAAGTGGAGGGGAGGCAGCTTACACTCGTGTAAGCAGCTCCTCTCCCACTTTCCTCCTTCAAAGCAACTACGGAGGAGGGAGGAAGAGGACCATGGATCCTCCGCTGCTGGAGGCTTCAGCAGATTTCCCCCCTCCGTGATTGCTTTGAAGCAGGAAAGTGGGAGGGGAGCAGCTAGCTCCTCTCCCACTTTCCTCCTTCAAAGCAACTACGGAGGAGGGAAGGAAGAGGACCATGGATCCTCCGCTGCTCGAGGCTGCAGCGGATTCCTCCTCCGTAATTGCTTTGAAGCAGGAAAGCGGGAGGGGGGCAGTTTACACTCGTGTAAGCAGCTCCTCTCCCACTTTCCTGCTTCAAAGCAACCACGGAGGAGGGAAGGAGGGGACCCATGGATCCTCTTCGCTGCTCGAGGCTGCAGCAGATTCCCTCGTCCCGGGCTCCCTTTGAAGCAGCAAAGTGGGAGGGGAGCAGCTTACACTCGTGTAAGCAGCTCCTCTCCCACTTTCCTCCTTCAAAGCAACTACGGAGGAGAGAAGGAAGGGGACCGTGGATCCTCCGCTGCTCACGGCTGCAGCGGATTCCTCCTCCGTGATTGCTGGGAGCTTCTCTGGGCAGGAATTCCCTCAGCTTAAGTGGGGTGGGGGAAGTGTGGCAGGTAGGGGGGTACCTACCTAGACACTGAAGCCACATGTCTCTTAGATGAAAATTGGGAGTGAGCATTGTGTGAAGTGGCTGTGGATCTCCTGCCGCAGAACTGTAGGACTGTATAGAGTTGGGAGGGCCACCCAAGGGTCATCTAGCCCAGCCCCCTCACAATGTAGGAATCACAGCTAAAGAACGCCAGGCAGATGGTCCCCCAACCGCTGCTTAAAAGCCTCCAGTGGTGGAGACCCCAAACACCTTCCGAGGTCATAGAATTGCAGGGTTGGAAGGGAACCCCAGGAGTCATCTAGTCCAGCCCCGGTGGACAGCGGGCGCAATCCATCCCATTGCGCAAGACTAAAGATGCTGCGCAAGGCTAAAGAAGAAGCCAAGGCAGGGATGGATCGCGCTTGCTGCCTTGTCTTCTTCTTTAGCTGCACTGGAGAGGTTTAGCTCCTGGCTGGAGAAGTTGCGCGGCTATGGATCCCGCGCGCTGTCTTGGCTTCTTTGCTCTTTGGGGCTGGGGGGGGGGGACCCGGGCTTCCCCCGCAGCCCCGAGAAGCTCTGGGAGAAGTGGACAGGCTGCGTGCAGCCTGTCCGTTCTCTTTGGGGCTGGGGGGGGATAATATTTTTTTCCTTGATTTCCCCCTCTAAAAACTAGGTGCGTCCTGTGGTCCGGTGCGTCCAATAGAGCGAAAAATACGGTATTCTTGAATCACTGGGGGGGCACTTTCTCCTCATGCTTTGTCCTCTGTTTTTGCTGTTCATACCAAATTAGACTTTCCTTTTCCTTTTCAGATAACTATTTATAAGGATCCAGAGACTGAAGACTTTGGATTCAGTGTCTCAGATGGCTTGCTGGAAAAAGGCGTCTATGTGAATATGATCCGCCCAGATGGGCCAGCTGATCAGTGTGGACTCAAGCCCTATGACAGAGTCCTTCAGGTAATAGCTATAAATAACAGCAAAAGGTTTAAGAAACCCAAATGGGTCTGTTTCTTGAAGAAGAGCTTGCATCTGGGGCAAACCACCTGGGTTCATACTAGTGGCTGTTGGAATAGTCTGTCTAAAACGGTACACCCTCTTTTTCTTTCTGTCCTACTGCTGCACAATTTCACTGATGGAAAGGTTTCTGTTTTCCTTAACCCAGGGGATGCCACCCTTTTTTGGGCCAGGGGGCACATTTGGAATTTTGACATAGTGCCATGGATGCCTGTCACAAAATGGCCGCCATAAGATGGTGCAGGAAAGGGCAAGCCCAGTGCAAACAGGAACTGTGAGCAAGAGGAGCAAACAATCTCTCATGCATTGTGGGCTTTTATAGAGACCTTTCATGGGCATTACAGGAGGTACTAGCAGGCACGCTGGCAGCCAAGGGCACTGCATTGGCCACCACTGCCTTAACTTGTCCTCCAGCTCTGTAGCACAAGCCATTCATGCCCAACATATTTTCCCTCAGGTGGTGGCTCCCTGAACTCATTGTAGCTACTCCACAGGAAAAAGCCACCTAGACCTTCAGGAGCCCCGGTCAAGGCTCTTTATTAATGCATTGGCATACCTCGCTGGCGTTTCTGGTGGGGGTAGGAAAAGAAGTGACAGCTTGAGGTCCAAACTGTTTTGTCGGCCTCTCCTGAGGCAGCTGTTCAGACCAGAAATGCTGGAGGCAGTTGGTACAACCCCCCTCCCTGCTCTGCAAGCAGTTACATTCATTATTTTAGAAGTCTTGCAATTCCCTGAAGGATTCTTTTGCTGTTCCCTTCAGCATTTTAAAAAGACTTTATTGGCTGTGCCACAATTAACTCTAACACATGTTGGGTCAGTAACTGAAAATCTGGCAACAATAAGGGGAGGCTCATTTGTGCTTGTTATGGTCCGTAGCCAGCTGGCCTGCTGCACCGTTGTTCTTTCTCAGCCTCAAATGAAAGACCAGCAGAAAGAAGGAATTGGGGGAAGAGCGGAGAGGGGGGACAAAAAAAAAGTAATTAGACTGCCGGCCACGTTTCTGCAGAATGTTGGCCATGTCACAGCCTGCACAAGCACCAAAGCGTTCCCCTTGAACGCACACTAGACCCAAAGAGGAACCATGAGAAGAGGACTTCAGTATCTCTGCATGGGACACCACTGAGGAGATGACCTTGTCGTCACTTCTGTATGATGGTCATCAGGACTGTAGCTTGAGGTGGTGGGAAGAGAATCGGCCTTGCATACAGGAAGTCCCAAGTACAGGGGTGAAGCAACCACCTCAGGCATTGTCTCTGCGGGCACCATGTCCACCCAGCTGGTGGCAGAGAAGCAGTGCTGGTTTGCAGCAAAATCTGCCTGGATTTTTGCGAGATCTCACTGGAAACCACTGCCGTTGTCACCTCAGGTAAGGGAGGGCATGACAGCACGTTTCCGTTTGGCCTCGGGCATTGAAAGGGACATTGCCCAAGTGCAATACCAGCATCTCCAGGTGGGGCTGGGAAACCCTAAAGCACAGCTACTGGTCAGTGCAGACAGAACTGAGTGAAATAGATCAATGGTCTGACTCTGTAGCATCCTAGTTAGAGGAAAGTGTTGAGCCGGCAGTGATCCATAAAGAGCTTTCTAAAGGTCAGAAAAATATAGATGGATTTGTTTGACCTATAAAATCTTCATCCAGATGCAGAGGGATGGAAGAACTAACCCTAGAGCCGATTAACCTTCCTTGGCCTCGGGGTTGCGTTCAAGGTTGGGCAGCCCTCTGAGGGTTGCGTGCCGTTTTCAGATGCACCCACTTGCAGACACTCGTCGCACAAACATCTCACAAAAACCCACATCTGCAGATCACACAGAGACACAGAGACACACAATGCGTTCTCTCTTACACCATGCGCGCGCACTCTCTCTCTCTCTCTCTCATATGCACCATGCACTCTCCCATGTGCTGACATACCATGCTCATCCCCATGGCAGCACTGGGCTGAGAGGATCTGGGATGGAGAGAGCATCCCTTGTTTGTCTCAGAGGCTACAGAAACAAAAGGAGTCATCCTGCCTCAACCACTTGGGGCTTAGAATATAAAGTAGCCCTTCATTGTCTCCAGATGCTGTTGCTTCCGAGTGTGTGCAGCAGATCTTAATATCCACATCTGTGCTTACCGTAAACTTAATTTAAATCCCACCTGCCAGTTTGACTGATTGAATACCCCACCTTACACTGTCAGCTAAATGCAAAGAATGTCAATCCGTGGGTTATCTGTCCCTGGTAGCCCTAATGAAACTTTAATTGAGTTAGGATAAAAGGTTTGTCCACAGTTTCATCAGGGATGAGGAAAAGGTAAATATTTTTAAGACAAAGAAATCAGAGAGGCTCCACCCTTAAACAACCTCATCATAACCGGGGAGCCTTTTCTGCAAGATGAAACCCAACTGTATTATGGCGCCTGACCACTTGGGTTTTACAAAATACATTTCTGGCCCCCAAATCATTGGCTGGAGAATAGAGTAGCCCCACAAGGATACAGCAGCAGCTCACCATCCCCGACTTAATGCTTCTGGTTAGATTTTTGTCAAAAACTGTCCCACAAAAAGAGTACTGTTTGATCGGATGTCTTTTCCATTCTCTCACATAACTGAGGAATTGAATGGCTCCAGGAATGTGGTTTCCTGGATTTTTCTGCCATAGCATAGCATAGCATAGTTTGGTTTGGCCTATGTTTTATATGTAGCAGAACAGCTCCCAAATTACAATCTATTGAGTGTTCAACGTTGACACAAGTTTAAGAATATAAGAACACAATATGAGCCTGCTGAATCAAGCCAATGTCCCATCTAGTCCAGCACCCTGTTCTCACAGTGGCTGACCAGACAGATAGATGCCTGAGGGAAGACTACAAGCTGGATGTAAATGCAGCAGCACTCTCACCACCTGTGATTTCCAGCAAGCGGTTACTTTTTTAAAAACAACAACACAGTAAAATAAAATTGTCTCATTTTCCTGTTTTGTTGTGTGTGTGTGTGTGTGTGTGTGTGTGTGTGTGTGTGTTTCCCATAATCCACTGTGAGTTTTCTCTCATCCCTTCAGGTAAACCGCATTCGAACCCGGGACTTTGACTGCTGCTTAGCTGTCCCTTTGATATCTGAAGCAGGAGACAAACTGGACCTGGTAATCAGCCGGAATCCCCTGGCCTTCACTGCCAAAGCCCAGCTCGATGAGGATTTGCCAGGCCGGCAGCCTCCTAGTGTGGAGGTCAAGGCAAACACACAGACACTCTGAATGCTGGGTGGGCTTGGCATCAACTGTTCTTGAGGTCCTGTGGGGGTGGGGGCAAAGGGGTTGATGGGTGTCCGTAACACTTTTTTCGGTTTTACTTTTGCACTGGTATTGTGATTACTCTGTGTAACGTAACTTGCCATGAAGAAATGGGTTTCCCTTTTGTCGCATCTTGAAGCCAGTCAGCCTAGGCCTTGAAGCCCCAAGCTGAGGCAGACCGGTGGAAATGGTCCCTCTTTGGCCAACTCGGTGGGTGGGATGGGCTGCTGTTGCCACTGAAAGCAGGAAGCAGTGCCCAGCACAACTCACCTGGGAGAGAACATCCTTTGCTCATGGTATGAGCTTCTCCAGCAAACGGGGTCACAGGGCACCAGACTATCATCTTTGCCCCTGTCTTCGAAGGGCTTGGGTACATGGTGCTATTTTCTTGTTGTTTGCTTTGTTAAATCATGTACAGTGAAACTTAATATTTAACACACACACACACACACACACACACACACACACACACACTGCTTTGTTTCTGTGAAAGGCCACCCCTGCACTACCCCATAGCTTTTCCTTAGCCCACGGCAAGAAGAGCCTTTTCCCAATTCACAGCCACACTCTCCCAGATCACTGCGGTGCTTGGGATCAACCGAGAGCAGAGTTTCCCTTCGCAAGTTTTATGAAGTCCTGAGCCATTTGTCACAAAAGACGAGGCTCGGGGGTGTAATTTTTTTCTCCCTTGCCACATCTCAGGCACTCATTCTTTGGGGTGCAGCCTAAACACATCCACCACTATTTGACTTCAAGACAATGTGTGCTTGTTTTCTTCCTTCCTTCCTTCATCTACTGTGTTTTTCTTAGACAGCACTGATGATACCATACACAAAGGGCAGGGAACTGGCTTTTCTGGGTCACCAGTAACCTTGTGTGTGCCTCCCCCTACACACACACAGCACCAAGAATCTTTCTCTTGGTTGAACCATGAGTCTGTGAGTGGGCAGCTGAATGTGAGTCACTCACATAACCCTCTTTGCCCTGGCCCTCGTTTCCCCCCCCATGGGAGTGGGGAAACCCTTGTATCTCCTTGTCACTGTTAAGCATGAGACATCCTCTGCGAGATTGGTATTGTGTCTCCCAGTGCACCTCCTGTGGGTCGTCCTAGTGCAAGTGCAAGTGCGTGCGTTTGTTTGTTTAAAAAACCCCCACTGATGATGAGGGTTGGCGCCCTGTTGTAACCAGTCATAGCAGCAGCCCCATGTTTTTAGTAGTTACCTTCTCCTCCCTGGCTTTATGAGCACGATGCCTATGTGACCCTCTGCCTTCCACAACTGAATTCCGTTGTAGTGATCGTGGATGTGATATTCACAATCTTTGGATGATCCGCCTGCAGCAGGTGAGGCGGACTTGCAACTTAAGGCCATGGTCTCTTTCTTTCCACGTGGCAAAAATGCCGGGGCTTGCAAATCTCACTCCAGCCAGTCCAATGGCCTGTGCCAGGGTTTCTGGAATAGCACTTTATTGTGGTGGTTTTTTCGACTGTCCCCCTACAAGGGAACTTGAGTAAGACCCTGGAAATAGGAAACTGGCTCCTCTCTTCCTTTGTATGCCCTTTGTTTCTTTTGGTACCTTTCTGATGCAAATTAAGGTGCCATGTTTTGGTATGGGTAACCTTCTCCGGTAGATCAGTAAACCACAACTGGTTTTCAGATCTGAGCCCAGGTTAAGCTGTGATTGCATCTACGTCTCTCTTTTCCCCTCCCTCTCTCTTTTTTAAAAAAATATGCTTATTCATTTTCTGGGCCACATCAAAGTTTCCGTGCTTTCCTTAAGATGTGCATGGAGTCCCTTTGGGGCTGCATCTAGCTGTAGCCATTTTCTCTTCTCAAAGTATGCAATATTCCATACCATGGCTGCCATATAACCTAGATAATGTGCCATAAAAGAAACTGGAGGGTATTGACAGTTGAGCAGAAAAAAGGGGTTTTATATGCAATATTCCCAAAATGGCGGAAGCTCAGCGTGGCTTCAAATAGGTTTTTAATGAAGACTTTTAATAAGGCTTTAAAAAAAATGGTCCTTGTATCCCTTCCTATGCATTTTGAATGATACGAAAATGAAATGCATTACTTAAATGTGTATTTTTATCCATATATTAGAGTGTATTCCTTGTAAAGTATTTTTATACGCTAATTTTCTTATGTATCTATGAAAGCACAATATTCAAAGAATATTTTAGTCCTGTTTTGGACCTATTTGTAAATCTATGTATTTAAATGGTATTGCGATTACTTAGATTTTTTTAATTAAATAAAAGCAAAACAAAACAGGTTTCCTGTTTTCTTTGAGAAGTTGGCATCTAAGTGATACTCTGCCTATCTGTGGTCTATCTCTGTTTGCACTTGGATCTCTGCTGGGCTGCCTGCTTGAGACCAGAAAGTAATCTCTGGATCATCTCAGAATCACCAGAAGAGGAAAGCAGAAGCTGAGGTTAACTTTAGCCAAAGGAAGCACTTTTAAATACTTGTTGATTTTGAATGTGAGTTTTAGTGTGCAATCCTCTACAAGTTTACTTGCAGGCATGTCTTATTGAGTCTGACAACACTTACTCTCAGGTAAGTGCTTGCAGGATTGCTGCCTTAAGCACATGCTGAGGTGGGCAGCTCACCTCCTTCACTGACAGTCTCCAGCTGCTTCTGCCTCCCAGGGAACAAGAGCAGGCCTCCGATCAGAACCATTAAGACATAGCTGACCACATGGTAAGTCTGGGGTTGTCTCATGCTTGTGGCTGGATAGAAGCAAAAATGACTGTACTCTCCCTAATTTTGTATTATGCCATGCTCCTGTGACAGCCATTTTGTGACTGGTGCCCACAACGCATTCTCAAAATCCAAAGTACATTTGCTGGTCCAAACCAGCTGGCAAACCCTTCAGATTTTACATTTGCAAATGTGGAGGAACAGCCCTTATTGCTTCTTTGTCCTGGTAGCCCTGGGTACATTCTGAAATCTATCTTTCATCTCATGATACTGTTCTAGTTGTATCTGTGCAAGCCCTCCTGCACAGCACACTCTGGGGCAGCTGAGCTTCTGCTACATCCTTAACCTTGTTTTGTTTAGCATCCAGCCTGATTAACTCAAAAGCTTGCTCACAATATTGTGACACTTTGGTTGGGTCCCAGTAATGTGATTTCCATAGTATGCATGTAAACAAACAAAACACAATACTTTCAATGCATCAGCACTGCTACCCAACTTTGAACACTGATTTTGAATGCTCTTTGTTATAGAATTTAGCATAATAGTTGAGATAACATTGGAAGAAATGAGTTATTTTTTGTTGGTCTTCCATTGCCATCAGTGGTATTTTAAGCGCTTTGGGTTGTGGTCAACAGTCTTCCATGTAGCACAGTAGTGGTTTTTTAAAATAGGGAAGGAACCATTCCTGGTCGTTGTATAACTCATTCCTTATAGAAGTTAATAACACAGAGGCATTCCATCAATGTTTAGATATGTGAGACTATTTGTATGGTAACTATGAGGCTGTAAACTCATACACAAAGGGGCAATAAAGGGGGAGGGAAGCCTCTGTGTTGGACACACACTTTCTCTCTCACCTCTTTTCCCTGACCTCAACACCCTCCCGCTCTTCTGGTTAATGTTCAACAGGGAAGATTTCTACTTCCAGTAAACAACTCTTTATCTGTGATCTTTGGCCTGCTTTCTAGGCTGGTATTTGTAACTGAGCAAAGACCTTTGGAGGTTTGGCACTTGGCAGCAGATTCCTCCTGGCCTCCTGGAGAACTGTGTAGAATGCTTGTCAACAGTTAACGTGCAGCAAACATGGTTTCAGCATTTGTGGAAGGTGACTTGCTGGCTTTCGCAAGCACTGTCTACAATCCTCTACAAGCAGAGGATTGACTGACTTGCGGTACAATAAAAGCAGAGTGTGTTGCACAACAAGTACAAAGGCATTTTGCTGCAAAATGTATAGGCAAGGTCACTTAAGGACTTCCCAGATCGGAGAAAAAATGCGAGACAGCAGAGATGTGAGATGCATTGCATGGCTTCAACTGACACTTCATCACCCACTAAAAAAAAACCTGGTCTTGTTGCTGTGGGATTTATTTATATTTTTTTAAAAAATTAAAAATAGCCAATCCGGACTATGCAGGATTTCTAGACTGATAGCTACAGTAGTGTGTGTTTTTCTTTTTTAAAAAAACCCTGAAGGTGCTCCCTGCATATGCAAGATGTGCTTTAAATTCTCCCCATCTAAATGTTCAAGTACAGTATTCCCCATCCAAATGTTCAAGTATGTATTAGCTCAGGGATTGGATTTGGTGCAAAAGCTTCTCGATGCAGAAATGTGAGTGCCTAGCACTAGACAGTTGACCAATTGCTGCCTTGAACATCTCAAACTGCTTTCCATGTCTGATAACAGGAAAACTGTGGCATTGCCACTGATCAGAGATGGTCCCTGGGTAAGACCCAGCAGAATTCCCTTCTCATAACTGATGGGCCCTAAAAGTAGCAGGTTGGCATGAAGTCTTCTGTAGTAGGAGCTTCATTCTTCTATTTTTGCATCATCACTGCAGTATATGACAGCATCTCTTCACATGTGATGTGTAGTGCATTCAAGTAATTTAGAAAGATGATCACACTCTTCCCTTTGACTTGCTCCAGGAACCAGAGATGAGGGGTTCTTCCACGCTGGAACTACTTTCGGGTGGGATTCAGTTACATACCAGAAAAGTCAGATTGGGCAATTAAAGTTGATGTGGCAGTCTTGTGCAACAAACTCGTTTCTCCCCCACAAAATTTTAGCATTGCACTGAGGTATTAACTCTTGGATGAAGGAAATGGATTGTCATCAGTTAATAGAAGTCTTGCGTGTAGGCTTGTTTGGAGATTGTGGGATTGACTTTTTAAATGTGAACTACCTGGGGGATCCAATTGGAAGGTGGTAGGAATAATCATTGGAGGATGGTGCTGGTGGCACACAAGCAAAGGCTGCTGGAAAACACACACCTCTGAATTCCTAGAGTGCACATTCAGGGATGGGGGGGGTGCAAGTAACAGCAAGCTGTTAGCTTCAGGGATAATAATATATTTCTTGTATCCTGTCCATCTGACTGGGTTGCCTCAGCCACTCTGGGTGGCTTCCAACAAAAATACAGAGGGAGTGGAGAAGGAACCAGCTTTGTGTTTAAAGCTGCATTTATTTTACCGTCCTTTTTGCCACTGGGAGGAATGTTTTCATGTGCTTGTAACCATTCTTATGTTTAAACTTTTTTCCTAAGAACAAGCATTTGGGGGGGGGGGTTGTCCCATTAATGCCTGCTTCAGTCATGTTTCATGAAAACTGTGTATTCTCCTGGAACATACCACCCCATGTCTAGTTCTATGCTACCCTTGAGCTGCTCTTAAAGAAAACATGGGATTTTTAGGCAGGATCATAGAAGTGTAGAGTTGGAAAGAGCCAAGGTTATCGATCCCAGTCCTGCTATGCAGAAATCTTTTTCCACAATGTGGATCTCGAACCCACGACTCTGAAATTAAGGGTCTCATGTCCGACCAACTGAGCTATCCAGCTGAATCCAGCCGGCTGGTGAAAGGCAGCCTTGTTAAATGCTTTCCCCTGGTGGCAGCGAAAGGCCTAACAGGCAGGGTGGGCAAGCAGACGGGCGTGCCCAGTATGCACCTGAGGTACCATGACAACTTCCTTGATGCAACTTCCTGAGCACAGAGCAGCTTCACATAAGAAACAACCATCTACCAGAAACTAGTTTGAACCTCTTTGGCCATCCCACTGCTATGTCTGCTCCTCCCCACTTTCTTCTCCCACATCCACAAAAAATCAGTGGGGCCTTTTGTAGGGAGGAGCAGAAGAAACTGCTTGGAGGCCTGCACCTCAACTAGAGCCAGAGCTTTTTCGGCTGCGGCTCCAACCTGGTGGAACGCTCTGCCGCAAGAGACCAGGGCCCTGCAGGACTTGACATATTTCCGCAGGGCCTGCAAGACAGAGCTGTTCCACCAGACCTTTGGCCAGGGCACAGCCTGACTCCCTCCTTTGGCAATCTTTACAAAACTTTAGTTTATGGTTGCCATCAATTTGTATTTAATTAATTTTTATAATGTTTTTATAATGTTGCATTGTTTTAGTGTTGTTAGCCGCCCTGAGCCTGGCTTCGGCTGGGGAGGGCGGGATATAAATAAAATTTATTATTATTATTATTTGTCAGGGGCTCAGGGGCAGAGCCACAGGGGAAAGAGGAGTTGGAGAGCGAAGGGGAAGGATCTGAGGGGAGCTTAGGAGGGTATGAGAGTGACCTGGGAGATTCCATGAGTCTCTCCAGCGAATCAGAAGATTCCCAGAAAGAGGCGCTCAGGGTCGGGGCAAGGGGGGCCAGCGGTGAGTCCCCAAGCGGCAGCTGGAGATCAGGGCCAGCTTCCCCGCCAGAGCGTAGCGGGGGGGAAGAAGCCCACAGATCAGAACCAGCGTCTTCTCCAGCAGGGAGAGAGAGTCAGAACTGACCACGCCTCCGTCGGAGAGTGGAGGGGCGGAGCGGAAGTCAGTTCCAGCCAGCCCCCCCCGAAGGGGGAAGCAGTGACAGGAGCAGTGTAGCCGTTAGGAGGAAAGTGGCCGGCTGGGCGCGCGCGCCAAGTTCAAATGTGCAGGCGCGCGGGTCAGCAGAAAATCCGGATTGAGAGCCAGGTCCCAAAGCCCGCCGGAGACAGGGGGAGGAGTCAGAGGAATCCGCCTCCGAAGAGTCCAGGAAGGGTGGGACCCCAGAGGGCAGGAGGACCCAGAGGAGAAAAGAGCAGAGGAAGAGGTGGAGCAAAGCTCGGGTGTTAAACTGGTGTAGGGGAGGGGAAGAGTCAGACGGAGCTTCGACGGTCTAGAGTTACAGACGTAGGGCTGCGCGCCACGGATGTAAAACCAGCAATGAACTTCAATAAAGACTTTTGTATATAAAGAGACACTGGCGTTGGTCCTTTGTGAGCTGGGACCTGAGGCACCCCTGACAGTATTATTATTATTATTATTATTATTATTATTATTATTATTATTATCTCTGAGAACTGGGGTTAGACACCATTTTAGTTTACTGGCAGTGCTATTTTAAATTAATTGCATATTAAAACAATTTTCCAACGCTCAGTATATAGAGATAGATCCAGGTGTTCCTGAAGCCTGAGTGCATGGTCTGAAACATGCGAGGTGGGGGTAGGGGTGGCAGCAGTGACCCATTTTTTTCTGATTGAGACACCGGTGTCATTAAATGATTGTCTCCCCAGTAGAAATTCAACTAGTAAGGTGTTTCCTAGCATGCTGGTGCAGTGGTAAGTTGCACCAGAGGAATTTCCACATGTGTTGCGAAGTTTCAAAAGGTACAGAAGCCCTGCCCAGGGCAGGATCAAAAATAGATGACAGCAATTTGTATTGCTAATATTCTCCATCCTGTGGGCTGAGGAGCAGGCTTGGAGACTGACTGATAACACTGAAGACGTTTGGCCACAGGCCCAAGTTGCTGTGCTGGAGAGGGAGAGAGATTTTCCTCTGAAGAAATATTAGCAGGCCACATAATAGGCTGCATAGGTACCTGGCTTATATTTTATGAATTTCAACAATGAAGCACTCAATAGAAAGGTTTCGCTCATTGCACTGTAATATTGGTAAACTCTCACCAGAAGTTAGAAATAACGAAGGCTTGTTCACTTTATAAAGGAAAGGCTTTTTTATTTTTCTGTTTGTGATGATTACAAACTCATCTAAAAAAGCAAAAATGACTTTTAAAATATCAATATACATTTTCTTTATCTAAAAAGCAAAACAGATAAAACTGCAAAATACAAACATTTACGGTATACACAAATAAAACCTAATTTTTTTTCTGGGTTGAAGTACACTCCAAATTCTTATTCCTATACAAATATTCCTTTCTGGAACAATAAGAATGACAAACGACAACAGGTTTAAAATGTCTTCTTAAAAAATTCTCAAATCCACGTGGCTACTCCTGACAGATGGTAGTCACAAGTGTGAATTCAAATAATAATTCCAAAATGCTCACCACTGTTTTCAGTAGACTAAAGAGGCTGTCATGTCTTATTTTTATAACTGTAGAGCCCCTGGAGATGCATTCCTTTCAAAACCGCTACAGCACAATACAGCAACAACACAAACAATGTTCTATTACAACAGTGAATGTATCAGAGCACTGCACTGACTGCTTCGAGGGGAGGTGGGAAGAGACATTTATGAACAGCCTCAGACTGTCCTTTGGTTCCTGCCATCTAACCTTGTCCTTCCTTAAAATAAGTCACAGTCTCACATACACACAGACAAGCATTGCCCTTCTGCAGCTAATGGTTAGCCATTTGGCAGCTCATCTGTTACCCTGTCCTTCCAGAGAGTTTTTCAACTCAGTTGCCTGGCTGCCCATAGGAAGGGGTTGGCTTCCAGCTTTAGGTCAACTTGCTTGCGCAATGCATTGCAAACGCATCTGAGCTAGAAAACTCCTTCCCGCCCCAACCCTAACTTAACAATATTCCAGCTGCAATCCTAAGAATATGTCTAGGAAAATGAGCTCCCTTGAACATTTTGAAGAGCAGGCTGCGTGTCTGCATATCTGGGTTCATCTTTGAGCCAGCCAGCTACTAAGCAGATATCAGTTAAGTGGATTGCAGAACTTGAAAATATCTTTTTATGTTTTAAAAAAAAGGAAATAAGGGGTTAGTTTTCTTTTAGCACATTTGACTTCTCTTCCCAAAAAATATTAAATTAACCTTTCATGGGGATTTTCAGATCTAGTTCCATAGCTAGTATTAGTGCTGTCAGTGGAATTCCTAAGGCTATCGTTTAAAAATAAGCTACCACGTTTTATTTCCTGACAAAGGAATGCACATCTTATCATTTTTGCCCACCCCTCTAGCCTTCCATAAAGTACTAACAGGCAACCAACAGCCTAATCCACAACTTGTTCATGCTGTAGGACTGGGACTTCTATGGATTTAGGACCATAGAAGACAACGAGGCAGAACTGGCTTAAATGAAAATACTTTGGCTTAACTGAATTGCAGACTAGGCTGTCAGCAGATACTTTTAGAGATTTAGATAGAGACAGGTGGAATACACAGCTCCTTTCCAGAAGGAACTAGGAAACCAACATGTGGTCTAAAATTACATTCTTCCTGCCAAGCGTTTAGCACAATTAAGACTCCCACTCTAAATTTAAGCAAACCAATGTGAAACTGTAGAGCTTGAATCTGGATGATTTCCAAGCTTCCTTGTCCATTTTCAATATTCTTTAATCATACATTGGAAGGAGGTTTCGAATTCTAACCATGCCATGGCTGAGATTGAGCTCTGGACAAAAGTGGTACAGTTCAGACTGGCATCTGAACATTTGGTCAATTGTGTGCAGAAAGCTGGGTTGTGCTCCTGGATTTCAACTTGGATTTGGGTTCCAACCCGCCTCCAGTCCCAAACAGATGGCATCCAAGTTTGGGTTCATCATTCCATATGATAGAACAATTTTTTCCTTTAGTGTACAGTTCTTGCAAAAAAATCAAACACTGCAAGGTATTTCAGAACATCACTACCTTTTCCCATACAGGAAAGAACCAAGTTTTTATTCTGCACTGATCACTATTAAAAGAAAAATAATGAAGAACCATTGTGCCTCAGTGGAGATGTGATTGTTCCTTTAAAATCTTATTTGAGCTTCTGTTCAGCACAGTTTCACCAGTCAGTATGATTTACTCAATACAGCATGGAAATCACCTTCAGTTTATAACAGGCTAGCAACTACAGACTTCTGGCTGATGGATAGAGAGGCAATAATGGCTGAGGGTTGTACCCAATGGTGTCCCTCTGTAGATGGAAGTCTCTTTGATCCACTGAAGGTTTACACATACAGAAACAGGAGGACAAGCAGAGAGAAGATGCAATTGCTGCTGATTCTCCGTTCCCTCTACAGTCCCCTAAATCTGATCCAGAGATTTGGGGAGCCCTTTGCTAGTGCAGGGCAATGCAGGAGTAAGAGGGGACTTGCAAAAAACAACCTCTCGCTTTCCACCATGGAAGCCACCGCTAGACAAAGCAGCCTTTTGCCAGTCAGGAGAGGTACAACTGGATACAACCCTGAAACACTTCTTGCCTCTTTGAAATTGTTTCCTGGTGGCATTTGGAAGTGGAGACCTGCTATGTATATTACTCAGAAGCATGCCCCATTGCACATGATGGTGCTTAACCTCTAAGTAAACATGGGTTAAGGTCACACCATAAATGAAAAATTACATTACTCTTTAAGGCTTAAAGCAAAGCACAGTAATTTCTGTTGCCATAGCAGCACACACCTTCTCGTTGCACAAATTATCTGCAAGTTTCCTTCCATCAGCCTTAACTGCTCACCTATCCTCCAGCCATTCCTCTTCCCTCTGCCTCCCTAGGCTTGCCTCAGCAGCTGCCCAGCCCAGCTGTTGCTGCTTAAATAGCAAAACACCCAGGTTTTTGGTTGCTCAAAACATCCATGCTCTGATTCTGATGCTTATTCTGCCTTGCGGATTCAATCTGACCAGAACCACATACATAGTTTTGAAGCAAAGTGTAAATAATGAGAATTAACACCATTTTTTCCCTAATTTACAGTATGTATAAATATTTTGTAAATGTGTATTTCTGGTTATATTGTTATTAACTGATACCTCTCAACGAGATTGTGACTAATGATGAATTAATGCTGAAAGTTTGGAAGATGTGTCCTTCTCTTAAACAAAAGTTACCAGACAACTCTGGAAACTGCTTTGGTCAGAACCAGATCTGCAACTGCTGGCTGCAGGTGTCTTGAACGTCCAAGTGATCTGTAACTGGACATTTCTGGAATTCATCTAAATCAAGAACACAGTTTCAAGAACATGTCCCTTTTCCAAACCCACAAAGCATTCAAGGTATGCTCTCATTCTCTCCCCACTTTTTTTTTTTTTTGGAAATGCAATCACTTATGTGAACAAACATTTATGCTATTCCGCCCTCCCTCCCCCATCTCCCTGAATCCAAACCAGTTCACCAACAGTTAGTCACAATACTGAATATTTAACTTCTTAGTTACAAAATAACAGATAAAATAGGCCACAAAGTTCTACAAAGTAAATTAGAAAAAAACCAGTCTTTCTTTTTTTTCAATCATAAATAAGTAGAAAATACAAACAGTTGTTTACAATGTCCCCCTAACCCTGCCCCCACTCCCACCCCATGCCCTTTAATTTGGCAGAATCTACTGTTGACATTCAGATTTACCACATTCGATTATTCTGAGATTTTGCGGTGTGAAAATGTGCTCCTTGGAACAGAAAACCTAGGGATGACAGGCTGTGTTAAACTTGATTGAGGCTTTGCTCACCCCCACCCGCCCCCAATTACACTAACTAGCTAGCATAACTTTTTAAGGTCACTGTGTATATGCCTATAAAACCCTTTCACCCTCAACATGGAAGCTACTGATTCAAATGGCACAGCTTAACCTCAAAATGGGCTGGAACTCTAAAGGCGCAGGACTGATTCTTTCTGGTTTTGTTCTGGAAATTCATCCTCCCACAATATGTGCTTAGAGTATCCCCTGGTTGATTATATTTGCACTGGGATCATCAGCTGCTTTGGAAAGCCTGAACTCATTTATTTACTTGCTTATCAAAATATACACTGCACCGTATTTAGGTCAATGTGCACCAGGGAGAGTCAAGGGAATTCAGTTAAGATCTGCTTCTGGCCTAACTCCTCATTGCTCCCCAATAGCATGAAAAGAGACAATACAAGTCTGACCTGTGCTTATTAAATTGGAGTCCTACTTTGGCTAGCAATGAGGCTTGGATGAGAGAGGTCAGCTTTCCCTTGGCTGCCTTAGCCCTCCAGGTTAAGCTTTTCAGCTGGTAGGGGCTAGGATTTGAGAATGATGCTATCATGTCATCACATATTATGGAAGTGTTTGGCTTAAGGCTCTTCCAGTAGGATGGTCACTGGAAAATGAAAGCCCTGACCCTGGCCACCTGTGTGTACTCAAAGTTCAGTTCCCTCGCACAAAAATAAATTTGAGACTCTTACCTTAAAAAAAAAAAAAGTCAGCTAATACAAGAAACTTGAAATAACTGTGCTTTGGTCCTTTTTTATTTAAAGTTGTTGTTTCCATTTCATATAAAACCTGACATGACTTAGCAAGCATTTGTAAAGCCAATACGCTGTGGCCAATGAGAGCATGGGACACACGTAGACATTTTCTTAGGTTTTCTTTAAAAAAAATGTAATTAGGAATGTTTTTAAATACTGGCTAGGTTCCAGTTTAAACTACAGTATCTGTCACTGACAGACTAAACTGGCTACAGGTACTCAGGTAAAGGCTTTGCTGCCATTTCTGGCTTACAATCCTGCCCATATTGCGTTTAGTGCCAATACTCACTTAAAAGGGGGCACCACCTCCCCCAAGATCAATGCCCATATGGGAGGGTCTAAGAGCCTTTATCCAACATCATCTTATTACCTTCCATAAGAACCAGGGCTTGGTCAAACTGAGGTGAGATTTCCAGAAGCAAATCCTTATTCCTGAGGTAAGTGGGAAAGTTCTGTATGCTTAGTTCATTGATGAAAAATCTTGTTCAGATGTTTCATGCCTCATCCAAACTAAAATGCCTTTGTAGCTCATTTCATCTTCTTGTGCTTCCTTATCTCCATACGATACAAATGATGACTCTACTTAAATGCCTGTGAGGATCAGGATCTAAGTCTGCCTCCTGCATCTCCTTCTTTCTCTCTCTCTCACTCAGCTGCATGTCCTGAATAGTCCTGTGCTGCAGTAGCTTCCTCAGCAGTGGGTCTAGAGGTCCATTTCAGGTTTTATAGTGACCGATATGCTACTACGCTGCTTTGAATGATACAGGCCCAACACTCCTTTCTGTGAACTAGAAATGATAAATTTTGGCAAGTTTGGGGTTTCAAAAATGCTTCAGAATTGCACAGTGCTTTTGCAGCATCCTTGCAAATGCTGCACTTCTATACGTGCTCTTTGACAGCAAGCTACCTTTCTAAGAAAATTCAAGTCAAAGCCAGATCATTTCTCGAGTACGGCCTGCGGAAGACGGGCCACTCCCCACATCACTTTGCTTCAGTCCACTCCGCCGACCTGTTAAGTTACTCTTGTGTCTCAAAAAGTAACCCAAGAAGGGATCTGGGACACATGGTGGCTTCTCAGAGAAACCCTTCTATACCAACAATAGTAGTAGAGCAACACAAAGGTCTGCATGTCTTTCTCAGAAGTCTACATATAAACTCTGCCTGTGTTGGGATATTAGACACAGAACTGGCTTAGGGAAGACGGGACTCGTGGGATGTAGAAAGTGGCCCTGAGAGGGTACTGCCCGGCAAAATGCCACCCAAGCAGGAATGACCTTGCCACCCTCTTGCAGGCTTTTCGCACAGAAACCGTACTCGGGAGATGGCTGCTGCGTGGATTGTTCCCTTGGTTCCCAACTGCTCCCAATTCCCACCCCATATTGCAGCTTTTCCAATTACAAGCACACAAATATATATCTACAATCTCTCTATATTTTACATGGACCACAATAAGCATAAAAGCATGTACCCTTTCCTGCTTTAATTCTCCCCACTTGAACCAGAGGAAGATAGTGCCACACCTTTGAAAACCAGTTTCTTAAAACAACATAAGCATTAAAAAAGCAAATGCCTCCAGTGAGATATTCACTTTCTTAAGTTTTGGTTTTACCCTGTTCGCAACCACACCAGCACCTAAAGAAATTTGAAACGTGTATATGCATATATTTATATATGTTGTGTGTTGGCATAATCCTATATATGTTTACTCAGAAGTAAGTCCCACTGTGTTCAATGGGGCATAATCCCAAGAAAATGTGCATAGGATTGCAGCCCATGTATATATTGCTGGCAAGAAAATCAACTCAAGTGGTAAAGTGGTATCATGAATAGGTGTTAGATAGATATGTTGTGTGGAGAGAGAGAAAATTAGTAAATTCCTGCAGTGTGCCTAATTTGATATGAAAGCTCTGCCTCTAAATAGAGCGAGAGGCATCCACTGTGATTTACTTTACAAAATATTAAAAAATAAAAACTGAACACACAAAAAATAACTTTCTCTGTGAGAAATAAAAATAAATCCTAGTGCAAATATAAAGCTCTGTAAACCTGGTCCTATGAGAGATTCTATGGTTAGTAAACGGCAGTTTTAAAGCAGGCGTCTTCCTCTCATAGAGAGAGCTCACATCATTGTCTCCACGATGATATGAGTTGGCTTGATCAGTTCTCCATTGGCCATTCCAGGAGGGCAGAAGGGGGCAGCACTCTCTGTTTCTTTCTCCCACCGAGTTATCTCACGAGGGGCAGCCACTGTCTTCACCCTCTGGAAAGAGAGAAAGGGAAACATTGTATTTGAAAAGGCTTCCAGATCCTTATGGAGTGAAAAATTGGAGTGAAAAGCCTAACTTTACAGATACATGAATGTGGGCTGATTTTCCCTCCTCTCCTTATAAGAACATAAGCAGAGTCCAACCAGATGCCCCCTAAACCTGTTCTGGGGGCTTCCCCAATGCTCCAGAGCAGATGGGGGGGCATGTGGGAAGAGGAGATGGAAGCATAATTGCATGAGTGGACCTTGTTCTATGCACACAATTTAGTGGAATCCAAACGTATATGACTGAACTGGCAGTAATGACCAGAAAAAAATCACCGGCAGGGGTGAGGTGGGGAGAGGTTATGGTAGATATGCATCAACTCAGCCTGCAGCAGCTGTAGAAAAGAACTGAATATCATACTATGAATTGTTAGGAAAGGGGCTGAAAATAAAACTGCCGGTATTATAATACCAATACGTATGATGTAGCACACTTGAAATAGCACACTGGGTCATATTCAGCAAACCCATTCCACCAGCAGAAGCTAGTACAAGGATTCCCACATTAATTCCTTCCTCCTCCTGTGCTGTTCCCAAAACAGCTCTGGAGGGTTGGGGCAACCCCCAGAAAAGATCAGGGGGAGGCAAAAGGGAAGAAGGTCCCATCATGCAGGAAAATCCTTGTGCTGACAGCACCTTAGCAGTAGCACTGCAATGAACACAAGCCAATGCCAACAGTTCTGGTTGCTGCATCTCAAAAAAAAAAAAGGGGGGGGGAGGAATATTGTAGAACAGGAAAGGGTATAGAAAAGGACAGCTCCGCTATGTGGAAAGATTAGAACAACTGGGGTTTTCTGGTTTAGAAAAAAAGGTCAGAGAAGACATGACAGAGTTGTGTAAAATGATGCATAGTGTGGAAAAAGAGGAGAGACCTATCTCTTTCACACTCACTCACTCACTCACTCAGTCACACACACACACACACACACACACACACACACACACACACACACACACAGTGTCATCCAAGAGAACTTAATGGGTAGCCTGTTTTCAAATATTGCATTTTAAATGGATATAACCTGTCCTGGGACCTTATGGTGAAGGGTAATCAATAAACTGAATAGATTTGGCACAAAGGAGATGGAGTATTTCTTCATACAGCACGTTGCTAAGTGAGGGAATTGGCTGCTGCAAAATGTCAGCGGCACAGTGGCTGCCACCTTAGATGGCTTTTAAAAGGGATTAGACCCATTGATGGAAGGTAGGGCTATCAGTGGCTACCCATCACGATGCCTGTATGCTTCCTCGGGATCAGAGACACCATGCTTCTGAGTTATTCAAGTCACTAGTGAACAAATGAAGGAGGGCGCTGCTTGTGGGTTTCCTGCAAGGATCTGACTTTGGGGGGGAGGGGGGTGTTGAAATACATATGCCTTTCGTATGATTTGGCAGGGCTGCTCTTATGTATTCATAGTTCAAATGCCAAAAATGTTGGTTCGTGACCATGAAGTGGATTTAGTTTGAACGTCCAAGCCACTGCTCATGAGACGAGATGAGATCAGAAAACTGATTTTGTTACTGGGAGAAAGTGTGATAATGCAAAGAACAAGGCAACACAGAAGAAAGGTTTTGGGGAAAGCTGGTGTGAGTAATATGCAGTGAGCATCACTTAGACCTGAGGTACTGATAAGTTACTGCTTCCACTAGGTGGCTCTCTTAACTCAGTAGTGCAGCTGATGCAGGCCAGATCCTTCCACACAGCACACTATGTAGCTAGGATGCCCATCTATGGTGCAGCACCCGGAAGGGAGGCTGCACACTCAACATGTGGACCCCACAGGTGGAGCTTCATGTCTTTACTAGGGCTCTTGTCAAAGTACAATCATCAAAAGCTAGGCTGACTTGTCTGAGATTCCAGTATAGCAACTAGGCAGAGGACTGCTACTCATGCAAATCTTATACTCAGGCAAAATAGTAATAGCGCAAAATAGATGAGTCCTGGATTTATTTAAAAAGGATCAATATTTGAAGCTTGCCCCTTTAGAAATATATGCAAATAGAAGTCCTATACTGGGGGGAAAGCCTGCTACATGCTGCATAACACAATGAAGGAATTAGTAAGTTAACTGTATTGACGCCTGATTGTAAACTATTTATTAGAATGAATATATTTGAGTGTTATTATTTAAAATACATGCTGTTTAAAAACTGATAATTAATTAAAAATATATTAATAAAAAGGCCTATATTATTGCCTGGTTACTGTTTCTGTGCATTTGATTATTACAGTACCAAATGCTTGCACACTTCCTATGTGCTAGAGTCTGGGCATTTTATACCTGGGTAGACCCGGAAGCTGTACGCCAGCTCCCTCGGCCAATAAAGCGAGATGAGCGCCGCAACCCCAGAGTCGGTCACAACTGGACCTAATGGTCAGGGGTCCCTTTACCCATTTCCACTCCAGTAAGTACTATTGCAAAGAAGTCCCTTTAAGAAATGGTGTGAGAGGCAAGCAGAGGGCCCCCATTTGGATAATTCTTAGAATATTGGTCTTCTTTAACTAGATGATCATGACCACTGGATGATCATGACCACAGCAGCACTACCAACATACAAATGTAAGATTGAAAGAATTAGGAAGCGTGTCTTCAAAAGGATGTTTGGGCTAAATAAAGTCCCAGGTTGGAAAAGATTGGAAAAGGTTGGAAATTACTGTACTGGCTTAGAGGAATCAACTTGGATAGAGAGGGGTTTGTGGTTTGTAAATGGACACTAGTTCTTTTAGCAAATACTACAATCCCATGCATTTCTAACTTCGCTCTGTACTGGCCGCGTTTCAGCTGTCCAGAAGCTAAAATTATTGAGCACCTGTATTCTCTTCCAGAATGTAAATATGACTAAAGCAACAGGCATCTTATTTAATTGCACTGAACCTTGTCCAGTTCAACAGAGGAACTCTGCTATGGCTTGTTTTAAGCATTGTGAATGCACCAAAATAACAGAGCCTGTAAAATTGCCCTATCCATTGAATGAATGACCAGGAAAAACTTTTGTAGACATAGAAATGATGTATGTGCACTGGAAATAGCCTGCTTCCTGCAGCAAAGCACTGAAGTTGAGCCTGGGAAGGCAGATGCGGAGAAAAAAGCTTGTGAGGACCAGTGTGCATTCTTATGCGCTTCCAGGTTGTTGACTTACCTCAATGAGAGAGCCATCGGACTGTAGAATACGGATAAGCATTACAAGCGGGATGCAGACCATAGAAGAGAGGGCAAGAATCCACCCCAGGCCAATGGCCCACTGAGGATATATGTACACCTTGTTGTAGGTCAGTGGTGTATACTTGGCCAGAGAAAAGATAAAGCACCCCTGCATTAGGAAAAGAAACAAAACAAAACAGACAGGTTGAAGATTTGTTGGAAGAACTGTATGCACCTTTCTGCTACTGACACTAGTAGCTGCATGGATTTACAGTATCCAATGAATGTACAGTCGACAGAAAAAAACACGAGCTTGACAACAGATAAGCTTGACAAAAGTTGAGCTTCTGCTGTAATTTTGTAGTTGTTATTTGCTTTCATGCCTAACTCTGCACATCCAACTTACCCAGGTTCATCGTTCTTACATGCTGCACTACTATACACCAAAAAGAACAAGAAGGCTTTGATGTATTCATCATAGCACTGCCCTACTTCTTTTCACTTGACATGAATGCTTCCACCTTTTAGGCTTTGTGCAATATGCAGTGCAATCTTGTTCATGTATACTCAGAAGCAGCTCTTGCTGTGTTCAGTGGGGTTTCTTCTTGGTAAGCCTGCAGAGTAAGCCATCTCAAAATACTAGTATTATAGAGCCACTTCTCTCTCACGCTTCCTGTGTGCTAAAGTATATAAAGTTTAACTGAAATAGCTTGAGGAACCATCTAATGGCAACGGCCCATCACATCCAATGCCTTCAAACAATGCTTGATTACTGTTCTGCTTACTGCATGTTTATTTATAGAATTTATAGCCTGCCTTTTGCTGCAAATGCCCTCAAGGCAGCTTACAAAACTGAAAGCAGCAAAAATGCAGCTCTACACAGCCACCAGTAAGATAAAAACCCCTCCACAGGCCACTTGGACAGCTGAGTAGGACAGCCAGGTGACTGGAAGTTCAAGTAGGGACTGCAAAAAGCGGCACTAGAAGCACACTCTAAGGGCGTCCATACTTCTTTTTTCGCAGCTCCAGCTTCAGCTTTCACGTTCTGAATTCAAGCAGTGGCTGCAAAAGAAGATTCAGGAGTGTGCTTAGGAGTGCACTCCTTATTCTTCCTTTGCAATACGATGGACTTTGCCGAGAGAGAGAAAAGGTAATTAATAGAGTGCCAGGCAAACAGGCACATAGCTTGGGGGTGCTTCTGGATTCATTGTTGTTGCTTGAGGCTCAGGCAGCTTCAGTGGCAGGGGGTGCCTTCCACCCTGTGATCCTCAGATGAAGGGCGGTACAGAAATTATTATTATTAATGATGATGGTGATGATGTGTGGGATGAAAATTTCATCATTTGAGCACCCTATGAATACATTAAAAGCCACTTCTGTTAGCTGCAGCAGAGTGGTTCACAGGAAGGCCTCTGAAAAAGATCTTAATTGGTAGGCAGTTTCACGTGGGAGAAAAATGGTCTTCTAGGTTCCCCAACTGATGGCTTTACATGCAAAAGTCCAGCAGTTTTATGTGGCCATGGAAAAAAATGGAATGCCAGTGGAGATGTTTTAACATGGGAGCAATTCCTTTACACATTATACATTTTAACTCTGTATCTTAATTCATGAAGCTACTGTTGGAGAAGATGAGGAGTAAAATAATAAAGCATCAAAGTCTACTACAAATGCAAAACCATGTTTTAGCCAAGCTCTTTCAAGCACTCACCACACAGAGAACTGGTGTGATTATAATCCAGCTCCACTTCATCCAGGGACCGGGCCTGTAACCAATCATATCTTCAATGGCATCGTAAAAATTATCAGCGCCTAGAGTTCGACAAAAGGGAAAGGGAATGTTACTGGCCTGGATGAGACGCCTGCTTTGGATCTAACCTCATAATGGGAGCTATGCCACTTTTTAATTTTTTTTTATTAAATGCAAAATCAAGTGTAGAACAAAACCATCACAGAAAACAGGTACCGGGGGGGGGGGGGCAGAGATACCAGTAATACATTTCAAACCTTTATTATAATAGAAATTATAACAAGTTTCTAAAACATCACTTAATTTCCAGGGGGATGAGCTGCAGATCCAGCAAACCATAGTTTTATTGTATTATCCACAGCCATTTATAGGCTGGGAGGGATAGGACTAGGGAGACAGGCTATGTTAACATAAACACTAACATCATACCAAACAGAAAGAAATTTGTTCTTTTTTGACCTCAGTAGGGCTGATTCCCACACTTATGTGCACCAGAGTTTTGAAATAAAAAGTGTGTTTTCAAGAAGCCTGAAAAGAGTGCTGAAAAACCCACACCTTCTATCTGACACTTTCTTTGTGCCTGTTAAAACAGTGATTCTTCCCCAGTCTGCTTCTGGTCCAGGAATTTTTTTTCAGCTTTAAAAGTTAAACTTATGCTTTCTCCTTCACAATGGGATGCAACTAAAAAGACACCACATTGTAAAAGTGATGGCAAGCCAGACCCATTCAGAGCTGGCTATGTAGTGCCAAGGCAACAGAAGTTGCACCGCCTTCCCTCTGCAGTTCCAGACCACTTCTAATTGTGTCAGCACAGGCACAGGCAACATCTGCGCTCAGATGAACATGCAAAGTATATCTGGGCAGATGCTCCCTGTTGTGCTGCACTGCAGCACTTTCATTGTCACAGAGCAGCATAGCAAAAGGGAACACTGGTACAGTGGCCAAGCCCCATTAACTTCCTCTCAATAAGCCCAGCCATGCCTTTTCAACTGCCCCCTGAAAATCTTGCTTTTGGAAAAGGGAGATACTTTTTGAAAGTTCCCCAAACCAACCACTGCATCCAGCTTGATTCAGCCAATGTCTCTCATACTGTAATGTGTATTATAGACACTACTTCATTTTTCAAGGCTGGGACTCAGGCTCACTTCCTAAGAAAGCCAATATGCTGTTTCAATTAGGAAAGTGATTCTTAGCTTCACATTCACCAACTCTGTTCCCATATAGCAGGGACGTCCCAACTCCCAATAGACTGTGATCTCCTCACAGTATAAAAAAAAACTGGCAGTGATCTACCCATTGTCGTTGGATGGGCAAAAGTTGTTGAGCTTTTTGGGAAAAGTTGTTGAGCTTTAAGCCACAGTTGTTCAGCTCCCTCCTCCCTTTTTTTTTTGGGGGGGGGGGAGGATATCTCTGAGGGGCCAAAGATCTACCAGGAACACCCCACGATCTTCCAGTAGATCACGATCTACCTGTTGGACATGCCTGTCATATAGCAACCTTTTTTCACCCTATCAAGGACTGCATCTCAGGAAGCAAAGTAAGAAAAATTATATTTGTCACTTAGACCCTTTAGCCAGCCCCTATTTTAGCTCTGCCTCCCTCACAATCCCAACTCCTGGGCTCCAGCGGCCTAATCTTCCAAGACCCTGCAACGTTTAGTTGTTCATGTAGGAAAAATACCAGGCCAGATATTTACAACTTACTCACCATAAACCCAGGCTACAGCAATGCATTCAAAGAATGCAACCCACAAAAGGCATACACCACTAGCTGCATAGTAGTCAAAGAGTTGAAACACATACATGCCACCCTGAAAAAGAGCAAGAGAGAAAAAGAAACAAGTGCTATTAATAAACCACAAAGGAAACCTGTGGCAAGCAAGATGACCTTCATCCCTATCCTTCACATCTATGACTCACTCTGGAGAAGATTACTCATCTGCAAATACAACTGTCAATCAACTGTTGGGGAGTTATAAGCACATGCTGTTGTCCTCCCCAGAACATGCACTTATTTCTTATATAGAAGGCATTTTTGAAAGAGATTGTGATTGACCAAAATTAAGCCATTTAGCTTATTCTACTCCAACACTGAGCGATTTCCTTTCTAAAGGATAGTATTTTAGGATGGGCTCTCACAAGAAAAATATGGTGGGAGAAAACAATCGGTGTTCAACGGAAATTGCTATAACAAGACCAAAATATATGGAAGCAATGCTTACCAAGGAGCTTCCTTATATATGGGCTGACACTGCTTTTCCCTTAGCATATTTTCCTTTCATGCACTGTATTTCCCTCTGCTCCATTTTCTAGCACCTTCTATAAGCCTCTCTAGTAAAGGTAAAGGGAACCCCTGACAGTTAAGTCCAGGTGCGGACGACTCTGGGGTTGCGGCACTCATCTTGCTTTACCAGCGTTTGTCTGGCGTACAGCTTCTGGGTCATGTGGCCAGCATGACTAAGCCGCTTCTGCCGAACCAAAGCAGCGCATGGAAACGCTGTTTACCTTCCCGCCGGAGCGATGCCTATTTATCTACTTGCACTTTGACGTGCTTTCGAAGCCCCAAATATAATGAGATAGGCTTCAACCTGCACCATTTCCCACATGTTTCACATCTGTCTAGCTTTGTTTACTCCAGATCTACAGCACAATGGAGCACTGTCTAGGTTCTTCTATAAGAATAAGCTTGGGGGAAATGCAGTGCTGGATAAAAGCAGCACTAATAATACACAGGGCTACAACTGGCATGGCCTTACATTGACACCACTGGCGAACTTAGAGAAATGAAAGATTTGGCTAAATCAGTTCTCAGCTGTTCTTTCTGCTTTAAAAAACAATGACAACAACAGAGTAACCGTTTTATAGAGCCAGGCTCCTCTCTTAGGTACCAAGGAATTTCCCCTATGCTCAGGCCAAACTATTTGTATATCCAGCCCAGTACTGTTAGCTCTGGCTGCTACCAGCTCTCTGAAACTCTCAGAAGGAAAAGTTCTCCCAATTTTATTTTAACTGGAGATGCAGGAAATCAACCTGGGCCCTTTTCACATGCAAAGCCTGTGCTCTGCCATTGAACTGTGATTGCTTCCCTCTTGCACTGTACTTTCACAGAATGAAATCAAAACCCAAGGAAACCCACACCAGCTCGTCTCACTTACTTCAGTCACCATAGATAGTCCCAGAAGATAGCTGACGAAACATATTATAGCGATGAAGATTTCCCGTCGGTAACCCTTCCTTAGGAAGGATGGGTACAGATCAACTAATGACGTGATCTGTCCTTCAACTTCAACAAACTGGCAGAGAAGGAAAGAAAAAAGAACCCTGAACAACTGCCATGAATGTGTTCCATTCTTTCATAAAAGGCATCCCTTGGAAACAGTGCTGGCACTCTCCCTGGAGAAGCTGAATCCATTTACTTGCTTAACCTTTCAACAAGTCAAGGTTACAGCCTGTGAGTGGTGTCCAGCTGGGGTTTTGCACTTAGAATGTCCTCCTCCCAAGCATTTAAAAATAAGTCCCTGTCTTCTTCTTTCAGTTTATTATGCATGGGAATATAAGCAATTTTCTTTACACATAACACATATTTGTTTCTGCTAACAAGCAACAGTTGCACTAGTACTGTGCTCTGTAAGGCTAACTCACAAGCTAATGTATTAAAATCTTTCTTTAACCCAGGGCCTTAAAATACAGTACACTTCCAGAAGTTTTTTTCTTCTTCTGTTGCAATACAACTATAGTCTAGCTTGCTCCTAAGCTATTCTAGCATTCCAAAATCCTGCCTGACAGCGCTCCAAAAGCAAACAAAACATTAAGTGCTCCAATTAGTTTTAATTATTCGACACAGTGAGAAATGACTTAAAATTACTAGGCAACCCTCAATTTACATAAGTACTTGGTTGCAGAACCACAGCACCAAGCATGTTTTAACATTCAATTTGGAAGTGATTAAAAGTCACTCACTGGAGTTCAAAGATTAAGCACTAAAGAGCCATTTAGAACAAATGGAATGCTTTGCCAATTTAAGAGATCAAGTGAGTAACAGCCAGAGGGAAAACTCCACTAATCGCTGCTCATATGAGAGGTTTTGAATTCAGTAAACTTTCTGCCCCTGTCAAGTAGATTTATTTCATGTTAAAGCTACTTTCCCAAGGAATAAATAGAACCTTGTTAGTTTAAATTCTTAAACCAACTCAATGAAATACCCCCTAAATCCCTGGTACATCTGTGCAACTAGCAATAGCCTACAAATTATTAACAGATTTATTTGCGTCATATAAATAGGTCTCTTTCGGGAGGCGGGGCAGCCATCCATTTCCTCAAGGAATAACACCACCACCAATGTGTACTGCACATTTAGTCTAACTGTTTTAAAAGAGAGCTTATCCATGGTTTCAGTTTTCAAGGGTGCTGAACTGTAAGAGACCTTATGAAAGGCAGGACATGCAAGGGTACTCAACCCCACATCCCAAGGATCGCTTTGTCCCTTTCTGATTTAGCTGGAAACTTCCTGAATAACTTAATTAGCCACTTCATACACTTCAAAACAGTGCATAGGCTAACACTGATTAACAGCTGTTATCCTTTCTCTGCTAGAGAATGAAGCAATCCTTTTCTGCAACATTTATGATGCATTTTCCCACAGCAGAAAATGCAACAAACCCAATTACATTGTTAAATTTTCCATCATACAGTATGGATGCTGTGTTTGTTGCTATGGTTACTCACCTGGCTGTCCAGGCCAAGCAACAGAAGCATAATAAAAAAAAGAATAGCCCAAAAAGTTGGGAGTGGCATCATGGACACAGCTTTCGGATAGGCAATAAAGGCCAGGCCTGGACCTAAAGGAATAAAGGGAGAGAAAGAGGAGAAGATATAGTAAGTAAGCAGCTCATTCTCAAAGGCAAGACCCCCTCTGCCTCTCCAGAACAGATGCTTGATTCGATTCAGATAAAACAAAACCCAACTGAAGATTCCAGAATGGAACTCACTTGGATCCTTTATCTGACAAAGAAGCATGCATTGCTAGAACAGGAACTCCAATGATCAAATTCAAAAGCCATTATTTATCCACTTTCAGTCTCAGCATCTGCCTCAACATGCCAAGAATAGGTCAAACTCTACACGCATCATGCAGAAAGTGAATAAGATAGAAGATGAGCAGCTGGGCTTATGGTGTAAATGAGACATAGTTATAGGATGACCGGTTCCTGTGCTCCTTTACGAAGAGAGGAGGGGGGAAATGCCATACGTGCTCTCTTTGTTTTCGCAACCCCAAGCCCCTCCTTGGACAAATAAAACCAACAAAATAGCCTTCAAGGGTTTGGGATTTGTGCTCCACAGGCCAGATTTGGAGCTGTTATACCCCTCCACACAGTTCTATCAATGCCAACAAAAAGCATTTCCATACCACAACAAAGGAAGTCGAAAAACTGACTTGACTATCTAAATAATCAATCCTCCATCCCTTTCTATGAAGGGGTTGGTAGCTGCATTGTGTTAATGGCTTACCCAATGTCTATAATGAATCAATTTGCTGCTATCAGTAGGCAGTATTCTTTTAAGATACAAAGCAATATCTGCTGTTTTTTCATTCTGAAAACATGCTGGCTGAAATAAGGCTAATGTCCCTCAACTAGTATTGTTAATAATCATTGGTCAATTATTCCATATCTGCACTGTGAATGAGCCACTAGAAGCCAAAACCAAGCTCATTTCCATGGCACGTGACAGTCATGCACCACAATGAGATGAGCTTTCAGTTTATATTGGTGCCACTTATTAGTGTGCAATAAAGAATCATATAGGGATGAAAAAGCCAAAAAGCACTATTGTTTATGTTTAAAGTATTTGGGTAGTTTTAAAGATGACTGAAAATATTACATCAACACTTTTCATACAAGCTTTTGTTTAAAGAAAATACACTGGCATTCCAGTTTATAGCTCTACTTTGATTTTCTTCTTTTATCTGTTACAAAGTACAGCAGAAGAATTCTCTCCGCAGATTAGTCCTTGTCACTCACCACTGAATGCCTCTGCTACCTTCCATTTTCCATGCCATTAAACTGAATGGAAAGGCAGATCGGTGCAGCAAAATGAAAAAATGCTGGCACCCCAATCCTGAATCTATGGTCTTCACCTCAGAAAAGTTAGTTGAGCATGACCCACTAAAATAAATGAGATTTAAGTTAGACGTGCCCTTGATTTCGATGGAAATTAAGTGCAGCCACTTATCTCTGAATTGGTGGCATTGGGGCAAATGCATATTTAAGGTTATGCTCATGACAAACATCTCTTGCTGGGTAAGGAACAAAATGTACAAATGGGTCTTATCCACATCATTCCCTCTTGTGAACCAACTGCTGGGACTGAATACATTATTTTAAAAAAATAAAAATTGCATCAGTCAGTTATTTAGGAAGGGAAATAGAACTGAATCCAGTTCCTCCACTTCCCCTTGAAAATACTTTAGCTTTTTTAAAAGAAAAAAAGGAGGGGAGACTATGCTCACCTCAAGCTGTTCTATGCATACAGAGCTAAAAAGTACTGGTTTCCTGGGCTCATCTCTCAATGGAGCTCACTATGGCCAACTATTGTATCCTGCAGTTGCTTATCTGCTCATAAAGTTACTTAGGCTGATCTCCTACCCACTTGTACTTGGAAATAAGTCCAACTGAACTAAGTGAGTCTAAGTTAACATCAGCCTTAGCCACTTTTTCATTTTAAAAAGTGCTGTGTAAGACTAAGGCATCAAACATTTAGATCTGATGGCTACAATCTTTCAACAGACTGACAAGCACATGCTTACTCAGAAGAAATAAAACCTGCTGTGTTCAGTGTGGTTTGCTCTCAGGTATGTGTGCACAGGATTGCAGCCTTAAGCAAGCTTAAGCTAATTGAAATCAACAGGGTTAAGCTCTGCATTGGGATGTTAATAGCCATTCCCAGCTCCCTCATTTTCCTGCCTGCCTGCCTTGAAGAACTAGCCTTGTTTGTTAAATAAAGAAAAATAAAATTTGAGGGAATATACCAATCTTCACTGGCATTCCTCACCACTATTAAAATGGCACTATAGGAAGAAAAACCGATCTGTTTGACAATATGGCACGGCAAAATCACAGTACAAGTTTTCCCCACAGCACCCGAATGGGTGACCTTTGTCTGCTGCCTGAGGTGTGCATTAATATTAGGGTAGTCACAGCCTTTTAACGGCTTCACATCCAATGCCGATGCACATTTCTTGCCTTTTCAAGCTGTTTTGAACCTCGCCAAACCTGCACTCTCAGAGAAAAATAAAATGTGTATAATGGATATGACCAGCAGAAACCTCTGGGGTTCTACAATACCCTTTTTACTAGCTAGTTGCAGAAATTGCTGCCAGCCAGTCTAAGTGCTATCGTTTTAAGTAAGTTCACATAGACTACAATGAAAAGAGCATTTGGTCTAGCACGTCTGGGCTTCGAAGGCATAGTTAATTTGAGTTGCTGTGCTTCCTCAGGTGTTACAAGGCAAGTCCAGAAAAGTATGCATGCTTTGTTCGAAAGTAAATGAGATAAGGACATATTGTTCTTTTAATGCTCATGTATCCCAGGGAAATATGTGTAGGAATCAATCCACTGTTTCCTGTACATGGAAGTGCTCTATGCACAAATGTAAAATATGTTGGGAGGGCAGGAAGGGTGCAAAAAAAGGGGGGGGCTCCTCTCTTTCTAGTTTCTATACAGCCTTGTCATGGAAAACAATGGCCCTTCACTAAAATATACATGGTGCAATAAAACTCAAGGAATATCCTAGCACAGCTATAATCTCTTGAGGTCACTTGCTGTGGGTCTATGGAGCTTTCGGCGATCATATCTATTAGGAATTTGACTGAAGCAAATGAAGAGCGACCACAGAGGTTCATATATTTATAAACTGTTTGCATCTCGCATATTTTTGACTCTGTTCTGGGCATTTCTTTTAAACTCAATTCCATTTTATGTTTCTGCATGTTTTCAATTTGTTTTGAACTGTCACACCCATTGAAATAAATTAAGACTTTGTCTCCTGAAATGCTGAGTAATTTTACTTTTCAAAATATCTCCTTTTGGGGGGAGGGGGAGAGGGGCGGTTGATTTGGTTTGTATTACTTTGCTCACACACTGGGTGGCAGTGCCCACCATCACTGCCACCGACACCATCGTACCTGACTCTGCCACATCAGCAATGTCCACCCCTTGCTCTTGTGCCATGAAGCCCAGGACGGAAAAAATTGCGAAGCCAGACACAAAACTGGTACCACTGTTCAGGCATCCCAGCAGCAAACAGTCCCTAAGTCACACATATGTCATGGAGGAAGTTAATTGGAGAAAAAAATTGAACCCATGGTTCCCTACACATCAATTAGCTAACATGTACTAAACCCCTTTGGTAGGAAACTTGCCTATAGCAGTTGTATTTGTATTTATTGTAGCTCCCCAAGGAAGTCATTGCACCTAAGCAGATTGCATAGGAGAAGAAGATTTGCGTCCCAGCATCTATCCAGACCTAAAGAAAACACGAAAGGGCCCATTAGAAGGCTGCATTTTGCACCAGCACCGGCCATTTATCTAAAGCTAATACAGACAACGCAAACCCCACAATGTGACAACAATAGACGTCTCTTTAAAATAATCCGCTCATAAATGCTAGCCATTGAATGCACCTACACTGTTCAATACCATATCACAACATTTTGGCATAAAAGTGAATAAAAACGCAATCAGTTCTTTTAAACAAAAACAACAGAGCATTACATATATACAGTCCCAGTTTTGAGAATCACCCGTTGTAGATCCCAGCAGACTAATATACACACAAGATACATTTCAAGATCAGTTCAGTGGTTTAAGGATCCCAGGCTTTTTGGTGGATAGCACTATGCTCCCTCCCAATACCTCTTAGGGTTTTTCTGGTTGTGGCTAACTATGTCTTCCAGTGTGCTCTGCTTAGGCCAGTGGTAGGGACCCTCACCAGATGGCTAAGGGCAAAACACTGCCCTCCAGCCCTCTCTGTCTACCCCCTAGAACACTCTCAAGGCCATACCCTCCACCAGCACTATTTCAGATCCCCCTTAAGGGTTTTCCCTTTGTTGGAATATGTCTTTGAACTATGACAATGCCTCTTGGTTTCCTGGACGGAGGATAGCAAGGGCTGTGTGTAGAAATGAGTCCCACTGTACAAAGATAAAAATTGCATTTGTTGCTTCACCCACTTTTGCAACTGTCCCCTCCCACCGCTGGCACGTGTCCCCTGCCCCACAGAAGGCTGCCCAGGTGGAAATGTGACCCTTGGCCTGAAAGGGGTTCCCCAGCCCTGGCTTAGGCTAACAGAGAAGAGTTTAACGAATCAGAACAGGAAAGAAGCAGCAGCCTCTTCCATAACTTCAATGCTGCTATAAATGGTGTTCCAGATGGATTGTACTCAATGGCATTTTCATCCGGCTTGTATCATAAGTTACTTTTCATTCACTGCTCGTATGACAATATTACCATAGTCTTATGTGCATTCCCCACCCCCACCGCACCCTACTTTAACTGTTTTGCATTTCCCCATTGCTATGGGGTAGAGCTTGTGGCTGACCAGATCATAAAAAAACTGTCACATAATTTGTAAGCAGTTGAAGATGGAGCAAAAAAAGAAAAGAAATTGCTATACTCCTGCGCTTTACTAAGGGTGCTATCTTCCAAACATTTGCATAGAAGCAAGTTTCTACAAAGAACGTGAAAGGTGTTCAGCATTTCCCATTTTATTTCACTGTCCTTAACTGCCTTCTCCCCAGGGCGTCCATATGACATGGACATTTGCAAATACTCACAAGTGCTCCTTACCGTTCTGTTCGCTGCTCCATAATTTTGCTGCCTTTAAGAGCTAAAGACTGAAGCAAAAATTATCTCCCTTACCTTGTCCACAGCCTAATATCAACAAAAAAGCTGAGATGCTATATTTGGACAGAGTCTACAAGCCTCAGAATCCTTCTGATATAAAAAGATATACACACATGGAAAATGCATTAACACATTAACAATAATAACCTTTTTGACAAGATACGGTGGAAAGGAATAACACCATGGAGGTAATCTTCAATTAGGTTTTGACTGCTTCAAGATTACAAGAAAATCTACTGCACAATCATCCCACTGCCCTCCTCACATTTTGTTTAGAGCATAGGAAGAAAAGTATCACCACTTCCAGTTTTTAGTAACCCACCTGTGGATCTGTTAGCCGAGAGATGTCAGGGTAAAGATAAAATTTGATGCCCGTTGAAGCTCCAGGTAAAGTGACACCACGGATTAACAGTACAAGAAGCATGATGAATGGGAATGTTGCTGTTATGTACACAACCTGGTATTAAAAATGATAAATGTTATCACTTTTTGATAATAAAAAGCTAGAATTTTAATTGTATACGCCTGGTATTTGAGGTTACAAATGGACTCATCTCTTATCTTCAATTCTTATCCTCCTGTTTGCTCTCAGCTTTCATTATTCAGTGGATCACAGCAGGTTCCCCTTAACTGCATGCGTATATATCCATCATGACAGAGAAAGTATATGCTGCCAGTCAGTGTTGTAAATACAGAACTACTGTATCAAAGGCACCTAACTTTGTTCCTATTGTATCCAGCACAGAAAAAGGATGAATCTGGGCATGATCAACTGAGAATGTCTTGTAACACAAACTGAATAAATAAAAGGTGATGTATAAAATCAGTATGCACAAGAGATTACCCTAGCTGAATTGTACCCCTTGCTTACTTCTGAATGATTGTCCCATAGTACATGTGTGCCTTCTGGAAATCTGCCTCAAACTTATATATTTATTTGGTTCCTTTCTTCTGCTAATAGGGTCAGATGATGCCACCCAGTAATTACAGCTCTGCTACTTTAATATAGCTTTGTTTTTGTGAAATTGGTTTAGCAAGATAAAAGCTCCTGAGATGCATCTTCCTGCCTTTTAAGTGAACCTCGAGAGATTTAACAGGCAGATATCAAAGCCTGTTGCACCATAATAATTTCTGCAGCCAGTCTGATCTCTAAATGCAACACCCTTCCATATCATGCCCTGCTTTTCTTTTGGTAAATTACATTTCTGTGTGTGTAATTTTTTCCTGAATTTTTCTTTCCAAAGTATTTTGTTTTGCTTTTAAATATAATCCTTGCCTTTGTTATTTCCCCTTCTTTTCTACATTAAACAAGTATTTGTAAGTAGTGTTTTTTTGTTCATCATAATTACCAACTTTAACTGTTACTATTACTACATTAATTAGTCACTTTTTCCCCACAAGTGACTCAAACTGACTTAAAGAAACAAAACTCACCAGCTTTTTCACCCCAAGATTGTTACTGAGAAATTATTTCAAACTAAGCCAACCTAGCATATTTTGCCAATGTGAATTAATTGTAGGAGAAATATTTTCAGCCAGAAGAAACACTGAGCTATGCAAATTGCTTTTTGGATTATTATTTTTTTTTTAAAAAAAAGAGGTTGGACATTCAAATTTATGTACTTTTTTCTTTTTACATATGTTTAAAATGAAGGGAGACCTGACTGCTATCTAATTATTATTGTTGGGCAAGGAATTATCTTCCAGAAGTAGACTGTTGACAAATGCGGAAAATCAAAGAAGCCTGTTCATCAATTCAAAGAAAAAGAAAAAATCTAAGAATGTTCAACAGCTATGACCTTGGAGAAACAACTAAAAAAACAGAAGCCAGATGTTATGAGAGTTTCTGAACTCACTCTGAGTTTTTTCCAAGTTTTCAGTGGGTCTAGCCAAAGAGTTCACAGAGGAAACAACGTAATAAATAAATGCATCCTCCATTCTTGGATAAACAAAGAATATGTTGAGCTGCAGTAATAAAACTGCTAGCATATTTGCAGGGCTCAGTATGGCTTCAACCATATTGTGAATCCTGCATTGCAGGGGTTGGACTAGATCATGGGCAGGCAAACTAAGGCCCGGGGGCCAGATGCGGCCCAATAGCCTTCTAAATCTGACCCATGAACGGCCTGGGAATCAGCGTGCTTTCACATGAGTAGAATGTGTGCTTTTATTTAAAATGCATCTCTGGGTTATTTGTGATGCCGGCCTGGTGTTTTTACATGAGAAGAATGTGTGCTTTTATTTAAAATGCATTTCTGGGTTATTTGTGGGGCATAGGAATTCAGTGATTTCCCCCCCAAAAAATATAGTCTGGCCCCCCACAAGGTCTGAGGGACAGTGGACCGGCCTCCTGCTGAAAAGTTTGCTGACCCCTGGACTAGATGACCCTGAAGTTCCCTTCCAACTCTACAATACTATGATTCTAGGAAAGGTTCAAAATAACATTGGGAACCTAGCCTTTGCTAAGAAGGCAATTCAATCATTTTAAGCCCAAGATGATGTGGAGAGTGCGCAAAACCACTGCATAAAACAAATTTCTGAACCTATTTAAACACTTTGGCTATAATGCTAAAGTATATGTGTGTAAAGAGGGTGAAATTCAAAGGCAGATTATGCTCTGCTGGTATCGAACAGAAGTTAAGGCAGAGTAATGTTTTGAATTTCTCTGGCCTTTTTAACACCTCATTTTCCCTCTATTGGAAACTATGGAGCAAAAAAGTGGGGGGAAGATTGAGCAAGCTTGGAAGTTTGTTCACGTTCCCCCCCAGTTTGAGATGCACTGTGGGACTGAGAGGAACTTGGATCCAAAGAGAACATTTTCTTTTTGGACTTGCCAATACCAGCACTCCAAGAAACAAGGCAGTTATAATTGCAAAGGGAAAGGCTGAGAGCACTTACTTTCCCAGTGGACTTTACACCTTTCCAAATGCAAAAGAAACATATCACCCAGACAAGGAGGAGACATAGTGCCAGGTCCCACTTGACAACACCAGGCTCATCAATTCCTGAAGACAAGCTCAATACGTTGTGCCTTAAAGGATAAAAAAAAGGAAAGAAACAAGACAAAAGTTATGATAAAACAAACTGAACAGCTGCTTCACAAGAACCAGTCTTTAAAAGCAGAATGATGCTACTTCCCATGTTGCCTAAACAGATTAACTGGACACATGGGAAAGGCCCGTTGTTCTATTTGTAGTCTTCCAAAGAGCTGGGAGTGATAATTATCCCTCAGCTTGTTAAAACTATTCTGTTCACTCTGGAATACTTGGAACTGAATCCATTTGTCTACAGGCAATCCTTGCTTTGCACAGGGGTTACATTCTGGACTCCTAAGCATGTCAGCGGGGCCCACGTAAAGTATTCCATTCCGCCCCTTTAGTGACATTTCCGGGTCACTTCCCGGTTTGGTGCCATGTACACGTGCGCATGCTCTTTGAATCTGATGGGGCTACTCTAAAACTAATGAGAAGAACTGGTTTTTTAAAATAAAAAAAAATCAACCCACAAACCCACCTTTACAACTTCTTAGTATTTCTACTCATAACTAGTAATTTCTGTTGTGCAGGGAAGGTATAAATACACAAACCTCTCCAACTTTGTTATATATTGCCTTGAATTGTAAACAAATCAATCATCATTATTTTAGATAAATTTAGTTAAGGGGGGGGTAAGGGAACAGGATAGCAACCTGCTTCTATCACAGCACTATAATCACACAGACATCCATTTTAATAAGTAAACAAAACACAGAACTAGGGGAGTTGTGTAACTTCTGAAGCGTGTCCCATTTCAGCTAAGATGAAGAACTGTTTAAAATAGAAATGGAGGATAATAAACTAGCTGTTCCCAAGGATCTCACTCATAAGAAGGAAAAGAGCAAAAACAGTTTGCTAGATTTATGGCTAGCATCAAGTGTACATGAGCCAAAAGCGGATTTTGCTTCGTTTTATTCAGCTCTTATTAGATCTGCATGTCTGAAGCATGTGATCAGCTTCCTGAGATTTCACATGAACCAAGCCTGCTGAGTCCTAAGCACTTATAAGCTTTTGGTTGGTAGCAGGGAACAATCAAAGTTCTTGTTTACTGGTAATTGCCCCCTGCTTCTTACTGTTTCATTATGTTTGCAACCATATACTATGAAATAAAATCTTCACAACTAAGAAATCAAAGCATGTGATGTAATCCCAAGAGGTAAGACTCTGGAAATAAAGCCAGATTTGCTTATCCCCTATGACTGCTGCTCAAACAAGCATGAGATTTACACAGACCATTAGCTCAAATAAGATATAATGATGGCCTCCAATGCACAATCAGCAGCACTGCTAAGAGGAAGATGTCACTTAGCATACCAAGGTGAACATTTCAATAAAGCCAACCATGCCTGAGAAGTTTAGTGTTCAGCAAGTACAACTGATAAAGATTTCAGGAAACATTCCACCTAATAAAGAGCACTAGGCTTCATAATTCAGGCATTGTAACAGCTCCTAAGGATTATTTAATTCACAGTAGGACGGTTGTCTTCTGAATGTACCAAACTTAAGTGAATTAACACATGATAAAGAGGTTTACATATTTACAAGGCAACATATATTATTCTGAGTTATGTAACTTATTAGCTAGCTCAGGGCAGTGCAGTTGACCTCAATCTGTTAATACATATAACATATGGTAGTTATAAGATTACTGAACATTTATCATTAATGTAAGATGCAAAAAAAACCCAAACCCCAATAAAGTTATTTTTAAAAATTAATGTAAAATGCAAAGTTCTTTGTTAAGGCCTTTCTGTGTAATAAGTTAACAAATACCTCCCACATAGATGACATTACTTGTGCAATGATTAAGTTAAATATCTGTATAAAATGCATGGTGAATCAAGGCCATCTTTCACAGAGTCAACGTGAAATTTTATTTGAATAGGGCTAAATCACATAATCAAAACAGGAATATCAGGTGTGTGCATTGTCTCTGTGACTCTATAACCTGACTTATTCTTTTATTATTCTTATACTCTGCCCTTCCTCCTTGCAGAATCCAGAACAGTAAACAGAGATGTTAAAACATGACCCAAATATCCTAAGACAATAATTTAAATTCGTAACAATAAAAAATTCGTAATAATAATCCAAAACTCCTACAGAAGTAGGTAATACCCCATACTTCCCCTTACAATTTTAGTCAGTCACCATTTTACTCTATGTTCTATGTCTTTTATAAAGTTCTCCAAAGAGCAACAATTAAAATTGCTTACTCCCAAAACTCTGTCACAGGAGAAGTGAAGTTAGTGGTATTCAGTGACAACCAGAGGGTTTTGTTCTTCCTGAGAGTGTCTTCTATGCAGTTTTTTGTGTTCCACTCTTGGTCGCAGAAAGCCCAAGGCAGCTTACTCGTAAAAGAGTGGAATAGATAGTACAGTCCCCAAGCCAGGATGATGATGTAATACACATTCAAAAGCGACACGATCACTATGGAAGCATAACCTATTCCTGATTTTTTTAAAAAAAAAAGAAAGCAGAAGAAAAGAACATATGAAATTACACACATAAGTAAGGCTTGTTGGTATTACAGGTGAACATGTAATATTCACTAGTTTAGGAATCTCTATGTCTAGGGTTACAAAGGCAACAGTTCAACATCATATATCTGCTGCATTAAGCGGAGATGCATAATTTCAAGACTCAGATAAGGTATCAAGGCCCTCTTTCACCAGTTGCACCCATGTTTCCAGAGAATTCAGTAAGGAGTAGTAGTTCTTCCTAAAACACAGTTGTGAGGTTGCAAAGGTATGCAAGCAATGGCTATCACATTTGGACTGCAAACATATAAACTATGGAAGGGTAACCTGTGGCTCTCTGAATACTTTTGAACGTCATCTCTCATCAGTCCCATCATAAATTGGCCAATGCTTAGGGCTGATGTAGTCCAGCAAGATCTGGAGGGCCACAAGTTGCCCACCGCTGTTGTGCACACCTACCTGGAAATAAGTCTCATTGAATTCAATGTGCCTTTCTTCTCAGTAGACATACAAATGATTGCACTGTTAATATTTAGGAACACCCTTCTTAATATCAACAAAACCACTGAAACTACAACACTTGAGCAGAAGGAAACGGCCATGTAAATGAGGTACAATTCATTTCTTGTTAGGTTTGTAGTCTACATTTCCCCCAAATGGTACTCAAAGCAGCTAACAGTAATTAAAAACAATACAACAAAAGAACAATAAAATACCAAGAAAAGAAAAGCAGATAAGGCATCAATAAAAAACTAGCTAAAACCTCATTTTGTCTCAACAAAATTACAAGTTATGGGCCAAAGGGCTATCTAAATAAAAATGGAAACCTAAGGACATGATGCAGTACCTATGGCTCTGTGGCTTGTGTCCTGGTGGACTATACCTACTAGCAATAGTAGTAGTAGTTTCCCTCTCCGCCTCCCAAAGGAGCCAAGGGCGGCAAGCATACAAACAAGAAAACATCTAAAACCAATGCAGACTAGGAAGGAGTCCCAATTTAAAGCAGGTATTTGTTGGAAGAGAATTATTCCATGTGCACAAGGTAAAAATTGCCTTGTGTTTCTCCATGCTACATACCAATATGCTTTTGAAATAAAGGAGAATTTCAAAAGCACTTTGTGATGAAGTATTGGAGGGGAGATGTTCTGCTCTTCAAAGAAAAAAATCCCACTGGGGAACAGCACACCCAAGGAAATAATGTGAAGTAGTTCTTTCAATCCTGGCTTGTATTATGAAGCCACTATGAAAGCTTTAAACATATTTCTGAGTATCAGGAGCCAAAGCTAAATCACAGGAGATGGTTCTCTCAATCCAATCTACTTATGAGTCTCCCTGAGTCAATGTCAAATGCAGACAGTGGACAATGGAAGTGTTGGCCTAACTTAGGGTGACAATCATTACGTATGGAACAGAATTCAGTGAAATGCACTTTCTCTGCAATGCAGTTATAAACAGTATTATTCTACTTATACCTCTGACTACAATGTATAGCACAACTAGAGGAAAGGTATACTCAGAATTAAGTCCCACTGTGTTCTGCCTGTGTACAGCAAGGGCTTGTTCCCAGGAAAAGTGTGAATAGGACTCCAACTTTACAGTGCAATCTTATACATATCTACTCAGAAATAAATGCCATTGAATTCAGTGAGGCTTACTCTTACGTAAGAATGTATAGGGTCACACAGTCATAAAACATTGGTTATAGCAACAGTAGTAACAATATTCTGGGAAGGAAAGACAACATGTTTGTGCAAAATAAAACAAGGTCAAAAGAAGGTCAGCAAACTGAATTTTGTAATATATGTACACATCTATCTTTTTTCCCCCAAAGGTATCATGCCTGCTATTTATAAAATAAATGTTTAACTTGCATATCAATGCTTGACAACAAAAAAATACTGCCCTGTTTGCTTTGCAAGCACAGGGTCACTAGCAGATAAGGTCATGTCCTTTGCTGCTCCAAATGGCATGCACACAGCTAATGAAGTGCAAATTGGCACAAACCTTTAGCTATAAATTCCAATCCAGGCCCCATACACTTGGCAAGAAGTCCTATTGATCTCAATGGAACTTCCTTCTAAGTAAGTACTTTGGGAGACACAGAACTGGTATAAACTGGCAATCATCTTACAAAACACCAAACTGCCCTGGAACAACTTAATGGCCTGTGAACACACCAGCTCCTTATTAAATATTGAGCTTTCTTGGATGATGGGAGCCATTCCACATTCTCCTGATGCAAATACCCACAGTAAAGCATTTCATAGTCATTAAAGATCAGAAATCTCAGAGAAGTTGTTCCAGAGAGTTTCATGTATTCTGAAGTCTACTATTTGAAATAATAGTAAATCCTAAACCTTCTATCAGGAACCCATCAATTTCAATACTGCTCTTATATTTTTTAAATAGAAAAGTTGCATTAGCAGAGGCCAACCAAAATTTTGTTCTCACCAGGATCCACCCCTGCCAAGCTAAAGTTATGTTTCAAACACAATAAAAGGTCAGGGGGATATTTGCTCCGCGTTCCAGTTCTAAACTTGGAGGTGGAAGGGAGGGCAGGAAACAAGACCACCTCCAATAGCTCGGAGCTGGAGGGGAGGTGGGAGAAAAAGCTTTTTGTACTTCTGTGACTAAATTTTTAGCACCCCACTGCCCCCTTTTTCAGGGTCTATCTCCTCCTCCTTCTCAGAAGGCAACACTGTGGATGTGGAGGAGATGTCAGAGGGAACTGCCCACAGAGGCAGTTTCAAGTCCTCACTGTTCTGGACACTCTGGCACAGCAGGTCATTCTCAAGCTGGGCCTTGCATCCTGCTGTGGAATTCCTGCCAGGTGTTGCCCTCAGTGCAAAAATGTCTCCAAGACCAGTACTGTTTAACTTTTCCCCAGAGAGGTGTGTGACAACCATTCAGCTGGATGGGGAAAAACTAAAAGGAAAGGATAGGAATTAAATAAAATCAGAGTCACCAGCAAAGTTAAGGATAAAGCCTGTTTCCTGCCCTGCTGACCCCAGTCACAGGGAGCCATGCCTCTGCATAGTCTCACCCTTTCCTTTGCATAGCTGCAAGGTGAAGGAAGAATGTCACAGAATTTTGGGAACTAACTTAGATGTGTGTATGTACATATATATATTTATAACAAATTAGGCAGATAACTAACCGGTGAAGATAGGGCAGATCTTTTCCCAGCATGTAATTCCTCCTTCGGAGGTATACTGTCCTAGTGCCACCTCCAGGAAAAACACAGGAAGACCTCCCCCAAACAGAAAAATGAAATAAGGTATGAGAAATGCACCTGTAGAGAAAACACAGAAGGAAGATTAGGAAGATTCTATGACTCAATGATTTTTTTTTCCTTAATGGAGTAGCAGCTGATGGTGGTATTTAAGTATCACTATGAAATCTGGCCCATGCCCTTGTTAGCATGTTCTGAAATTGCCACTTGAGAGCAAAGATTAATAATCAGACTTTAAATATGTTACACAAATGCCCTGCTATTTTCAGATTAAGAAATGGGGAACAATGTGAAAGAAAATGTGCCACAGAATGGTTTCCTTTCATTGCATACTGGAAGATTAGGTAAAATCTCAAGGCAATTGTTTTCTTGTTTTACAATGTCTCAGAATTTAATGACCTGCTGTTTACAAAGTGTACTGCATGTAACAGCTGTAAAAGTTTTTAAAAAGCAAATTAAATGCAGTGAAATGCATACCGGAAATATGTGACTGGCTTTCGCTAATATGAATCAAATTTCCCCTTTGCAAAAAAAAAAAAGCTGAGAAGTAGCTATTAGTCCAATAGCACTTCCGGTTGTTTTTAAATCTTGATCTCATTCATCTTCAGAGCAGCCCTGCTTCCCCACATACCCATTCACATGAAAGGGAGCTGCTATCCACATCCCAAACCATTATGGAAGCGACAACAATACTCACCTCCGCCATTTTTGTAGCAGAGATACGGAAATCGCCAAACATTGCCTAATCCAATAAATCCTCCAGCCACAGACAACAGAAAGTCAATCTTGCTGGCCCACTTTTCACGCTGTGGTGGCTTCCCCTCTGCCTCATCCTCAGGGCGTGTCCCAGGGCTCTTGCCAGGGGAAGGTTTGAGAATGTCCTTGTGGAAATCTTTCAGACACTGCAGTTTCTCCTTGGTTGCCATGTTTTTGCTTTCTAAAAGGAAGGAAATTACAATAAAGGTTTTATAATTCACGTTACTTTGAAGACAAATAGGTACCTGTGCTTACAAATCACCTTGGCAAACAAAAAGTTTCCTTCAAATTCACCCACTTTTTCAAGCCAGTATATGCAGAGGAAAGATGCAGCTGACAATTATTCCTGTCTTGACCCCACAAATGAGTTTAAAATACACCTGTGCCTCTTTAGCATTGACACCTATTAAGGGTCTTTTCACAATAGAAGTTTAGCATTCCAGGTTCCTGAGCAGTCTGGAAAAACAATCCTTGGATCCTAATGACAGTGTTAGTAAGATACTTTGTGTTAAAGAGGCGGAAGCATCTTTGTTACTCAGAGTATTAAAAACAAAAGCAGCATTGCCATGTATTGCGACACCTTTTCAGGCCAGCAGGAAGTAAAATGGATCCTTCTTTTGCACAGAAGAGATGTGAAAGTCCATCTGAGCCAGGCCTGTAAAAACAGGCGAACTGCCACCGCTATGCTTTTGTTCCCTTTCCCCCTCAGAGCCACCTTTCAGACTGGGGCTCAAGCACTTGTCAGGCTTCTTCCTAAAGCTCCTTTAGAAAGTGGCTGTGGATTAAGGTATAAGAGTGCAGAATAGGTAATGTGTGCATAACAAAATTAAGAGGACAGGTAGAGTTTCTAGGGAGAGGGCAGAAGTGTGTGCCCTGGGGATGAATGGCGAAATAGTGAAGGTGTTAAGGAGGGAGGGAGGGAAGAAGTAAGGAAAGAAGGAGGAAAAGAGCAGTGTATTCTGCATTGGAGATGCCAAGCACACACCCAGCCACTGGGCATTCTCTTGAACGTCCTTGCCATTCCTGGTGTGCAACCCCAGATTTTGAAGTACTCTTTACCTACAGCTGTGAAGAAATTATCAACAGGCTTAACTCCTGTTTAGGCAACTAGCAGATCGAACTCTGACTTTATGTTGTACATCAGCTTAGTAAATGGGAGGGGACCACTGTAGAAAATCTGCCCTCTATTACGTCACCACGTTACTTTTTCTTTGCACTGACCCAGTGTCCATTCCAAGCCTGTAATTTCTCTCCAGAATCATCATCGGCTGAAATATTAAGGCTTTACAAAGAGAGTTATCATGGAGCTTCTATTAAAAGTGATCCCCCGCCCCCCGCTTTAAACATAGTGATTTATCCTAATGAGCGGAAGGATCTAAAGCAGCAGTTTCTTTCTTCTTCTATTTTTATATCTTGGTACTGATTAAACAACAAAACCCCTGCATAAATAAACCTTTCTGTTCAGTTCAGTTTCGGCATACACCCCCGCCTCATTTCACTGCCATCTCAGCATCTCACTTGGATTTCAAAATAAATAGGACTGACTCACTCCTGATACGCAATAGAATCATGTTCTTTGCCATAGCAATGGCTTTTTAGTTAATGAAATAGCCAATGATAAGGCTTGCTTTATGAAAACTCCAGGGCAAAGTGAACCCTAGAAGGTCACACTGGCTTATAAATATTGCTGTCAGCTGTTAAATTGCAAAAAGTATGCCATTATATATATATATATATATATATATATATATATATATCCATGTGCACATGCGCGTGCACACACACACTTGTGTTATATATGTTAAAAAATTTTAAAAAAGGAAGATAAACACGCAAAAGATTTCATCCAAAGCGCATGTTCAAAACAGGCCACATGTGATCAGATTCAAATGTGGAAGCTGTGGGAGGTATGCCATTTACACTGGAGCACTAAAGTAAACTTCCATACATTGCAGAGACCAGGCACGCATAGGCAGCCTAGGTTGTCCTCATTTCTGCATACTTGTGCTCTTATATATTAGAAGGGCAATCAATCCAATCCAGTCTTCGTATCTGTGTCACATGGCTTATTTTTCCTCCAATCAGAGAGTTATTCTGTACTGGGTTGTGTGAATGGAAAGGCACATAATGGACTTTCCATCATTTTTTAAGCTTGCATGATGATCCTACATTGGATTCAACACATGCAAATAATTCCTACCAACACGCAGAAGATGACTGCTAGATGAGGGCAATGATTTAAATCTAGAAAGTTTAAAATATAACACTGATAGAAAGAAATATAGCTAGTAAACTCTTAAACCTAACATTCATGATAGAAGACATTAATACCTCGTGCTTAAACCATCTAAATAGATCATGCTGGACACAATAGGACTTATTTCCGAGTAAATGTGCATAGGACTGCACTGCAGATCTGTTTGTATTTACATGGTGCTTTATTAGTGAAAACATCTACGTTTTTATTGGGCTTATGCAAAGCAGTTCTTTTATTTAAGGCTGCAACAATGTTTTAACTTGTTTACGCAAGTGTCACCACAAAAACTTAGTTCATATTATCGCAGTGAAACCTGGAATTAATTTGCTGCTTTCTGATCTGTAAACAGATTTAGCTTGTATGGCAATGACCTGAAACTAGGGCTGACATTAGTTTGGCAGGAAATCTGCAACTGGAACATGATTCTGAGTTTGATATGCATCAATGTAACCATGCAGATGAAAACCTTTTCATAAACCATGCAGATTAGCTAAACCATATCTGGAGGGAAACAATGGAACTTGCCTTACTGCCTCAGTGTCTTGCTTACAACCAACGATAAGACACTCTCATAAAAAAAATTTGAATAAGGTTTGGAGGGAAAATATATTTGCTTTTCATGATGCTATTATCTGCAAAAAGTTTATTGGAGCCATTTTAATCTAATCTTTTCAAGTGTGCCTAAACAGACCATATGCAACACTGAATGCCAGGTAACAGATTGTCAATTAACACGTCTAGCCAACTTGTTTCAAAGGGTTGGTTTAGTATGGGAACTATGATGTTACAGAATAAGAGCTGGCAGGCTGACATATTAGACACTGAATCTTAACCAGTAATTAAGTATGTAATAATTATAGCTACACTAGTAGATATGGAGAACAGCAAATTGGAACCTCTCATTTGCAATGGTCCTCTTCAAAGATTAGTTTCACTTTATTCAATACATTTGAATTTTTGAACAACTTTAAAGTAGAGATATTATAGAAAGTAATAGGTCATGGCTTTGTATAACTGAGACAACAAGTAGAAGAAATATATGTCCTACAATAGCTTTCATCTGAATCAGAGTTCAGTGTGTGGCATGAGACATCCCCTTCCTCCTGAGGTTGAGCTCTGTCACTATTCTGAAATTTCCGTCTACCCATATAAATTAGCATAGGTGAATCAGTGCCCTCTTTTATAGTGAGGAATTTCCTCTTTGGGGCAGGTATGTGAATGTCCACCTTAATCTTGCCTGCTGAACATCTTGCCTACCTCTGCCTACTCCAAAGCCCCAAATGTATTCGAGATCTATCATCCACCACCCTTTTCTAGGGCTGCCATACATCTGGATTTTCCTGGACATTACCAGGATTTCAAAGGCAATTACAAAATTGCGTGGTTTTTTGTGTTTCTGTAAAAAAAAAAATTGAAAAAAATGGGGAGTTTTTGTTTTTTTAAGTCAACAATTTTGGGGTGTGCTGGTTTTTTACTTTTTGAAATATGCCAACCCTCCCCTATTTCAGTCTTTTGGAACATACAGTGGACTTTAAGGAAGAGGAAGGTTTAGTTGGGAGGACCACACTTAAGTTTGTGGAGGCCCTGCCTAGGTAAGAAATTTAAAAACCTTGCAATGACTTTGTCACATCAAAAATGAATGCCAGAACCTAAGCTTTAATAAAATCTATTTGCAGGGGGGAATCAATGTAAGAATCTGGGTTAAATTAGCAGGTCCTTGATTTTAAAAGTGTGCTTTTTCAGATTGACTGGATGTTCTTACTTCTTGAATTAACAGGGAACATTTGTTTGCACTGAAAAAATATGGTGAGACTGGCCACAATAAGTTCACTTCAACAAGCATCAAGTGCTTGCAATTAACTCATGCTAGTTGTGTGACTGCTTGGTGTAACTAAACTAAAGTGTCTAAGGAGTATTCAAACAGATTCCTGCTTTGAACTGACAAGATCTGAGGGCCCGTTTTTTTCATAAACTGTTTTGCAGATCACCCCCATAACAATCACACTGAGCAGTACCACAATTCTATCTTATGACATAAACAAACTTCTTAAAATGCTACCCTTTATTGTGCTCATATCTCAGACTTAACCCTATGGCCCACCCATGGTCTCCTGACTATTGCCAATTACAGGAAATGCCAAGAGAAGATGAAAAGGAGGTGGTTCAAGGCACTGAACAGTTGAGGAAAATTCCAAGAAAACTGTGTGTGTTTAATAAAAGGCATTGTCCTGAACATTAATAGGATTTGTTTTTAATTTCCTGTGATTTTATTCCACTGCATTAAACTACAATGCCTTTTAAGAGATAATAATCAAGCTGATATGAAGCTGGAAGGCATTTTGCATGCTGGAAACCAGAGCTATTATTTCAATATCAGCTAATAGGAAACAAAGTAATTCAAAGAAAGAAACTCTATGTTTAAATATAACTCAAATTCATGGAGAATAAAATGGGCAATTCTACTTCTAAAGAACATGCCAGCTTCTAGGAGACACATGTCTGCTTTCCTTTCAGAAAACAAGGGCTTGGCCAAAAACACTTAAGATGGCTGAACAATGAAGAGAGCCAAAGCCACCATTTATAGAAGCAAGTCTGAGTGCAGCCAAAGGCAAGTTCCTTCAAAAACAAAAACTGGGTGGAGGGGGGGGGAATATCCAGGCCAAATCCTGTTGTTGTTTTACTGGTGAGTATCCAAGTCTGTTCATCAAATTCAGAGCAATTGTCCAGAACTTTCAATGACATTACAAAGAGGGATTATTACATAATCAGTAAGATATGGCTTTGTTTCTCTTTGGCTCCCCAAACACATACTTATTCTTAGTAATAAGACGTCATCTCTGCTTCCAGGCTCTAAGCAAACCATTCAATAACTAGCAGTGTCCCACTAAACTATCAGTCATGAGCATTAAATGCTCTGGGAAAAT